GGCAGATGAGAATAGATAGATATTCCCAGATTATGGAATAGCTGTCTTAAATAAAAGTCTTTTGTGATTATTATTTTTTAAAAGCAATCAGTTGCTCTAAGCCAAGACAATTGAAAAGCCACCATCTGCTGCTAATCCAATTAGCCAGTTCAAAGCCACTTTTGCAAAACAGGCTGCTATTGATTTATTCCATAAACATATTTTTAAATTATACGACATGGAGGTCTACATTCCTTCTAATTATGCTTTACTTAGAAATTACAATGATTCATGGATCAAGGAGAAATTTGAGTGGTGCAAGAAAAAAAGAAACATGTGAATTCCCAGTGACGTCCCTCCGCATACAGGCATCCAGCCACTTTTTACTGCACCCTCTGCTTCCATTGTTCACGTTGCTAATGTTCATCAGTTGAAACCACGTCTTTCCATGAGATACTGAAGTCTTTTGCAGAAGTACAAATCCAGCTAACACGTAAAGCAGGCTGCATGTGCATTTATAGAGGACAGGGCTGTAGCTTGATGAGAGAGACCATCTGCTTTCCATGCAGAAGGTCCCAGGCTCAATTACCAGCATCTCTAGGTAGGGCTGGGAGAGAATGTGTGGAAACAGCGACACACTGCGATTTGCAAAGCCTGGCTGGCTGATGGGTGCAGGCAGATCTTGTGCACTATTTGGCTGCAGCTTTGGCATTTTCTGTATTTGCCAAATTCCTCCACACAAACATGTATGTGAGTACATTGTCTTGAGAAGCAACATTAGCATGATTTGAAGCATACATGCAGAGAGCGACAGGGATGTCCATGATGACAGCTACGCTTTCCTTGGCAGCTTTGATCACAGTAGAGATGACTTCCATCTCACTGTGTGTTTACCACTGGGTTCATTCTAACACTGGGCTGTATCCAACACTGTTGCAAAACAGGCTTCCGCTCGGGCAACAAAACTCCCCCCTCCTCCCCTCCCCTTGCTACCTCCTGTACTGTCATGAAATTCTACTCAATATTGATCCAGAGCAGAACTCCAATGTATAGTTAATAATAATAGTATGAGTTTCCCCAGCCACTCTGGGCGGCTCCCAATCAAGTGTTAAAAACAGTACAGCATTACATATTAAAAACTTCCCTGAACAGGGCTGCCTTCAGATGTCTTCTGAATGTCAGGTAGTTGTTTATCTCTTTGACATCTGATGGGAGGGCGTTCCACAGGGCGGGCGCCACTACCAAGAAGGCCCTCTGTCTGGTTCCCTGTAGCCTCACTTCTCGCAATGAGGGAACCGCCAGAAGGCCCTCGGCGCTGGATCTCAGTGTCCGGGCTGAACGATGGGGGTGGAGACGCTTCTAGTTAGCAGAGTAAAAACTTAAACACGTTGCAGGATCCCCCAAAATAGACCAGAGGCAATTGTATTTAATCCAGCAGAGCTTTACTGCTACTGAAGGCAAATGAGCATAATGGTCACAAATCCAATACACCCAGGATTGGCACTGTCCATAAGAAATCCAGTTGCAGCAGACTTAACTTAAACTTACAATACTTATAATAAGTCTAAACCTTAATACTAAGCATACTATGTACAGAACAGCACACCAGAAAGAAGAGATAGAAAGAGAAAGTGAAACTCAGGCTCCTTCTGGCCAATTATTATAGTGGGGTTTTTGGACAGAGAACTTTAACAGATGCAATAGTCGCTCTGTCCCAGTAAATAAACTGTTGTCACCATTTTTCTTCTCAGCCTGGGAAGGAGAGCAGTCTGTCGAACTGCAGATGACTCAGTGAAGAACCTTATCAGTTCCTTGGCAGCTCATAGACTCCTTTCATCCTTCCTTCCAACTGAAGATATATGAGCAATTATACTTCCAATTAAATTAAATTCCAAGTCCTCTTAGCATTATTAAGTTCACTTTGTAAATAATATAGGATGGGGAAGAGTCAGCTCTAAGTTTCCATCATACACCTTTTGCAAAATACAGCTTCCCTCCCTTTCTCCTTTTTGTTACACAAACAGTTCCATTTGGTGTTATATTCCATATTTATAATCCAATTTCTTCCATCCTCACTTGTACAAATATAATTTGAACTAACATTCGGAGGAGGGTTGCCGAATCATAAATGTAGAGAAGAAAACTTTAAATAAAGAAACTGTAGGCTCCCCTCCTCCCCACCGTCTTTTGCACCAAATGAAGTCTTATCTCGAGTTCAAACCTTAAAGTCCTTGCAGTTGGTTTGTTCCGCAGTTTGTGATCTCATCTCTTCTAGCATGTGCCTGTACTTTACTCCAATTAAACTCTAATTAACAGTAGAACCTCTGCTTCTTAATGGCGACGTTGGAGGGTTTTCACCAGGCAAAGTGCTTTTGCACTCAGTGCCTCCCTGCCCCCGCCTTCCATGCTGGAGCAAATGCCAGGTACCAGTATGGACTTTGAGTAAAGCCCCATTCCCTCTGTCCCTTGGGAGGAATTTACAAGAATGATTACCCTCAATCATCATTGTTTTTCCTTCGCCAACTATCTTCTGCTGTCGTGGGGGCTGCCCCCATTAAGGCAACGCGGAACTGGAAGCCAGGTGCGAGTCAAGAAAGGCCCTTTTTAGTGCTATTCCATTGTGGATTCATTTGTTTTAATGGATGCAAACTCGGCCTGCTAATAGGTTTGGCAAAATCTCAGTTCAGCATGCTCCACGCTAAAGGCAAAGCCCAAAGGCATATTCAGCATTATTTCCTTAAGGATGTCAAAATGATCTGCAATACCTTGTACAGGTAACTGAGCTGGGGAAATCTTTTTGCCTATAAATGCGTGCTAGCTTGTATAGAACAGGTACCATGCTCTTTGCACTAGAAACTACTTTGATATAAGTCTTAATGGAAAACACATGCTAAATACAGATCTACAGAATCAACAATACCAAGATTTGGATGGGGCTGTTTGCAAATGGGATGCCAAGCGAAAGTTGCAGTGTTTATAAATTCGCTGTTAATCCTGAACTGGGAAGAAAAGAGAATTACTTATTTTTATTTATTGACATATTAAATTTAATCCCATCCTTTGTCCCAAAGGAGCCCTGTAGCAATACTCTGTTCATCCATTTTTGAAGCAGCGAACAGAACTCACTTATGATCCTCTCAATTGGTCAGTGATGGAAGTGCTATGTGAAAATGGAAGCAACCTTCATATTTACTAGGCGAAAGTGAATAGAGCTGTCAAAAGAACTTATGAGCTTAAAGATTAAAATTCTGTGAAGTCTGCTCCATTAGCTCGTGCATGCACAAGCCTGCTTAGCATCAGGGAAGTAGATGAGAGCGTTCAGGATTCCTGGCTTGCAGAAGAATACAAGTTGCGCTGGCAGAGCTTCACATAGCATTGCATAAAAGTGTGAAAAAATTGGATCAGGCTTTTGGCTCAAAAGCACAATGAAGCAACCCACAGTGATAAGAATGTGCTGCAGCATCCTGTTCCAATAACTTGCATGGATGTGTTCCAAGATCCTGTGCTTTTGATCAGAAAGTGATTCACGGAAAAGATACCCAAGTTTTAAAAAAGGGGGAGGGGAAGATGATCTGGGAAAGATGCAAATAGCTGCAATGCTCTCTTGTGGCTTAGGGTTGTGAAGGCCTACACCACATGCTGAACAGAATGAGTACAATTCTCAGTTTAGCCATTGATTCTGATTAGCTTGGTCGCAAGCGAAAGAGCCACAAAATATCAAGCATAATTAAAGGTCATAATGTTCAGCCTTACCACTGCAGTGCAACTTGGTGCAAAAAGAATTCAAGAAAAAAGCTGATGAATCTATATTGATGAATCTATCCAACACCCTGAAGACTACAGCTATCAAATGCTGACACACACTTGAAAATGATTGTGTCCTTTCTCTTCTAACAGGACAAGTGAATTCAGAAGTAAAGCCACTTTCATTTCAGTTGGACATACTTCCTAGGTAAGTGGAGAGGTCCTCTTAGGGATCAGGAACTGGCTATATAACAGGAAGGACAGTTCTCCCATGTAGAAAGTAGTTCCCCCCAAGGATTGGTATTGGTACCTGTGTTTTTTTAATTAGTTCATAAACGATATTGAGTTAGGGACGAGCAGTGAGGGTCATTAAAACAAAAAGGATTGCAAAGAGCTCCAAAAGGGCCTCTGCAAACTAAGTTACTGTAATGGGTAGTAAAATGCATAAAGGGCAGGATTCAAACACGTTGTTGTGTATATGGAACAAGGTCTGCTCATGTAATAAGTCTTCCTCTGCACCCTCTAAATCTTCTCTGGAGAGTGGGGGGGGGGACGGATGCCATAGCACACATTTAGGAGGTGCATAGCGGAAGGAGAGGGAGGAAAGTACTACTGCCTGAGCAGACCTCATCTGCTGCACACCTACCTGACACAGCGCTATGTTGGATTCCACATAAAATGCATCTACCCTTATGGAGTAGTTGCTAGTCTTTATGCATTTCTTAAATGGACCCGGTAAGGAATTTCTTAAATGGATTTCTTAAATGGACCCGGTAAGGAATTATAAGGATAATGAACGTAGCCCCTACAAGAGGGTTGTATCTTTAATTGCTTGCCAACATTGAGTAACACTTTGGTAATCAGAAGGCCTAGGAAACATTTGCCCTGAAAAATATTGGAAGGGCTTTTGTAGTGGTTTGGAGTTACTCGTGCGTAAACCGACCCCGTTTGGGTGCTTGGTTGCCTGGTTAAACCCTTCGGACTGCACAGCCCATCTCCGCTTGACTGCCTCAGTCACTGGCAGAATCTGTCTGTGGGCGTTTCTTAAACCTCTGCCAGCATAAAAGCTGTTTGACACCTAATCGTCTCCGCCTCTCATTGCGCGGGAGTCTCCTGCGCAGGGTGGGCGTGGATAGTGCCTGGGCTCTCTTCACTGACTTCCAGGGAAGAATCCCGGAGCCCTTCCACCTCCTCTTCCCCTTGCTCTCCTGGACTCTTGGTGTAACGCGTATTTCCTTCCCCTTCCACCAAGCTGAGTCTCCCCCTTGTGCTAGGACCTTCACCTGCAGAATCTGAGACCCTCTCCTTCTCCCGTGTCTCTGATGTCAGTTCCCTGACAGCTTTATTTGCTTTTAAATGTTTTCCAAAAATGAAAACTATTGCTGACTAAATAAACAAAAGGGTTGCAAAGACAGGCAAAACAGACCCATATGATCCTATCTGAAATAAATATATGGATGTATTTGCTGAATTTTTCACACTTAACTAATGTTCAGGTCATGTTGGCTAGCATAAAACCAGCCATAATTGCACTCTGTATGTAGAGGCCACATGGAGTGGTAGTTTGAGCTTGTGGACTCCTGCAAAAACCAAAATAAAGCTACATTGGCCACCCTCAGCTATTTATATAAACTACTGTGCTTTCATATAGCTAGCTCTGCTATTGCTAATAATCTCACGATGGCTTAAAGATGGCATAATCTTTCAAATATGGAGAGGGGGGCTTCTCATGGGTGGAATGTATGATTAGAATTTCTTCAAAGAGTAATTTGTTTTTCACAGTCTGTGAGCTAAGTGATTCCAACCTTAAATTATCATATGTTAGCAATAGCTACTGCTGTCTTAGTAATACAAGTAAATGATGTATTAGACTAAACACTGTTAAGATGGAAGTTGCATATCAAGGTGGTAATTATCTACCTTCTGTTGGCACTAAAATCTTCAGTGAGAGCAGCGGTCTTTTCTGTTGGAGCTGTTGAGTGGTACTCAATCCTAATGTATTGTTAGCATATATTAGCTCTTCCTCTGAGACACTCAGCTGCATGCACAGAGCGGGTCAGAACCACTCCGACTGCTGATGACATCCCCGAGTAAATCCCTACTAATGAAATTTGGTTGAATTAGTAAGTAAGGGTTCTAACTGTTACAAACCATCTGTGAATACATGTCCCTTTCCTTTGGCTAGCTGAGCACACACATGTTGTGGGTGTGGCCAGCTGCCATGGTCCTGCCCCACGTGGAATGCAGAATATGTGAAGAAAACAAGTGAAAAGGGGCTGTTATATCCTCCATTCCATATCATCCTTGGAGGCAGAATGGAAGATGTGCAGGTGAATGAACTTTAGGTAGGACAAGTGGGATCTGCAGCAACACATTGCAGTGTGCAGTGCTGCTGTCCAGTGTTCCAGTCTAGGGTGGGTGCAGGCTGGTGGGAAAGTGAGTGAGTGGGTGGGTGGGTGCCTATGCTTTTGTTCCTCTGCCATCCTCTGCCATCCTTCTGCCATTCTTCTCTTCCCATTCTGTGTTTCAGTCTGTCCCTCCACCACTCAACAGTTGCTCAGCATTGTGCGGGCACTAAGCATTCTCAATCCCTAAAAAGGTAAAGGTACCCCTGCCCGTACGGGCCAGTCTTGCCAGACTCTAGGGTTGTGCGCTCATCTCACTCAAGAGGCTGGGAGCCAGCGCTGTCCGGAGACACTTCCGGGTCATGTGGCCAGTGTGACAAGCTGCATCTGGCGAGCCAGCGCAGCACACGGAACGCCGTTTACCTTCCCGCTAGTAAGCGGTCCCTATTTATCTACTTGCACCCGGGGGTGCTTTCGAACTGCTAGGTTGGCAGGCGCTGGGACCGAGCGACGGGAACGCACCCCGCCGCGGGGATTCGAACCGCCGACCATACGATCGGCAAGTCCTAGGCGCTGAGGTTTAACCCACAGTGCCCCCCGCATCCTATCCCTATCCGCGTCTCAATCCCTACTGGTATGTTTTTGTGGGGAGGGTTCTCCTCTCCTCTTACATTTTCGTCTTCTATAGGTGTTTTCCCCCACCCATACTTCTACATGTTGTGCAATTCACCAAAATATCCTGATACTTCGCTCTTGCCCGTTGCTGTTGCTCTTTTGGCTATGTAAGCAATGTAAGTGGAATGTTCGAATAATTAACAGGAATATGTACAAACTCCTTGTAAGCAAGTCAGGATGACTGCTGGATCAATGCTCATATAAGCACCCCATTAAAAAATCAGGAGAAATGCTCAATAAGGATCAGACATAGTCCAATCACCGTGTTAACTTTGTGCAAGCAAATCAGGATGAATGCTGAATGCCATCTGCATGAGTCCAAATATTATTGGGATGATTCACCTAAAGAGCCCTATCAGAAGTCCTGCACAAGGAGTTGCACTTGCATAACAGGACTCCCCCCCTACCCCTGTGCACCCCCAAAATTGGCTCAGGGTGTGTGTTGAACAGCAAGCTGGTGGGGGGGCAGGGGGGAGTGACCACTCGGTCTGGCAGGCTGAAACGCTTGAGCAGACAGAATGTTCATCAAAGTGTGACGTTGAATTCCATCGCATATATAAGCTTTCACAATGTCTTCCTTTATCTTTTAATCTCACCTTGCAAAAGAGTTTTCCTCTGTGCTTATATAATGTATTTCCAACACCTTCACTGTCTGAGGAAGTAATCTTCATTTTATGAAAGCTCATACTGCAATAAATTACTTGGTCTTTAAAGTGTCATACGACTCATTTCCTTACGGGAATTAATAATTTTATAAAAACACTGTTTTCATTTTTTTTTTCATTAGAAAACGTATCAAGCCATTTGTCACTAGCCATTACAATAAATCTTAAACAAATCATATACAGTCCCATTTCCATGAATCATGGCTCCAAATACAATTTAAGAATAAAAAACAAACCATACATCTAAAACCAGGAAATTTCACACTTGGAAAAATCTATTAAAAATAAACAAATCTTACATTTCATCACCGTCTGGTCTGTGATCTACTTCTACTGTAAATAATAGGAAAGTTGCTCATTGTTACTACTCACATTTTAGTAATCTATTGCTTTCATGTCTTGATGGACTTTCCAGCTTCCATTCTTTTACAGACTTGGCTAGTTCTAGGAATGTGGGCCTTGTGTTTGTCACAGCTCCAGCGCTGTCTCACACGCCTGTAGGCAAATTTAAAATAAATATCGTCTGGTGTCCACTGTCAACTCAAAGTGCAGCCACTAAGTGCTTTGGAGGTCCCTACTTGGTTTCTGTAGGGTTGAACAAGCCCAGAATCCTTCTGAACCATCTGCTTCAAGATTCAGGATTCATTCAAATCTGCTACACACCCCTAGTATTAACAGAACCTTTAGTTTAGTTATAACTGCTGATTTACTTAGTAGTATACAGCTACTAATAAGTGTTTGAAATAACGCTTGTGACTTCATATTAAATGTTTCTTAAAATGTTACTGGAAATAGTATATTTATTTGCAGTATATTTCATAGTTGCAAATGATTGTCTTAGATACTTTTTTTCTTTTTGCTATACAACCACCATGGGTCCAAATCATATTCCTTGGCTGTCCACTAGCTGGGCCTGGATTTTCAGTTTAAAGTGACCTACACACCAGTCACACTAGTCTTGCAGTGTTCATCCTGGTGATCTTTCTAAAATTTTCTAAAATTAATTCCCATCACTTAAATCAAAGGTATTACTATTACTTCAATACTTAACCAGCATAAATGCTTGTGTCAGGAAAGGCTGAAACAGAGATTGTCTTGGCTGAGTTTACTGTCACTGGAATACACCTAGATTGGCCTGGTGAAAAGAAGAGTTTGGATTTGATATCCTGCTTTATCACTACCCGAAGGAGTCTTAAAGTGGCTAACATTCTCCTTTCCCTTCCTCCCCCACAACAAACACTCTGTGAGGTGAGTGGGGCTGAGAGACTTCAGAGAACTGTGACTAGCCCAAGGTCACCCAGCAGCTTCATGTGGAGGAGCGAAGACGCGAACCCAGTTCACCAGATTACAAGTCTACTGCTCTTAACCACTACACCACGCTAGCTCCTCAGTGTGGGGAGGGGAGGGTTCTTGCACATTTAACAGTTGTGTAAAATAGGAAGCCCTGTTGTTTTTCACTTGAGCACTGACTGTGTCCAAGGTGTACCAGAAAACAGACTGGAGGAAATTCAGGCCATATGGCAGCCCTACCTTTCCTTCACAATAAATACATTAAGAAATAGATTAAACAAATGAAAGAGGAATGGGAAAAGCAACCCTAAACTCACAGAACAGCAAATCTCAAATCTTGCTCCCCAGTATTTTATGCACAAAATTCAGTATAATGAAGAAATGTGTAGAACTGCCACAAGAGGGAGCTAATGCATAATAATTGAACAGATATGCAGCATTCAAGTCAGATTTGTGCAGAATTCCATGGACTTTCAGATGGGATTTTGTAGATGTCCAAGTCAGTGTAAAGGTAAAGGTAAAGGTACCCCGGCCCGTACGGGCCAGTCGTATCCGACTCTGGGGTTGCGTGCTCATCTCGCTTAAGAGGCCGGGAGCCAGCGCTGTCCGCAGACACTTCCGGGTCACGTGGCCAGCGTGACGAAGCTGCTCTGGCGAGCCAGCGCAGCACACGGAACGCCGTTTACCTTCCCGCTGGTAAGCGGTCCCTATTTATCTACTTGCACCCGGGGGTGCTTTCGAACTGCTAGGTGGGCAGGAGCTGGGACCGAACGACGGGAGCTCACCCCGCCGCGGGGAATAGAACCGCCGACCATACGATCGGCAAGCCCTAGGCACTGAGGTTTTACCCACAGCGCCACCCGCGTCCCTCCAAGTCAGTGTACTGTAACCCATTTCTCCTTTTCTCTGCCCCCCCCCCAGCTTTCCTGGCTGCTTATAAGTAAGAGTTTGTTACTTTTTGAATTAATAACAAAAAATAGATAGTATTTTAAGGGTGAGTTTTTACAGAAAATGAATATAAGAAAAGAGTAAGTAATCATACAGTCAGGAAGCGGACGCCTGTTGGGTTAGTTTGAAATAATAATAAAACATTATTTGAAATAAAAAACACTATTTGCCTTTTTTTGGTAAACTGTTTCTTATTACTTGCTAGAGATGTGTAGGGATAGGATGAGTAGGGGGAAGTATGTGGGGGGTGGGAGGGCTCTGACCCATCATATCTCTAGCTGCTCCTAAGTATATGATGTAATTATTTAAACATATAATAGTCTGCAGATAAAATAAATAAATACCGTATGCATTTCTTCATTTCCCCATTTTAAAACGCCTCAAACTTTTAAATTGCCAAGTACAAAAGAAGAAGATGTCTGCATCAATTAGCCTCTTTTTAGCATGGTTCATTTCAGAAGGGGATGCCTTCAAATTTTGCAATTCTGGCAAATAATAATAATATACAAACATTAAGATTCCTATCATAGCCAGTGATGAAGGCTTTGGAAAATGAGACAAGTTGAGGCTCTGTCTTCTAAGCCAGAGCATGATGTCAGTCCAGGCCTCCTTGCAAACAAGGCGGGTTCTGAGGAATATAAATATATATTGTTTTGAAGAGTGCTGCCAGATAATATGCTGAAGGCATTCCACTGTAGTTGCAAGCATGTAAAATCTCAACAAAGAAGACACCCCTTTTATGCCTCTAGGCTACCCAGTACTGATTGTTCTCACAATTCTGACATGTATAGAAATGAGAAAAATTCCTCTAAGCATGCAGTTGCAATTGGAGATCTGTGATGGAAGAAATTAAAACAAAACAAAATGTAAACTAAAATGTAAAAGGAAAAACACAGCATGCTGCCATGAAATGACACAATAACAGGCCTCAAGGCCTACAAGGAAAGATGTAGTTTTAAAGGCTATGAACACATTAGGGGCTGAAAACAGTTTGATGTTGTCTTCCCGCTCCCCCTCCCCTCACCGCATCATTTCAAGTAGCATCATGTTGCTGTACAGACCAGAGGGGGGATCTCTTCAGTCGATGCACATCACCCAGTGCTGAACTCTTTATCACTGAAGCTGTCATCTGCACATGTTCAACGGCTGTCTCTGACGTACACACCTCAGGTTAACTGTTGGTTTCCATTTTCTAATCAGTTGGAAGCTGGTTTTGGGGGAAATACATCAACAGCAGTATTTCTCAAGAAGCTACAGGACAGATATGGATTACAGCTAATGCCATGTATATTCAGCGTCAAACAGCAACAGCGGAAGCATGCTGGAACATATAAGTGGTAATATATACACAGTCAAAATATGACTTCTTTTACAAGCTGAAAATATTCTTCCATTTCCTTAGGAGGGAAAATGTGACCACACTTTTTACTGTATTTTTGATACACCTTCTAGCCAGGAGGCCAGATAAGATTGCTTTGGGTTCTTAAGGGATGATGGCTTAAAAACACATAATGAAGCAACTTTGCTGAAGTAGAGCAGGTTTGGGATGGTAAATGTACTTACATCGCCCTCAGTTTATGATGGTAGAAAGGCAGAATATTATTATTCTTTATTTATTTTTAAAAAAAGACAGAATATAAAAAAAGAGAGAAAGCAAAGTGTATGCTCTGGAACAGGAAACTTTCACTTGAACACGGAATCCTTTTTGAAGTTCGTAAAACTAGACCACATACTTAAGGAAACTCGTAGAAATAAAAGTAATTAATAATGGTTCATTCATTAAAATGAAAGCAAACATGAACTTTCAGTTCCATTGGCAAAGTTCAAATTATTTTGAATGAGCTCTTGGTACAATTTTTTTAAAAAAAACATACAATGGTACATTATAAAGAGGCTGTTTTTATTCTGAAGTACAGAATGACTGAAGAAGTTGGCTCTTAATACACGTACAGTGTTTGTTTAGTTTCTGATTGAAGCAATAAGGATGGGCACTAGAGCAGTACTTAAGGGCTTGTGTAGTTAAATCATAATGCAGCTGCACGTTATTAAACTGCAAACTCTATGCTAGAAAAATGGTCTGTTTGTTAAGAAAGTTGGATCACTGCCTAAATAGCACTTGGTTCCTTCTGCTGCTGCCCTTTTTCAACTCCTGATTTTATTTTGAGAAAAGATAATGCTAGGTGTACCAGCCTTCCTTAACCACTGAATAAAATGTGACATATCTACTTTTTCATTGTGTAGCCAAATGAAACATGTGAATTCCATACCAGTACAGTACTGTATTATTATTTCCTACTCTAAGTTCATTCTCAACATAACAGAAAGCAGGTTAGGTTATTGCCAGTTTGAGTGGGGGAGGGGAAGCAGCAGTTGTGGTCCACAGTTGTGTGTAGTTGCGGCACTGAGGTAATCTTCCATCTTTGATGCAGCCAGGGAAGGACATCATTTCCTCATTCACCAGCTGCACTGGCTGCTGGGGCTTGCCTGGTTGCAGTCAATCGTGGGTGAGCCTGGGGTGCTGTTTAGGGAGTGGTCTAGAAGGAAAGCTTCTTTCCTCTGGCCTGCTCCCTGGCTATAAAAGTCAGCTGTACCCAGGCTTCAGCCTCACCCAGTCAGCCCTGGATTCTTCACCTACCCATCCCATGCTTTATGTGTAGGACTGTCCAAGGGTGAGCAGGCAGGCGCTGCTGCGTAAGATCTTGCTATGGAAGCCTTCAGTCACTATGGAATTTACCTTCAGACAAATTAGGCTCATCTGGGGTTTTGCCTACCTCATATAGAATCATAGAATCATAGAGTTGGAAGAGACCACAAGGGCCATCGAGTCCAACCCCCTGCCAAGCAGGAAACACCATCAGAGCACTCCTGACATATGGTTGTCAAGCCTCTGCTTAAAGACCTCCAAAGAAGGAGACTCCACCACACTCCTTGGCAGCAAATTCCACTGTCGAACAGCTCTTACTGTCAGGAAGTTCTTCCTAATGTTTAGGTGGAATCTTCTTTCTTGTAGTTTGGATCCATTGCTCCGTGTCCGCTTCTCTTGAGCAGCAGAAAACAGCCTTTCTCCCTCCTCTATGTGACATCCTTTTATATATTTGAACATGACTATCATATCACCCCTTAACCTCCTCTTCTCCAGGCTAAACATGCCCAGCTCCCTTAGCCGTTCCTCATAAGGCATCGTTTCCAGGCCTTTGACCATTTTGGTTGCCCTCCTCTGGACACGTTCCAGTTTGTCAGTGTCCTTCTTGAACTGTGGTGCCCAGAACTGGACACAGTACTCCAGGTGAGGTCTGACCAGAGCAGAATACAGTGGCACTATTACTTCCCTTGATCTAGATGCTATACTCCTATTGATGAGGCCCAGAATTGCATTGGCTTTTTTAGCTGCCGCGTCACACTGTTGGCTCATGTCAAGTTTGTGGTCAACCAAGACTCCTAGATCCTTTTCACATGTACTGCTCTCAAGCCAGGTGTCACCCATCTTGTATTTGTGCCTCTCATTTTTTTTGCCCAAGTGCAATACTTTACATTTCTCCCTGTTAAAATTCATCTTGTTTGTTTTGGCCCAGTTCTCTAATCTGTCAAGGTCGTTTTGAAGTGTGATCCTGTCCTCTGGGGTGTTAGCCACCCCTCCCAGTTTGGTGTCATCTGCAAATTTGATCAGGATGCCCTTGAGTCCATTATCCAAGTCGTTGATAAAGATGTTGAATAAGACCGGGCCCAAGACAGAACCCTGTGGCACCCCACTAGTCACTCTTCTCCAGGATGAAGAGGAACCATTGATGAGCACCCTTTGGGTTCGGTCAGTCAGCCAGTTACAAATCCACTGAGTGGTAGCATAGTCAAGACCGCATTTTACCAGCTTCTTTACAAGAATATCATGGGGCACCTTGTCAAATGCCTTGCTGAAATCAAGGTAGACTACATCCACTGCGTTCCCTTCATCTACCAGGCTTGTAATTCTGTCAAAAAACGAGATCAGGTTAGTCTGACATGACTTATTTTTCAGAAATCCATGCTGACTATTGGTGATCACAGCATTCCTTTCTAGGTGCTCACAGACTGTTTGCATTTATCACAACTTGAGAGTAGGGCATGTCCCTACTCTCCCTCCCATACAGTTGTCAACCACCTGGAATAGGGCTCCAGTGACAGGTAATTTGGGGCATTGTTCTCTTAGAAGTAGATGGAAGTGTTATAGACAACACATAACACCCATACTCAAAAATCTGGATTGGCTCTTAGGATCTGCACCAGCTGAAATGTCTGAATAGTCTTCCAAGGCAGTCCCAGGAGGACTGCGCTGCAGTAGTCCATGCCGCAGTTACAAAATAATGTATTACAGCTGGTTCCTGGGGAACAGGCACAGCTGGTGGTGAAGTAGCTGAAGCTTGCAAAAGGTATCTCTACCTTAGGAGCAAACATAAAAAGTAATTGATGGCAACAATGTTTAATGTACAGTCACACCTTGGGTTGAAGTAGCTTCAGATTAAGTATTTTCGGGTTGCGCTCCATGGTGACCCAGAAGTAACAGAGTGCGTTACTTCCAGGTTTCACCACTCGTGCATGCGCTCAAAATGACGTCACGTGATCCGCAGAAGCAGTGAATTGTGACCCGCGCACACATGGGTTGCGTTCCTTTCAGGATGCTAATGGGGCTCCGGAACGGATCCCGTTAGCATCCAGAGGTACCACTGTATCATTATTTTGTACGTTAGCAAGTGTATTTTGTTTTCTTAGCACGAGTTTCTCCACTTCAGGTCTACTTGCTCCATAGATGTGAAGCATGCTGAATGCTAGAAAGTAAACGGACAGAAGTCTTTTGTGAAGAAAGAAGTGTTGGGGACTGAGCTGCTTGAAAGAATAAAAATAGTGGAAACGGAGAGCCGATCTGATGAGCCTTTATGATTCTAACACTTGCGACGTACTTAGTAACAAAACAAGACAGGGCAGGAGTCGTCAGCCTATAGAAGAAAGCAGCAGCACTGTATCGCCAGCTGCTTACTCCCGCCAGTATTTACGAAGGAAAAAGGGATGACGGGAAGTAAGAAAGGCAGGGAAAAGGGTGTCGTAAAATGAATAACTTTGAAAATGGCGACTCCGCCCAGCCAGCTAGCTATGTGTTTGCAGGGCTCTGGAAGCTCCTGTTCTTCCGTACGGAGCGCTCCGTATTTATCCCGGCAGAAGCATTCAACCTGCCACAAGAAAAGGACGCCGGAGAGAACGGCTCCTTAATACACGGCTCGTAAAGTTAGCATTTGTAACCCTATCCCATTCCATTCCCGACATTTCACCTACTTTTGCGCCCTGCCTACTGATCTCCTGCGCTTGCCCGCTTTTTTACGGCGATATGTCTTTTAGGTAATGTATAGGGAAGCCATTTGCAACTACGGGCCGGCAGCTGCCACGGGCGAGCCTGCTCAACGGGACACTTCCCTGCTCTTAGCTGGGGAGTAGAGGGAGGGAAGCCCCTCCGTCGCGTCGCTTTTGCTATTGCGGAGCCCGCGCGCCTCAAACGACCTCTCGCTAGATGCTTAACGCAGAGAGGTTTCCGGACCCGCGCGCGCATCTGGAGCTGGGCTGCCCCGCCCCCTGCCCCGACCAACCCACAAAAGGGAAAGCAATAAAGTATCGTGAGATTTGGGCCATCTCGCGCGGGGACGGGGGGGGGGCGAAATTTAAACTGGAGACCTGGCGGATCTTTCTGTTGCTTCCCCAGCAGCTGGAACTAGGGACGTTTGCAAGGAGACGCAGGTGAGCGGCAATTGAGAGGGGGCGAGAGGAGTTTATTTTCTCTTTCTTTCCGTTTGGCTTTCCTGTTTCTCTGTTTGCTGAGGGAAACGCTTGGCGGGTGTGGGGGTTATAGAGAGGGGCTGCTGTGTGGAAGGATTATCAGAGGAAGGATTCTCCCACCACCCCCGCTCCTCTTCCTCTCTCTGCCTTTCTCTAGGAAACCCTTTTGCGATGGTCGCCAACTGCTTTTTAAAATGGTCCTGCTCTTGAGTTTTCAGTGGCGCGAGTTGAGGTGAAACACCCCGACCCGATTGTATCTCTGTTCTGGGGAGCGGGGAGATCCACCTGCTGAATTGAGTGCTAAGAGGCTTTCTTCACTTCTCCTCCCGTAAGCTGCTTCAAAGCAAATGAAACACAGGGATGCTCTTCCCTCATGTCTTTTTCCACATCTCTGCTCGCTTATCCTTTCCTCCACTCGGTTTTCCTCAACTTGCTTTCTTGAGTGGCGCTGAGCCACTTGCCTTTCTTTTTAATAATATTTTATAATTCCCCCAAAATAACAAAAAATAATAACAAAACAAATTGACTTCCCTCTAATCCCTTCCTTAGTTCAATAATTTATCAAGATAGTGCATGCCCATTGTTAAGTTTATAACATATTTAAATAATGTATTATCCATTCATAATAACATTACAAGTAAACTTAAAACCCTGCTAATGTATTGACCTGTGTACATTGCCTCTGTATATACAGTGGTACCTCGGGTTAAGTACTTAATTCATTCCAGAGGTCCGTTCTTAACCTGAAGCACTACTTTAGCTAATGGGGCCTCCCGCTGCCACTGCACCGCCGGAGCACGATTTCTGTTCTCATCCTGAATCAAAGTTCTTAACCTGAAGCACTATTTCTGGGTTAGCGGAGTCTGTAACCTGAAGTGTATGTAACCTGAAGCGTATGTAACCCAAGGTACCACTATATACAATAAACATTTTCCACTCTTCCTTAAATTCATTATCTTCTCTTCCTCTTAATTTCATAGTCAGTTTTGCCATTTCAGCATATTCCATTAGTTTAACTTGCCAATCTTCTTTAGATGGGGCACCTTCTTCTTTCCAGTATTGGGCTAGTAAAGTCCGTGCGGCCTTGAGCCACTTGCCTTTCGATGAAGTTGGGAAATGATGAGGCTGCGCTTCATCATGGCAGGCTTTTTTTGCTCTCTCGCTCTGCTCTTATTTTTACTGTGCTGAAGGTAGGTACAGATAGCTTGTTGAAATCCTGAAGCCCAAATAGCCTGATGAAGGCCTTTGGCTCCATTGCTTAGCTGTCGGGCTAGCTTTCCTCTTCCCATCCCTCTCCTCCAGCCTTTGTCAGAAAGGGTGGGTTGGAGAGCCTGTGTAGTAGCTCCTAAATGCTTGCAGGCATTGGTAAGGAATATTTGCTCTCCTTGGTCTCCTGATGGAAGTGGTCAGAAAAGGAAAGCTTCTGAAATGTTGCAATTGAGGAGACAACCTATTTCAGCAAGCATGGTTAGCTCTAGCTGGAGATGGGAGGGAGCCATCCCTACAAATTACATTGGGCATCCAAACACTGATCCGTCATAACTGAGAATGACTCCCAGCCTCCTCTCAACCTCCTAGCTGAAAAAGAGGGCTGTGGCTATATGTAATGCAATTACATTATTTTTAAGTTGGTTTTTAATGCTGTAACCCCCACCTCAAACAATAGAACAGGGAATGATACTTGAGAACATGTATTTCAGAGGTTTAGCACATGAATAGGAATAAGGCTTTGGATGAGGGGCAGGCTTCTGGCAACCACCAATACTTGGCTGATTAGGAAAGCTGCGCAGAATTTGTGAACTACTAAGTGTTATGTCTTAGCTCTTGAATTTGTGCTTGCTAGCAGATTCTAGGATTCTAGGAATAGGATGGATATAATGCATATGGCTCAAATCAGAATTCAGTCCAAATTGTTGCATCATTGGCTTTTCTGGGCAGCTATCCCATGTTTTTATATGTGGTCCTAATTATTACTTGTAGAGTAATTGCAACTTAGATTATATTTTGCCACCTAGTTTTATATGAGGAACCATAAAAACTACATATAATTGTAGGGTGGCATCCTCTTCTCTTCCATATAAATCGTAGATAAGAGGTTCTGGGTTGGAAGGAAAGGGATCAACCCAGTAGCAAGTGATCCATTGTAATACCGTATTTACTCAGATCTAATGCTCACCTTTTTTGGCCAAATTACATTGTGAAAATTAAGGCGCAACTGGATAGATTGTATCTCTGCTTTGTTATTAAAATAATAAACCATGCATAGTTGTAGAGAGAGCTCTTTATATAAGACTTCCCCTTGAAACATATCTGAGATAAAGAAAAAACCCCTGCACAGTTGTGCTGTGTCTCCCTTCTGGCCCTGAAATCATTAATCTGAAGTGGTACAATGAAGATGAGTCACAGCCTAGATTTCCCAAGTTCCTTTCCATTCTTGTTGTGATAGTAGCCACAGGTTCAGGTGAGTTTTGAATGTTTTATTGTGATAGACTGTATTATAATAAGTCCTCAATCCTAAACAGTGGGTAAAACAAATTGAGCATAACGGGGCTTACTTCTCTGTAAACATGATTAGGATTGCTCTGTAAATGTTATTTGTTGAGTATTTATAGTCTTCTACCCAGAGCGGTTTATCACTCCCCTTAATAAGGGAAGTCATAACCTACAGCCCAATGAAACCTGATCGCTATTAATTTTACACTTTTATTTTGAGTAGGCATCTATGTACAAACAATCAAAAGCATCTATCTCGTATGCCTTTCTCTATTCCTGTTTCCTCTTCGAAGTGTAAAATAGCAGGAGTGCTTTGTTGCCAAGTCATCAGCTGTAGAAGAGTGTGTACAGTAAGATACCAGTTGAAATGCCCCGATTGTATACTATACATAGTTAGCATAGAATTTTTTAAATGTTAATTTTACATAATGGAATTGGGTGTAAACTTTCCAAGAATCTAATATGCTGAGCTCCAAAGTTCATTAAGCTTGGCTTGTATTGGAACGCAAAGAGAGACAAGAACTATGTTGGCCTTGGTTACAGAGAGCCACTGTTCTTTGACAGGCTTGTAGGCTTTGGCAGCAATGGAAATTGTGAACAGCTGCTCCAAGTAGATTGAAAAGGATTTGCATTTCAATTATCTCACCATGTGATTTTTACCTATTCTGGGAGGCAACAGTGAGTGTGATAGAAAAAGCTGAAGATTTTTCGGAGCAGAAAGAAAGTAGATTATTTGCTAATTAAAAGTCACTGAATTTTAGTTTACAATATCTTAAGATGGAATACACTTAAAGGTGAGTTACTAGTCTTTTATCTACAAGATAGAATAACATTAAAAACATTTTTTTTTGTTTTTCAGGGCTGTATTCTTAAGTTTGTTGTTAATGTATAGTGGATGTCTAAAAGTGGGATTTTGTGTTCCTGCTGCAGTCCTTCCCCCCTCCAAACAACAACAAAAATGCAATTCAAGCTGTTAATTGAGTTTTAAAAATCCATCACAAAGCTCTTGGTTTTGTATTGATACTAGATTTCTTCTTTAGTGACACTTCATGATTATCAACTCAGTTTCTACTTTGAAAATGCACAGGAGTTGCTGAAAGCCCCAAATGGAGATTATCATGGAGATTACAATGCAGACGGAAGCTACCTAGCCTAATCAAGTTGAAACGGATAAAGACACTTATTGTCACTGTGACTGTGTAAGTAACAGCTAACATTAGAAAACATCTTTTACAATTCAAAGAAACTGAAATTGCAGGCTGGACGCACTTTAAGTGTGCATCACCATATGTTAGTAATGAGAGCCGTGTATCAGGGCCGTGCACCCCCTCTGCCCCTGATCAGGCCAGTCTGCCCAGGAACCACCCCCAACCACCACATTACTTAGACAGTATAGTTTGGAAAAAGAGATTTTGTTTTTCTTCTTTCTGTGTCCCATTATTAAAGATACTCTTGTGGTTAGCAGCTATATCTGGTTGAGTTTAAAAACTAAATACTAGGGATGGGGAAGATGTGAGCAGAGGGGGCAACAGACAGCTGTTGTTGCTAACAAGTAAAAGTAACAGCTAGTTTGGCCCTGAGTCTGGAAACTTAGCTTTGCAGTTTCTGTTGTACTCATCCCTGAGAGGAACCTTCTGTTTTAAAGTTACAAACAGTGCCACATGAAAAGCGTTAAAGTGCGCAAATTACTTAGTGCTACAGCATTGTGTTTCTAGCTTGGACAAAGATTTTCCCCATTATATTATCATGTATTTGTGCTCATCCTGTCATTCCACTGCCTTGCCCCTGCTCTTTGGGATTAAAGGTCCCTTGATGTTTTAACTACAGTAGATAAATGTCCTTCCCATTTTCTCACTTTGTTAAAGGGCCAGTCAGTATCTGATCTGGCGTCAAGCTATGAGTGCCAAACACAAGGCTGTTTCTCCTCTGTCCCCAATCATTAAAAGACTTCTGGCTCTGGATGAAAATACTCCTGTGCATGTGTCCCTAAATCTAGAGACTGTTTCCCTTTAATGCTATGTATGACTGATGAAGTCTGTTGCCTATTCTTTAAAGAGCTAGGCATGTGTAGCCTCCATGGCATGGCCCTCTTGTTTAAAACCACAAGTTTATCAGAGCTCTTATCAGTAAAAGCTGAATTAACAAAATAGGCTTAATATTGTTAATTGTTTCCTTCATTTACATACAGTACAGTGTGAGTTTTAATGAAAATGGAGCCCGATCAAGAAACAATTTCACGTCTCCGACGTCAGCTCAAAGAAGCCGAGGAGGAAAGAAGAAAGGCAGCACAATATGGTTTAGATCTGGTGGAGAGCGAGAGCTTGTTACAGAATCAGCTAGATAAATTGCAGAATGAAATAGTCACCATAACGGAGGTGAGCTTTTAAACAATCAACAGAAAGTTGCTCTCCCTGGATTGATTCAACTCTACCTACTGATGGGAGCATGAATGCCAAAGCTGTTAGTCATTAAATTTAAAATATTTAACATGTAGGAAGAGTATCTAGCAACCTGTGCCAGAGCTTGATAGAGAACCATAAAATTCAATCCTCTCATAGTGCTACTGTACCTATAAGATAATTGAAAGAGCAGCCAACATGTTGCTAGAGTGGAAGCCTCATTAAACCCAGACTTCTCAGACCTATTTCTGGATCAATATGTACAGAATACCTATTGAAAAAACTCCCAGGTTTGCCAAGGCCTTTTACTAGTACCTCAACAACAAACGTGACTTCAGGTTGTTGGTTGTTGTTGTTTTTTTAAAAAAAACAAGCTGCACCCTATTTAGCATGAAGTGGACAAAATGTGGTACTGGTACTGGATGCAAAGCATTAGCAGCCTGGTTCTATTGAGAGCTGCTTGGGACCCTCCAATGATATGTGTAGGGTAGTTCACAGGGTCATCTGGCTCTGCCTAAATCTGTTTTAAGAGGATTCACAGGATACAGCACTATGTGTACTAAACAAAACATGGAAGTTTATGAAATCAGATACTGTACAAATTATCAACTGCTACAAAAGATTCTTGCTCTTAAAAGAGTTGGCTGTAGGTCGATGCACTTTGGGAGGAAGTAAATGGGACTCGCTTCTGGGTAAACATGCATGGGAAACGTGCTGCTGGGGTGGGGGGAGAAAGATGGAAGCCAAGTAATGGAAATATCTCTCCTACTCACCTGGATTTTACTCACTACCTCACTGTCATGTATAGGATTAAGCAAGTCTGTTAATGACACAGTAGCTATGAGACATGCTCTGACAATTTTCTGCCTGCTAAAGCTAAAGGCAGCACACCCTGCCTGTGGTGAGGCATGCTTGTGAAGAGGTAGGCAGCATAAGATGTGTACAGCAACAAAGTTTAGTTTTTGAAGTCCCTCTTTCATTATCTGCTGTTGGGAGAAAGGAGCACAAGCTTCCCACAAGCTAGTTCCTGATGTTTGGTTGGGGTAGCTGTGTGTGCATGGGTGGGTGGACAAGAAGGAAGACCAGTCTTCCACGTTTGCATATCTCATAGGCCATCACAGGGGCCTATGAAACTCTTCATAACTTAATACCTTGTCTCACATAAAATAAGGCTGATTTTTTAAAAAGCAATCCCTGCCACCTGATGAAAACTGTACCTCATCTGCCTGCATCTGGGTGCACTGTGTTTGTGGTGCTTTGTGCATACTCTTGGACCTCAGGTGATCTCTTTTGGTGGGTGAAATAGAAAAGAAGGCTTGGGAATCCCAAGTGTGTACGGGGACCTTTCCATCCTTGCTAAGGCCTATACTTTTGACCACACACTTAATGGAAGGTCCTTTAAAAACAGTTTTCTATCCTGCATTGTAAATGTGAAATTTATTTTTCAGAATTTTGAACAAGAAAAATATACTCTCCAGAGAGAAGTAGAACTAAAGAACAGAATGCTAGAAAGTATGAACCTTGAATGTGAAACACTTAAGCAACACCAAAATATACAATTAGATACACTACGTGAACAACTAGTAAGAATGCATGGACAAGAAACAAATGAACTTAAGAATAAGGTTGGTGATACGTATTACTTGCAGCAGGTGATACCTTAAAGCAATTATTAATGCCTATCTTGAAAGTGTTATAATCATAATTCAGTAGCTGACAAAGCTGTTTTGAATAGATGAGTGATAAAGAGCCACTTATTAAGAGTGGTAATTAACCACTTACAAGTGTATGATTACATAGTGTATAATAGAATTATGGTAATTTTGTTTGGGATTCTGAACAATGTTTTTCTGATGACAGCATATATCATAATCTTAAAATCCTATGTAGTTCAGATGTGCTTGAGTTGGGTAAATACTAAGGAAGCGATGGCTTCCTTATCATATATTGATAGGATATTGATGGGAATGGGAGACCTCCTGGGAACCGTGTGCATGCTGCCTTCAGTTCCATGATGGAAGAGAGTGGATATAAATGTAATAAATAATGAATTTCTTAAGCTATTTGGAAAAATCAGCTCACAAGTGGGTAGAGGGACATGCTTAAAGGACTGAACTCAAAAGGTGTTTTCTCTGGGTACTGTTTTGAAGATGGAAAAACTGAAATCTGAACTAGAGGAAACCCTTCTTAGTGAGAAACAGTCGAAACACAAAGTGGAGCACCTGAAGGAAGTCCTTGCTTCTAAAACAGAAGAACTGCGCATGATGTCAGAGCGTGTACATGAAACCATGTCTTCAGAAGTGCTCAATCTTCAACTTGAACTGGTGGCACTTGAACAGGCAAAGGTATGCAGCAAATTAGTGTGAATAAAGTATTTAATAATAATAAACCACAGATAAAATCACCCTTCCTGCTATAGAAATTTGATCATGATCTAATATCCTTGAAAGCACTAGTACTAACATTCATCTCTGCTTCAGGTTGCAGTCCTTGCCTTGTACAAATAATTTAAAAGGCAAAATAGTATTCCAGAATATACAATTAGCAAGTAAATTACTCATATGGTATCTAAATTTTGTGATAGGCAGACCTTGAGGACAGGTTACATGATCTTCAGTACAGCAAGGAGCAACTAGAACTTGGAAACAGCAATCTGACTAATCGACTGGCACGTCTCGAAGAGGAGAGAGAAGACAGAGAAAAAGATATTGTTTCATACTGTAACGCGTTAGAGGTGACGTATCATGCTTCCTACTGATAGTGATGGTGAAAATAACACTACACATTGAATGCTGAAACAGCGAGCTTCTTTTCTAACCAAGACTATTTGGATAGTTTTAGCTGAAATATTGCCTGACACCAGGTTGAATATTTGACATTGTATGGGTGCAGTAACATTCAAATGCTGTTTGCAGTGGTGAGAAGCCTCTTGTGGCTTTGCACTCATGAAGGTGGGGAAGTCACATCAGTTTTTCTTTCATTTTCCTTAGATGTGACTTAAGAGCAGGCTCTTTGGGTGTGCCTTTGCAGTGGTGGTGACAGATTTATTGCATTAACTATTAAACAACACCACAGTGATCCTGAAAGTGAACTCCACAAATCAATAAGAGCATGTGTTACACTACAACACAAATTTAGTTGTGAAAATGTAACAGAGATCTAACAATTTTTCTTGACTCAATTTTAGAAAGCTCATGAAGTAAATAGAGACCTTCAGCTTCAGCTTGACCATGCACGGCAAGAAGCCCTGGATCCTTCCAGTAAAGGCAATTCCTTATTCGCTGAGGTACTCATCTTATTTTTGTTAACAGAAAATGTATGTGTGGGCCATTCTTATGACACTTGGAATCAAAGGGTCTGTTGGCTGTGGGGGGGGTATTTAGTTTTATTTCAGTTAGTTTATTTCTTATAGTGGTTCTGTGTATGTTAGTTTGCAGGGTGTGGGAAGTATAATAGTGTAATGCAATTGTATCAGCGTATTTTATTCAATACAGTAATAACTTTCCCTGATTATATATTTTATTCTTGAAAACCTAATAAGATTATTTTTTTAAAAAGACAGGAAAGTATATGCGTCAAAGATTTTTAGAAAGTGTGTTTCTGGTTATACGCAGGCGTCTTGCATTTGCTCACTTCAAAAGCTGACCAATATATCTGAATCATTTGTTTCAATTTAAAGTCAGAATAATACTTGGAACAAATATTTTAGTTCACTATACTTTACAGTTTGAGCTTAATGTCTTTTCATAGTAGAAATACTTCAAGACGACCATGTCATTGCAAAAATCCTCTGGATTGGTTGAAGTAGTTCTGTTGAAGTGTTTCCGCATGTTGAATTGGTGTGCCAAGTGCCTGCAGATTGGGCATGCTGATTCCTGTTAGTCTGAACAGTCCAGGGCCATAAATACAGGTAGCACAACAGCAGTAATTCAGAACACCTAGTAAGGAAATAACTCTTTGAGTTGTGTCCTGTCCAACTCCCAGAGCTGGATCTGCAGGAACCACTATATGAAAGAAAGAATTAGAACATCATGGATGGATGCTTTATTATTATTATTATTGTAGGCTGAGTCAGTGTGTATTGCCCTAACAAATATTGGTGCTTAATTGAAGGGTTGAACTTTTATGCCTGAGTGCATGAAATCTTTGTGGTGGTGGTAATATATAACTACTTAATGACTTTACATATATTAAATATAAAGTATTCCTTCAAATGCTTGTAGAAATGTTTCTGCCAGGTTTCATGGCAACTAATTCTTTTGCTACTACAGTGGTACCTCGGGTTAAGTACTTAATTCGTTCTGGAGGTCCGTTCTTAACCTGAAACTGTTCTTAACCTGAAGCACCACTTTAGCTAATAGGGGCCTCCTGCTGCTGCCACGCCGCCGGAGCACAATTTCTGTTCTCATCCTGAAGCAAAGTTCTTAACCCGAGGTAATATTTCTGGGTTAGTGGAGTCTGTAACCTGAAGCGTATGTAACCTGAAGCGTCTGTAACCCGAGGTACCACTGTAATCTGGCCAGTACTTCATGCAAATGGTACAGATGTTTCTGTTGACATGGTGGTTAATAAAGCAAAGATATCTAACGACACTAACATACAAGATAGTGTGAAAGACAAATTACTATGGTTTCATTCCTATTAGTTCCTAAAGTATAAAATTTTAAATGATACCGGAACCATCTTTACAGGTTTTTTCCCCTTAATGTGTTGTAGGTAGAGGACCGTAGAGCAGAAATGGAGCGTCAATTGATCAGTATGAAAGTAAAATATCAGTTGCTACAAAATCAGTATTCTTTCACTAGAGAACAGCAGCAAAGACTGAAGGTATGATTAAGTCAACATTTCCTTTGTTAGAAATTGAAAAACTATAAGATAAGGAATTAAAAGTATGTGTGCTAGAGTTCTGTACTCTCAGAGACATTTATTTTTCATATACGTAAATGATAGAATTGGGTTTTTGAAAAAGTGATTTAAGATGTGAGGAATGTTCTAAAAATTCAGCTTGGAGAAATGAGCACTGTTTAAGAAGCTGAGCAATAAAGACCTTTAGTAGTTGTTGTGTAATTTGAGATTGTAAACAAGGGTTCTTTTGAGTTGCTGTTCGCATACTGCTTTTCTACAAATTTGCTCAGAGTGGCCGACAACAATGCATCAAATGTCATTTTACTTAAATTTACTATAAACAAATCACAGTATTTGTACACTAGAAGACTCCTGCTTGTAGGGCTCTTCCAAATGCCACAATTAGCTCAGTATTAGTTTGATATGCCTCTCAGGAATAAACTTTGGTGAAATAAGCCTACGGAATGAAGGGGCAGTGGGGGAAATTTAAAGTGATAACATTGTGTTCTGGTAAATTAGCTAGCAGCTACTAGCAAGCAGCTCATAGCATGGCTATTGTTGAATAGATGATGGAGGCTGGTAAACATTCACGAATGAATTTTCAATAACTTTAAGCAGCTGAGACCAATGATGTATTACACAGAGCTTTTCAGCCAACAATCAGTTTCAAAAGCAATTTGACATGTGGTATGGAGTACAGAGGAAAACCAAGTTCAAAATTTCTTTGAGTTCAGAGAACTAGTGTCTTGGAGTTCTGAATCTTGGTCATTCTGTTCTGGGACTTGAGTTGCATTAATGTGTACTGTAACAGAATATTTGTAAAAGTGCCAACCCAATGTTTGGTTTATCTTGTAGCTACAGATGGCTGCTCTTCTACGGATGAAAGGTTCACAAGGGGAGCATGATCAGCTGGAACGTTTGCAAAGCATGCTTCAACAAAAGAATGGTGAAATAGAAGAACTTCTAATGAAAGTGAAGCAACTGGAAAAGTCCATGGTATATGCATGGAGAATAAAATTCTGGTTTTGTTTTTTTAAAGTATTAGTAATTGGGTAAGGAAGCACATACAACTGTGTTGGAAAACATTGCACAGAAAGCACAGAACCAGGTAATCTGGATCGCTGACTTGACAATGAGCGTGCATTGTGCATCTGATTGAAACAGAATGTTACTAATTGTATGGCAAGTATTTATGCCAGGAAGTAAATGGAAAAAACTACATTTACAGAATTACAATGGTACCTCTGGTTATGAACTTAATTCATTCCTGAGGTCCATTCTTAACCTGAGGTACCACTTTAGCTAATGGGGCCTCCTTCCGCTGCCGTGCTACCGGCACATGATTTCTCTTCTCATCCTGAGGTAAAGTTCTTAACCCAAGGTACTATTTCCGGGTTAGCGGAGTCTGTAACCCAAAGTGTTTGTAACCTGAGGTACCACTGTATTAAATATAACTGAAATAATCTGGATTTTGTGTTGATCCAGCTCCTTGGAGCATTATTTGGAGCCTCAAAACTATTTACCATGCACACTCGGGAGCCTGCAGTCACAAGAGATGGTAAAAAGAGACCCCACTTGTATGTGCATATTCCTAGCAAGATACATCTTCCATGTCCAAGTTCTGAGCCCTTCTCATTTCAGATATATTTCAATAGGTTCTAATTAGAGTTTAAAGATGTGTATAATATTCTCTGGCATCCTCTTTTATTTGTGCTCCAGGGTTGAACACTTTCTGAAAAAGTACAAGGACTGAGTCCTGGTTTAAATGAAGTACAGTTTCCTGGAGTAAAATTGTATTCTTTTATGCTTGATTATGCTCAGTGTCACATATTCCTGACTGGAGAACAGAAGGCAACCTTATTTGTATGAGCAAGAAGAGATTGATCAAACTGTCCATTGTAAATTTTAACACCCGTGGTATTATTTAACACCCAAAACATATTTTGTGACATGCTGAGGAATTGCTGAATGGTTGCCATTTATTACTTTAGTTTAGCCCTTGGTAGATAACACCTTCAGTAGTGATTCCAGAAAATACTGAACAGAAAGGTATGCTTCAGTTTTCCAGCAGGCGATACAAAGCCAGTCTGGCTTGGCCCTGAAGTAGACCAAGTTGGGATGAGAATTTGGTATAGCAACTTCCTCTGCTGATATGCAGCATAATTTATTATTACATTTGAATGAGATGCACTTCTGTCAGTGTTGTCTATGTGAAAAAGTTTCCTCTTTGCCATTAATATTCAAACCCAGATGACTGAAATGGCAAAAGGAAAAGAGCTCATTTTTTTAAAAAAAAATTATCTTCCCAGAAGTCTGAAAATTCAAAAGCGCTGAAACTTTCAAGCACTTCAGAATATGCAGAATCTGAAGATGGATATTACACCGATTTGGTTCAGATGAAACTTGACAATTCAGAGTAAGTCTTGTGAATTAGAAATGTGGTATTAAAACTTCACAGCTGGTTATAGAAACTGACAACCTGATTCTGAGTCTGGTGTAGTGGTTTGAGTGTGGAGTAGGAACTAGGAGCCCAGGGTTCAAATCTCTTCTTAGCCATGAAACTCACTGGGTGATCTTGGGTCAGTCAGTCTGTCAGCCTAACCTCCCTCACAGGGTTGTTGTGTGAATAAATTGTAGAGGAAGAGAACCATATACGAGACCTTGCGGTCCTTTGAGGAAAAAGATGGGAAATAAATGAGATACATAATAAATACAAATAAACAAAACCTATTCAGTTAAAATTAAGTATTATTTCATAATTCTGAGACAAATTTACTAGTCAGAACCCTGTCTCTGTCTCTTCTAGACAGGTAGTAAAAACAGGAGTAATGGTAGAAACGTGGTAACACTGACAGCCTGTTCCACAGTGTCTTTCCAACTCTGTCACAACCATCATATTAAGTTGCACATTGATGTCCCCACATCCGTGCAAGGAAGACACAAATCAAATAAGGCAGCAGCATAAACCTGTTCTTGTTTATCTTACCATAGGTAACTCCTAAATGGATCTGCTAATTCTATTGTATTCTGGCCCACTAGTAATCTATTTTACAAACGTTTGGTGCTAGTCAATCTGTAGTTTATCTTAATAACATGCACACATTATTGGAATAAATGGGATAGGAGGATTTTTTTCCTGGTACTGAAAGGTGGTGAGTTCAAGGCTGGAATGGTAAGAACACTAGGAACTTAATGTTAATGCAACTATGTATTTCAGTATTCATACAGGTAATTTATTTTGCAGAAAAGAGATAGAAAATTTGAAAAGTGAATTGTCACTACAGCGGATGAAGGCTCTGTTTGAGAGTCAACGCGTCTTGGAAATGGAACGGAAGCTCTTTGCAAAGGAAAGACAACTTGAAGCTTCTCAAAGTGAGAGCATAAATTTGCGTGTGCTGCTGGATGAATTGAGAATAAAGTATCAACCTGAAGGTAACAATTTCTATTCCCTTATTTTGTATGTACAGTACAGTATGTGAATAGGGAGTGTTATATGATTTAATTTGCGCTTTGCAGGTACCCTGGAATATGTTGATTATGTGTTGGCTAGCTTCCCTGCCCCCATTCCCGGTGTGATAAGTTATGGCATAATGTGACCAGTGTCAGTTACAGTGGTGCCTCGCAAGACGAAATTAATTCGTTCCGCAAGTTTTTTCTTCTTGCGAGTTTTTCGTCTTGCGAAGCACGGTTTCCCATAGGAATGCATTGAAAATCAATTAATGCGTTCCTAGGGAAACCGCTTGCCAGGCTGGCGGTGCGGAGAAGGGCTTTTCTCCCCACCGCAAGCCTTCAGGACAGGTACGGGAACAGAGGGGAAGGCGCGCAGCGCTTTCCCTCTGTTCCCGGGGCTTGCGTGGGAGGAGGGTTTTTCCTCCCCACCGCCAACATTCAGAACAGCATTCTGAATGTTGGCGGTGGGAAGGAAAACCCTCCTCCCACCCCAAGTCTTCAGGAAAGCCATCCGAAGCCGGGCGGCGGGAGAAGGTGTCCCCGCCCCGCCGCCCGGCATCGGAGCTTCGTTCCGATGCCGGGCGGCGGGAGGAGGCGTTCCCGCCCCGCCGCCCGGCATCGGGGCTTCGTTCCGATGCCGGGCGGCGGGAGGAGGCGTTCCCGCCCCGCCGCCCGGCATCGGGGCTTCGTTCCGATGCCGGGCGGCGGGAGGAGGCGTTCCCGCCCCGCCGTCCGGCTTCGGAGCTTCGTTCCGATACCGGGCAGCGGGAGGAGGTCCGAGGACAGTGGGGAAGACGCGCTGCGCTTCCCCACTGTCCCGGAGATTTCCCTATGGGCTTTCGTCTTGCGAAGCAAGCCCATAGGGAAATTCGTTTTGCGAAGCGCCTCTAAAGCGGAAAACCCTTTCGTCTAGCGGGTTTTCCGTCTTGCGAGGCGTTCGTCTTGCGGGGTACCACTGTACGTATTTTTGCCTCCATCCAATAAAGCTGATCAATGCTGGTAGGAAAACAGAGAGGTTAGATAGTGTAGCATTTCTTGGCCTTGACATATGCTCAGTTACCTTCTGTTCAAAGGCTTTTCTTCATCCTGATCCTCTTTCCTTGCTGTGAATCAGCTGTCTAGTGGTTATAAAGCAGTGTTATTAATGCAGTAAAGCCCACTGCTCATGAGGAGGTCTGTTGTATGTGTTTGCCCAAGAGTTTTTCAAGGACCTGCATCAATTAGTTACATGTCTGACTTTTATTCTGTTCTAATGTATGTAAAAAATAAGAACTTGCAATTTGACTAATTGCAAAGATTGAAGCGTTTGACATTTTTTAGAAAATAAGTTTATTTTGTGTAACTTGATGCATCACAGGGTGTTTTTTGTTATTACATGATGTCAGCAGTTGTCAACTTTTTTAGGCTAGTGAGCACAAAATGGTAGCTTTGGAGTGGGCACGGCATAATAGAAAATGGTTGTCCCTGGGACTGGCATAATACAAAATTAGAGAGACAACTACTCCCAGTAACCTTATGCTTACAATGAGATGTCAGCTATGTGCTGCTGATCCTTATTAAGGACATTAGACAAACTAATGCTATTGCTATCTAATAAGAGGAAGCATTCCTCAACACCAGGAGAAGTATACAATGTAGCCACACCACTCATTTCACAGAAATTGCTTAAATGCTACTTGCACATTTTGCTCCATAACTTTCTAGGAAGATGAGGCACTTTTAAAAAAAGATGAAAGCTCAAAGTTTGGGAAACCATTGGAAACCTTTGTGGTCAGTGTTATATAGTATTTTAGAGATACTGGGTGGTATTCTACAGTTTTATGTTCATTATTTCCAGTGGGTCTACTCAGAATAAAACTTAGTTGAATATGACCTATCAAATATGTATTTTACTAATAAAATAATAAATACTTGTATGGCTGCAAGAAATATTAGCCCTTTAACTCAATTATCAACCTTTATAATATAATCTAGCAGCCTCATCTATGTTGGATCCATCCACAAGCATGGGGAGGAATAATACTAGTTTATCAATAACTAAAATGTTATACTAATGTACATTGAAATAATCTTCCAATTTATTCTGTCTCTTGACTTTTAATTCCACTTAAGTTTGATACATTTTAAAAAGTAAATATTCCTTTTACCTTTCTAGTTGTTTGCTTTGAGTTGGCGTGCAGCCACCATAAAAAATGTTACCACATTGTGTGATAAGTTCTTAATTTGATTCTCGGCTATAGACAAGAAGGCTTCCTGTGGCCTGCTATGAATACATTGCTTTACTATCTTGCAACATTCAGAGAACACTTTTGCTCAGAATGCTTGTATCCTTGGTCATGGCAAAAATAACCAATGAAAATGTCATTACTCCAGAATCGGTGCCAGTTTGCTTGGGGTAATGTTTTACACAATTCTTTCTGATCCAATATTATGCTTTCCTTTTGCAAGTGGAACATTGACTTAGGGATTGTAGATATATAAAAGTTCCAAAAAATGTTTTTTGGATCTGGATGTTGAAATATTTCTTGCAGTTGCTTTGAGTAAATGGAACAAAAATGTAGTTAAACTGTGAAATCTTAAGATTTTGCGATGGTGATCCAAAATACATTTTCTTTTAATGAAAAAGAATGAATATAGATAAGGGGTAGTGGTCAATCAAACCTATTTGACCAAAACAATTGTGTGTGTTGTTTCACTTTTTTTACTCTAGAGTTAATGAGAGATTCGTTCAATCTCAAGAAGGCTCCAGGGGATGTGATTTCATACAACTTAAGTAGCAGAGGGTCTTCTGAGTGTGAAACCTCTTGTATGCTATCTCAGAAAAAGGAAGAGACAAAACTAAGTGAGGATGCTCTGAAAACCACACTTCAGGCTGTATCAGTGAACAAAGTTCCCCTTTCTGCAATTGAACAGAGAAGTGATCAACCTGAAAGGAAGAAGGTTAAAATCAAGGAGGAAGAACTGGATAGGACAGCTATAAATATGAAAGATAAGAATGAAATTGGACTCTCCCTCTCTACCAGGTCAGTGTCTTCTAATATGTATGAGCAAGGCAATCAGCACAGACCTGCATCATTTTTTTTCCGCTGCATGAACTTTGCTATCCATTTCTTCATTTACTTTCTCAGTGTTGCATGCAGTGTCGTCCCTCAATTCCAGCTACCTAGTTTGAAATTTTCAAAACTGTTTAAAAAGATCAAAATTACAGAGAATCAAAAGGACTCTTAAATCATGGACTGATTTAAAACTAAAATGTTCTTTCACTTTGAAAAATCACTGCAATAATCTCGTGCTTGCACTATATTTTCCCTCTGCATTGGCAGTTGTGTAATTCACACTATTGTACTTTCCAGCTTATTTTTCAATTTGCATACGATCTCTGCAAAAAATTGCAGTATTAACTTCATGATGAAAATGCCTGAAAAACCATTGTTAGCTTTCAGAATAAATTTTAAACTTAAAGCCCCAAGGTTTTTAACAAGTGGATATAGAAATTTAGTGTTGAAAAGGGTGGGGAAACTAGGTAACTATGTGAGCTTTTTCTTATATGGAAGGCCATTAGATGGCTATTAAACTCCCAGCAGTTTTTTTATTTTTTGTGTTAATGTAATTACAGATTATATTTTGCTTTGGTGTTTCTTCACCCCCACACCCAAGTTGTATTTTCTAATTGATATATATTTCTGTTTTTATGCTCTTGGGAGGATTAGCAGTGAAGGTCTGACTTGTCCAGATACACTACGTAACTTGTCTCAGACATTCAAGTACAGTGGTATATTGGTTGTTGAACGGCTTGGCTCCCGAACAAATCGGCTCCCGAACGCCGCAAACCCGGAAGTAAGTGTTCCGGTTTGCAAACTTTTTTGGGAAGCTGAACGTCCGACACAGCTTCCGCGGCTTCCGATTGAGTGCAGGAAGCTCCTGCAGCCAATTGGAAGCCACACCTTGGTTTTCGAACAGTTGTGGGAGTCGAACAGACTCCCGGAACGGATTAAGTTCAACAACCAAGGTACCACTGTACAAGATTGCTTAGACTAGGGGTGACAATCTTTTTATAGCCAGAGAGCTGCATTGAGGATTGGCCAAGCCTACAAGGGTTGTATGTCAGCCAGCGATAGGTATGGCCAATGTACACTTACACTTGTGTGCATACAGCATGCACACACCACACCCAGTGCACCTTTCTACCCCAGTGCTCCAATGGGGGTGAAAGCCCAGAACGGAGCATCTTTTTTAATTTTTGAAATGCAGTGTTTCTCCTTCTGGTTTGGTGCCGTTGTAAGGAGGTCCTAGGCGCCCGGGAAACCAGGATGGAGCTCTCTTCCCACTTTACTTGCGCATCACTTCAGGCACCATGCCAGAAGGAGAAGAGACATTTTTCAAAGGTCAAAAGATGGATCCTGATTTTGGAGGATAGTGGCAGGCCAATAAAAATGGTTTCACAGTCTAGGACTGGCCTGCAGGCTATAGCTTTGCCATCCCTGGCATAGACAGTTTCAGGATTTTTTAAACTGCTAGGTAAAATTTGCTTGGATAGTTGTGATCAGCGGTTGTAGTAATCAGTGTTTTTTTTTTAAAAAAATGACTAACAGTATGAACTATGCATTTCTACTCAGAGGTAAGTCATACTGACTTCAGTGGGACTTATTCCCAAGTAAGTGTGAATAAAGGTAAAGGTAAAGGGACCCCTGACCATTAGGTCCAGTCGTGACCGACTCTGGGGTTGCGGCACTCATCTCGCTTTATTGCCAAGGGAGCCAGCATATAGCTTCCGGGTCATGTGGCCAGCATGACTAAGCTGCTTCTGGCGAACCAGAGCAGCACATGGAAATGTCGTTTACCTTCCTGCCGGAGCGGTACCTATTTATCTACTTGCACTTTGACGTGCTTTTGAACTGCTAGGTTGGCAGGAGCAGGGACCGAGCAATGGGAGCTCACCCCATCGCGGGGATTCGAACCGCCAACCTTCTGAAAGGCAAGTCCTAGGCTCTGTGATTTAACCCACAGCGCCACCCGTGTCCCTAAGTAAGTGTGAATAGAATTGTACAAATCTTACGCAAGCAATCCTGTAAAACCAAGTTATTGCGTGCTTATATTGTCCAGCATAGTAATTTAGGAAAAGGGAAAGAAACAGTTTGATATTAGTGACTTGATAAAAGTGTGTGTGTTTGTGGAAAGTGAGGTGGTTAGGTGGGAGCTAGAAATGGAGACTGTCTAATAGGGTTAGTAGAAGAATATTAGGGCATTGGTGCTCTGTAGGTGGTTACATTTACTACGTAAGTGGCGGTGTAGGGGAAGAACACTGGTGAGGCTTTTTGTCTTGTGTATTTGACATGGTATGTGTTATTTGATCTTGTGCACTTGTAATTGTTATGCTCTCCTGGAGACTACATACACTACTTTAGAATTCTTTTCCAGGGGTAAGGAAAATGATTACTAACAAATCCAGATAAGGCAAAAAATGTCAGACATATAGCCAGGCTTGGGGTGGAATAAAGAATTGCAGTGCTGAGGTTAATGCACATTTGGTCCCATTGCATGGGGCATTATTGCACTTGCAGTACAGTCAGAAGCAATAATTCCGTGACTTAAATTACATGTGCAAATAGCTGATTGACTTGGGCAGGTAGTACTAGAAAAATAATCCTTATTGCATTTTTTGTGTTGTGTTGCGTTGGCATTTTTTTTCAGATTTCTACCCCCCCCCCCCCAAAAAAAAAAAACCTAGGGAAAGCCCTGGAAATACATGTGCGAGTATTTTCAAAATGAAAACCTACTAATGGCAGATGTATGTGAGGGGTTGCTTATACAGGCAGCCATGGGTCTAAGTTGTGAACCATTCCTGAGACCTGCAGGAATAGGGTGGTGGTGGTATTATTATTATTATTATTATTATTATTATTATTATTTTAAGGGCATTCTATATTCAAAATGATCAGCTAAAAAGATGAAGCATGTAGACACAGGGTTGGGGTTAAGATGTTTTGATATGTTTAAGATGTTGAATCTGATGGATATTAGTCATGTGAAGAAGGTAGTTGGGTGTGGAAGGTTTGGCACATTAAATAGAAGGGATATTTGGTCAGAGGAGAGAATAATTAGTGAGATTACAAAGGAGGGATTTAACTTTAAAGAGAAGGTGTTGAAAGGCAGGTAGTTGTTTCTGAGAGATGGAAGTCTTGCATGTCAAGTTGGGGTAGAACTTTTGAAAATGTGGGGCCAAAAAACTTCATTCAGTTGTACGCAGGTACAACTTTGTTTTATTCTGCTCTGTCTTTTGAATTGGCAATTTAAGGATTCAACACTGCACTGCTTTTTCTTTGGCTGTTTGTGCATTGTGGAGGTGGACGTCTGCACGAAAGACACAAATAGTTCAGAATTTGGAAGTTGATCCTACTGGAGAACTGGAAAGAACAAGAAGACAGTTAACCAACAGTTTAAAAATTAAAAATTTCCACTAAATACAAAGTTCCTTCAGTAGCGTGAATGGATAAATTTTGCCAAGTGAAAAATTAGTAGATTGGCTTAACTAAAGTTCAGTACATTTAAATTATTGTAAGAAAGAGGGCAGGGTGGTGGGATTCCCACTCTTCACTTTCCAGCCAGCCCAGTACCCACCAAGGCTAAAAGAATATCTCTAAGTCTTCAATTAAAGAATAAAATAAAATCTGTAGGGGCAATGGACATTGGCAAATGCCAATTTTTTTGGGGGGGGGGAGATTGTTGGTGCCATGCACCCACATCTGCCATCCTGGGGACCCCAGATGTATGCAAGTCAGCCATACCCTAAATGTGCAGCATATCGCACCACATGGATGAGGTCCCCACAATGCTGACTGTACATGTCAAGGGGATCTGAGGACAAGTGTTCTTGTATTGCCAAGCACTACTTTTGACAGGATGATTTCATGATCCTCACTTCATTCTGCCACTCTGATGTGGGGGGAGGGTAAGCCACTGAATTTTTCTTTCTTCATTCGTTCTCCTGTCACAGACAAGTGAAGGATACAAAGCCCCAAAGTGCTAGAATTAAGACTCTTGGTATGTTCCATTTGCAGGTGGTATTTGGGGCGTGCTGTTGACAGTTGGCAATCTAAATTTGGGCTATTGTACATGTTTTCTATTTTGCCACGATGTGCAAACACTCTACAGTGTTATATTCTGTCTGTTATGAATGTTTTTTTAAGCCTAAAATGAGACCACCATTTTCTTTCCACTTTATGACAGCTTCCTTGTCTATTCACCTAGAAGCAATTCTTGTGTCTCAAAGATGAATGGCTATTTTAACCTTTATGCTGCCTGAAGTCCCTGTGGTATTCTGACTTGAAACAGTTTAATTCCCAATTTTTGCACTAGTCAAGCTAGAAAAAGATTTCTTGCTTGTGTACCAAATGTACAAACAGTACTGCTTAATATGCTTACTCCAGCAGCTGGTAAACCTGGTGAGGAGATTAACACTAAACTTCTGATTGTACCTAACACATAATGTAATTTTGTTCTTTTTAGTAAACTTGTGTTGTCTCCATGGCTTCTTGTATGTCTGCTTTTTACATTTTTGGCATGGCTTGATGTAAAAGTGTTCAGAAGCTAATAGTGCCTGTGAACAAGGAAACAATAGCTTAATTTTATGGTATTTTATGGTATTTAACATGTTTAACATGTTTTGGGTAGTAGTTTGTCAACTTCAGTGTTTATTATTAAAATTTAGAGTGAAACGAGAGTGGTTGCTTTACCTATAGGTTGACATCTGACCCTGGAATAAAGACAGAAGAAAACTACACTGTTGCAGCTGAACAGACAAGAAAACATGAGAAGAAAAGCCACAAGAAAACATACCCCATAATGTTTATGGCTCCCAAACAAGATCCTGAAACTCAGTGTACTCAACAATAAATCGAATAGCCTTTTCTGTTACTGAGGTATTTAAGTGTACAGCAATCTACTAGAACATTTGGTTATCTTGTTCAGTGCCTTTTAATAAAAACTCAGACTTCATATAGGCAACCTTTATCATGTTGCCTTAGCTGAGTAGATATGCAAAACAGAAACTAAATTATTCAGATTCTACTACAGGAGCTGTGTGATATACCTCAAAAGCTGTTGCTCTAGAAGAAGTAAAATAAGCACATCAACTGGTTGGTTAACAAAGCAGAAATGTGTAATAGTTTCAGGTACCTGTTAAAATGTGACATTAATTGCACACTGGGCTGGCAATTTTATTTTTATGAGGCAAAATGTAGACTAGTGGTTCTCTTGCCTCCTTAACCACATTTCTGATCTTTTCAGATGTACTAATGTTATGAAAGATTGACCATGTTTGACTTAAATAAATTGTTTGAGTTATTGTATTCAATTTGTAATCTCGATTCTTTATTAATAAATTCTATACCTTTAGGTGTGTGGGGTTTTTTAAACGAAAGCTTAAAGGTGAAATGCAACCCATCTTTCTGATTCTTCTGTCAGTCAAATGCTTCTGTCATACTAAAACCAAGCTCAAGCCAAAGCTCAGTTTTTAAAATACTGTATTGTATATCTCAGATTGAACTGCATGCTTACTGTGGATACACTTTTCAGAGTGAGCTATATACAATGATACAAGTTTCGGTCTTCCTAATTAATACTAAGTAATACTAATTCGAGTATACCACTATTGTATCCTATAAGCAAAAGGATTTCTGCTTGTACAATGGGACTTTACCTCCTCTCCTCCCCCTGCATTTGCCCCTCAGCTTCAGATCTGCTCCAGATGTTTGGGGGACTCTACAACAGATTTAGCAGTGTTGTGATGGGAGGTGGAGACCTTTACTGTGCAAGAGAAATCCTTGTGCTGATGGAAGAAGAGACATAAGGCTACATTGAATTTCACTCCTAGCATCTATCCTTATGTAGCCATACCAGGCCATGCATGAAGAAGGGAGTTACCAAAAAAAACCCCAAAGAATATTTAGGGGGAAACTCTAAAGGGCAGGAGGAGAAAACAGCTGTGCAATAACCTAGTTGCCCAGAATGTTCAGAGAATGACAAAAAGAAATTTGGCAACAGTGTGGGAGAATGACAGAATGGCTAGAAGAAACAGAACAGTCTCATTGTTTCAACAAGTCCCTTTCTGGTCCACACCAAAACGTTACTTTAATGTGTCCTGACAAACAGAAGGCAGCTGCCCATCTACTCCAGTGTTCAAATTAAATAATTTAAGACAGCAAGTGTATCCACACCCCACTCCAAAATAAGAGAGGGGTAGTGACCAAAACGGTCAAATCAGATATGTTTGCTCGGTGAGCACAGAATGGCTCATTGCAGGCAGGGGAGAAGGAAGACTGGCAGTACAGCTGAAACTGAAGAGAAGTAGTCCATTCTGTAGCATGGGTGAAATGGGCTGCTGTGTAACAACACCAGGCTCTTTTAAGCACAGATACTACTGTTTGTTCATGATGCTGTATCTTTAATACTGAATAAAGCTAAAGCCTTCTATTGTTCAGACCCTCCTTGTTCAGATCCTTTAGTTCCCACTCCCTTTGATAGGGTCCTGGTTTTACCATGGCTGCAGTCCTCATTTTATCCTTTTCTCAGTGGTGTCTCAATGTTCCTCCATTATTCTGCCTCCACATTTCTGACCTGGTCAGACTAATGGAATAACAGCGAAACTGCTGCATGGCCTTTCCCCAACAATACATGTTTCTCGGTATAAAATGGAAAAATACAAATTCTGCCAGGCATGAGGAAAAGTATACTTTTGTATTTTATGGCTGAAGAATGAACTTTTGGGAAAGCATTGCAGCAGGAGAAGTAAGGCATCTTTTCTACATAACCTTTCCCCTAAAATCTTCAAGTCTTATACTGTAGAGTTAACCATGTAATATGCAAAATAAGGCTAGTACAAAGCCCACAAGCTGTTTAAAAACAATAGGACAACTAAACAGAATCTTGTTTAAAAGCAGGCCAACAATATAATGAAATATGTACCCGTTTTTCAGCTGGTGGAGACAGGGATGAATAGGTGTTGCGCCTAAAACGGTGCTGTAATACGTGTCACCATTAAAAAGGATGGAACATGAAGCAGCACCTCATTAACTGATCTTACCATCTTGGGAGGAACACATGTCTAGAAGCTGTGTGATTGGCTTAGCATGTAGTGGTGGTAGTAACCATAGTCCCCTTACGTTCCTATTTGCTTGTGTTGCTGTCATTGCCCTGTCAGCAAGGCGCCTGGTGTTGTCCCTCCTCTACATAGAAGCATCACTTTCATTTAGCGTAAGAGCCTCGTTGAGGACAGTGCACAGAAAAAGAGGAAGGAAGCTGAGGGATTGTGAGAAGTGCAAAGCTCCCTGCTGCAACTGCAGCAGTAGACAAACTTGCCTTGCGATTCACTTGACTCCATCCTTGAACATTACTGGGATTTTATCCGGTACCAAACAGCTGTTCTCCTGAATCACGGCTACCCTAGCCTGCTGGACTTGTTGGCTATGACTCCTTGGCAAAAAACCGATAAGAAGATTGGAGTGGGTATGTATCATGCAAGCTCCTCTCTGGGGTTTTCCTCCTCTGCAGGATGTGGGGAGAAGTGCTGCAATGCACAAAGATAAATCAATTTGGTCAGCAAAAAACCCCAAATATTTAAACAACAAAATAGCTGTTTTGTGCCTTGTCTGATGGGTCTATGCTGAACACACACACAAGAAGGTTTCATTGATACTTGCTTCCAAGCAATCTTTGCTTAGTACTATTTCCCTATTCTTGTGGAAAGTCCTGTGGAACTAACTAAATTTGAAGCTGTAAACTATAAAAACAGCCCTTTGTCTTGCGATAACCAAACTGGAATCTTAGACATTCGAGTTCTTCTTAGGCATTGACTCAGTTATGCAAGTTGTCCTCTTATTGGCTCTGTTATAAACAGGAAATGGAAAGGGAGCAAGCACATTTTCAGAAACAAACTATATGTACTGTGCTCCTGAGACTTTTGTTTTACTGGTTCTTGGTGTGCTCTTTGGCCGCATCATGCAGTCACTTAGCTGGGTCTTGTCAGTGCTTGAAAATCCCATATTGAGTTGCATGATGAACAAAAGGCAGGAAATAAATGTGCTAAATAACTGAACTTGTTGCACTTATGTGTTGTGTAGATTGTTTAGTCCACTGCTTTTAAAATCTTGTTGAGATTGTTCATTCATTTTCCAGTGGTAATATAATTATAACCCACAGCAAACTACCAACTAATTACCATGAACTGTGCTGGGTTAGGGGACTTTCATGTGAGAAATCATTAAATGAGTGAACATGGCCAAAGCTTAAACATTCAACCCCATTTTGAAACTTAGGAAAGGCTGTAGCTCAGTGCATGCAAAAGGTCCCAAGTTCAATCTTCTGGTAGGCTGGAGGAGACTCCTGTTTGAGCCATTGCCAATCTGTAGACAATTCAAACCTAGCTGGATTGATTGTCTGATTGTCTAAGTTAGCTGTGTATGTTCCTGTGGTGACGACAGGGCAATCTACACATTCTGATTTGCTTGATATTGTATGAAATTATTTGGATTTCTGGAAGAAATGCCAGAAGCAAAATACAATTGAGTTTCAGTGCAATGATATAGTAACATTGCAAAATTATTCAAAACTCATACTAAGCTTGGTAGATAGCTCCTTTTGCAAAACTAAACCAGGATACTCACTTCTCTCTTGCGAATGGTCAGAAGTCTTTTGCTGCCTTCTGAAAAGATTCTTGGGCCCAGTGCTTGAATTACTCTGGAAAAATACTACCACATACAAAATACATAGCATCTACCATTGTCTGTATATGTACGGAATATTTTATAATTCTACTAGTACATAGTTCATATCTCTAAAGAGCATATAATTTATGAGCAATCCTGCACTAACTATGGAAGATGAATCCTAGTCATCTTAAGGTTTTACAATTGCAGTAAAACAAAGGCAGAGCCTTTAATGTGTTGATACACGTAATTTAATTGATGGTGCTCAAGAGAAATAAATAGAGCCAACAGTCACAATAAATTTTATTTTCGTCAGGTAAAATCCAGTTATGTCTGAGTCTTACACAAATGGGGACTTCACCTCACTGTTCTCCCCACTGAGCCCCCGGAAGACCTGGAACTCTACTTGCATGGCATATGTTTTTCCCCTTGGTCTTCCTTTAGACCTAGAGTAGACCCACAAATTGTGCTAATTTCATCATTAAGACCAGATGCCAAGATTTGCTAAACCACACAATTTCAATAGTCAATAGGGGTAAATGTCAACAAGCACCAATTACAATTCTTGCTGCTGTTACAGTCCATAGGGGATCTAAATGGTCAGGCTGAATTGCATTTTTAAATATACACTTCAGATTTAGCTGTAAGGAATATTGATGGTTCTGCTTATAATGTCAATGATTTGGGAGTTTTAATCTTTTTTTTTTTTAAACTAACTTTTTTTCACATTATCACCACATATGTTAATGGAGCATTCTTCCAAAAGAGATATGGCAGGCACCCAGTGGCGTAGTGTGGGTTGTCAGCACCCGGGGCAAGGCAAGTAATTTGCACCCCCTAACCCGTGGATTTGCGCCCCCTAACCCTAACCCCCAGATGTTGCGCCCGGTGCGGCCGGCCCTCCCTGCACCCCCCACGCTACGCCACTGCAGGCACCCTTACTTTTGACTTTCAAGCATCCCCTGAAGACCTTTCTACCTGTTTCTTTTTTATTTATTTTTACTAGCCAGTCACTTTAATTATTATCTATATTGTTTTTCATGGCGCTTTATATTGTACACCACCCTGCTTTCATAAAATGTTGGTATAGATATTCTTTTATAAATGAATTAAAAATAAATAGGAAGTGAACAGCAAAACGGAACACTCACTTCCGGGTTTGCGGTGTTTGGGAGCCAAAACATTAGACTTGCAAGGCGTTCGGGATCCAAGGTACGACTGTATAGGTATCTTTTTGCTAAATGCTGTGGTGTTAGATAAAAAAAGTATGGCACTTTAAAATGATTTTCATTTAAGTGGAGGCAAGGAGATGGTGTTGGAAAAGTTAGATTTTTTTTTAGGGCTGAGCAACTAAGGAGACTTCAAGAGTTTGAATTGCAATATAGGAGGCTAACCTATGATCCTCCATCTGTTACTGGGAGTTAGCAATTAGCTGGGGGTGACATGTTAGTCACCCCCAAATTAGAAAACGGCTGTCCTGACTGTATATACTTGATTTGTTTGTTAAGTCCATGGAAGCATTCCAAAAGTTCACACTGAAACCAAGCCAGAACTCTGAAAGTTTAGTTGTTTTTCTTTTCCCTGTTTGCATCATTGATTCTCCTCCAGGAGCTTAAAAAAACATGATGATAAAGCAAGCATGGATCACAAGCAAGTGCCACAAAAGGAAGTTGTCAGACTTCTACTGTGGTATTTATATTCAATCCAGGACAGCGCTGAAAAAGCAATGTGAATCAGGTTTCATCTGCAGAGGTCCCATTCTTGTCCCTCTTCTTTTTTTTTCCAGGGGTTGGTGGGGTGGGGAGATAGTATTAATGAATTGTAATGCAGAGGCAAGGGTTGGATTTGCTTCCCCCCAGACATGCAAATTAAAGAAAAGCAATTTCTTTCCGAGAAAATGTCTGAATCCACACCCCCCGTACAAAATGGAAGAGCACTTTGAATAAATTTCTACAAATATTCTCTACCATTTTTGTTGTGGTGGAAGCTGCCCTCCCCTTCCTCCCCCGGTGAATGATGCTGTGTAATGATGCTGGGCCCAGGACACTGTGGAGCATGAAAAATAGGGATCAAGCTGCCAATACATTTGTGGCTGTTGTCACTTGGAGAGGCAGAAAAATAAAAGGTGCTATACGCGTGACAGTGTAGAAATCTATTATCTGCATGAGAAAATTGGATAATATCTCACCACCCCGGATAAATTTGGAGGAGCCCACCCTCATTATTTTGTCTACAAATAGAGGAGAGAGTTTTGATAGGCTATCTGCATAAGCTTCAATTCAAATACTTCTTAAACCTTACTTACCAGTAACTTGTACAAAAATAAATGTGGTAAGGTTTAGAAATGTACCCTAGCACAGCGAAGTCGCAACATCTAGATAGGGACCTTTGCATAAGGAGCGGGAAGATAATGTTAAGATAATGTTGACAATACCTTGCCAAAATGTTGAACTTGACAAAAGTAGTTTTAGCAGCCCTCAATAGGGGCTAATGGTTGGGAGATTGCTTTGTGATGCAGGACTACTCTAAAATGGTCAGAGAAAGGGGCATGGGCATACCTTCTCCCATAGCTCCCATAAACTAGGTTTCTCTGTGTAAAGAACAACAGAAATTGCAGTTGTGAGTAGGAGACTAAGGCAGACTGTGAGAGAAACAGAGTGGTCTGAGCTCAGTTTTGGGGGCTCTGTAAGCTAGCAGCCCTGGGTGAGTGGGCAAGTGTTCCTTGCTACAGATCTGATGTAGGGTTGCTGTTTAAGCTGTCCACGACCACCTCTGCTCAACCTACCTATCTATGAATTCTACAAATTTGTAAGTAAACTCTGTTACAAAGCACCTCCTTATGTATCCAGTGATCCCTCCTTCCAAATGAAATCAAACCCAGGCAGTTCTCACTGCTCAGGGAAGTGGGACACACATAGCCACAACATGTTGTGCTAACCAATAGTAAAATCAGCTGCGGCATCTTAAGGATTAGTAAATACAGCGTGCCATGAGCTTTCATGGCCCGGAAAAGTGTTGTTTTCAGCTGGCAGACATACACACACGCACCTCTGCCAACTCAGGATGACACTTCCAAGTATTTGACAAGTGGCACTGGTCTGCAGAAGCTTATGCCACAATGCATTTCTTTGACCTCCAGGTGCCACAGGACCTGTTGCTTTTTACTACCATAGACACCCAGCTGGGAATTGTTAACCAATAGGAGTTTTAATGGGACCTACCCCACTCTTTGGGATTCAGGAATTTGTTTATAGTGCTCTGTATATCTTGGCTCCAACAAAACATGCATGTTCCTGTTTTATTCCCCCTTTCCCTTTTTTAAAGTAAAGAAAAGAAACAGGACCTTTGTACTTTCAAATGACTTTAAGCTGTAAGTTTCCACTTACTCAGAAAAAAATCAAGCTTGCAAAACCACTTCCTTTGTCAGTTGGTTGATGTCACCATACTAACCCTTTGTAAAAAGAAAAAAGAAAAAAAAAAAGGTACCACTGGGAAGCAATGCAATATTATGTTAACACAACCATGCTCTGAACTTTTAGGTTTTTTTTCTTTAAATGAGCACGACGAGTAGTGGTGGCTTAAAGGACAGAATGCACTCCCCCTCCCCTTCATCTGGTTTTTGAAAGCTTATTTTAAATGCCAAAATCCATAGGAAATAGTTTAGTTGTTGGTATTTATTAATGTTGTTGTTTTGTTTCTTATACCCTCTCATTCAAATCCAGGACAGCTAACAATAAAGGTATAGCTTTTTTTTTTTTTAAAAAGGACAGTGTGACAAGTCAGTATTTGTTTGATTCTCATTTGTCTTAGATTGCTACCCAAATATTGGATCATGGAAATACATTATCTGCATATTCTAGCAAATCCCTCAACTGTCCTGATTAAATCGGGAATCGTGTTATGGGGGGCTGTGCTCTCACGTGGAAACATGGCACCATAAGGGGCACATTCTGGTTTCCGTGGCAACATGTTGGAGGGTATGGACTAGCAGTGTGCAAGTACCTGTATACCTTTATAGGTGGTCAAAAGGCCATACCCAGAAGTCAGAAGTACTTTTAAAGTGTTTTTGAGAGGGAGAAAGAGAACCTTAAGGTAAACTTTCCTCAGCTGCCAAGGCTACAGCCAGCTGCGAGGTTGGAGAAGGAATGGTGAGGAAGAACAGAACAAAAATGGAAGACGAAGTGATGTAAAAGCTAAAGTACTTAAATATTAAACACTTTTAGGTTGTTATTCATGAAACTGACCATTTTGTGGAAGGGTCACTGTTTTAACTTAAGAAGAATGGAATACAATGTATCACAAGAACACCTTAATAAAACGTGGCTATAGAAATTGTATTGAGCTGGTACCATGATTAGAACTAAATTACATCAAATACTCTGGATATCTGAATCTGGGTCACAGGGTATGTTTAGAGTTCTAAAAGGGGCGGCCAAATGTGAGAACAAAATGCACTAAAGTTTTGTTTTTAATTGTTGCTGAGATATACTGTTTTTGTTTTGTTTTGTGGCTGCTATAACTTGAAACAGCCTTCTGTGGCTTTTTCTGTATTTTGGCCAAAAGCACTGGAAAGAATGCCAAGATTGATTTCTGAATGGCAGCGAATTAGGGGGACAAGAGGAGAACTCAGAACAATTTGAAGCTATTAAGTGTGTTCAGGACTTCAGTAAATTGACGCTTTAAGGCTATTCTGCCCAAGCCAATTTATTTAAGATTGAAGGCCCAATTCTCACTTTGGAACAAGTCTAATTCTCACTCCTATCTTCCAAGTTGATTTAATAAAAATTGCAGATTTGCTTTACAAATGGTATTATGCTTTGGCTTAGACAAGCGTACTTGACAGTACATCGGCTTGTATCCAAAAGTGCTGTTTCACAAGCAGAAAGCTCAACCAGTGCAATGTTAATACCGGCTTTGAGGCAGGCTGCCAATAACTATGGATGCTGTATTATTTGGAGTTTATATGGTTTTATTCCTATAATTGTTTTATAATTGTTTATGAAGTATTTCATTACCCTTTGTTTACTGCTCTGGAGTTTTCAAAACAAAATGTTTTGAAAAATAAAAGCAGTTTTGAGAAATAAAACAGTAAACAAATTAAAAAGGTAGCTCTCTGATCCTTCCCAGGTGCAAGTCTCTCTTAGTGTGTGGATAGAAAACAGTCTATAAAGATTGCCACACCCTTTAGTTGCTTTATTTTGGAGACATATTACTTCAGCTTGCTATCTGCATATATTTCTTATGATTGATATTTCAGGTGTGAATTTCCAATTTCCACATTTTATGGAGATGTCTTTTGCAAGTGAGGCAGAGAACTCAACCTTCATATTCAGTTTATTTAATATTTATTGCTGTGCTTCTATTTAAAATAATGTTGACTCTCAAAATAATCTTTATAATCCCATATTAAGTTGGATCATATGCAATGCTGAAATATAGCAGGGCTGCCATATGTCCTGATTTTCCAGGACATTCTTGTAGCTTTTACTAAAAAAAACTCAACAACTTTCGGGTTGTCTTGGGTCTTACTTTTTGAAATATGGCAACCCTAAGCTATAGTTTGGCGTTACATCCATGAGCCTCAAAGGTTGGGCCTTCCTTTCTGAAATGGCTGTTTTGAAGAAATCAGAAGATTTTGCTTTCGCTTTCAACTGGCATTACTTTATTATGTCCAAAGTCAGACAGACTTTCAAACTGGAGTTGGTGATCCTGGTTTGTCTTTTTAAAGTGTACTTTACACTAACCACAGTTCTTTGTTCAGATGAAGCAAGCATCCAAATTTCTTGTCACTGCACCAAAGGAGGAAAAGGGAGTGGGTAGCAAGCAAGCAAGTTCAAGGCTTGCCCCCATAGCACCAAATTGTGGTTTAGCATCTTGTCTGAAACACAGCTCTTGTGTTTAAAATGTTAATTTGATTGAATCCATAACAGCTTATTCTGTATTTTCACAGCTTTAGTTGAAGGAGTGTTATTTTTAATGTAAATAAGTATATAGGTAATTTTTTATTTTGTCTACTGTGTCCACTCCTTGGTGCTGATGTAGTACATGTTGTTGATACTATTTCTGTTGTCTGTTTAACCGTAATAAAGATTGATTGAGTGATTGTATTTTCACAGCAATATCCAATTTCAGTGCTGCAAGAGTACCACAGCTATCTCTGCATATTGGTGATGTAGTCCATATACTGGAAGACTGTGAAGGTGAGAAATAATTTTTGGTTTGTATCTTGCATCATCACATTGAGTTATGAGCTCATTGGAGAGAAAAAAATCCTGAGACAATGCTTATATTACTGTTGTCTTGAAACATGCAGCCATCATGCCTGCATATTTAGAAGCATATTTGTTCACTGAGTGCATTTTTGGTGAATTAATGAGACATTAATGAGATTTTACTCTTATCCAGATGTGACTTACCTCCTTACACTGAAACTGTGATGTCTGTATTATGAATACAATGATATTAATTATTAGGAGGTGAAACTTGTTTAACTTGCCTCTTTTTTTCCTGCTTGTGGGTTTTATGTGTGGGTTTTGTGGTAAAACCATCAGAACTAACATAAGCAGAACAACACTTCTTAATAAATAAAAACAGCCTTAATTCTGCTAGTGGTTTTGGTTAAATGATAACCAGAAATGTTTTATCCATAGCTGTAGCCATAAAACAGGCTTTGTAGTTTTTTGTAATGTGGCAGTATTACAAACAACTATGCTTGTGGAGAGAGATACCAACATATGAACTCAAATAAACATGATTTTTAAAAATACGATATATTAACTATGAAACAGAGGGAGACCTTCTGGTGCTCTTGTGCCCATGCAGCATGTGCACACTGAAATATTCAGTGTGACTGAGAGGCTGAGGAGCTGCATTACTTACTCCAATTGATTCTCTAGTTTGACTGCAATTGCACATGTTTGTTTAGTTAATGAGTCTTTCACATTGCCTGTTTTTCCAAAGCTTAGTTTGCTTTCCAAATGATATTGCCCAATGCCTCTGTAGCTTAGCAAGAGTCTAGGATAGGGTGGCCAAACAAAGTATGGTTAAGCAAGGTTGTTGGGTTCAGGCATGGCACCAAAATCATAGGTAAAGCAAGCTATGGCTGGTATGCTGGCAAGAAACCATGGCTTCTCATCATTGTTGCCAGAAAAGAAACCATGGTTAATCTGCTAGGCTAGGTTCGGACAAATCATATTTAGGCTAAACTAACCAAGGCTTAGTTATATGTCTGAACCAAACCAATATTTAATTTGCTCTGGGCTTTTCTTAGTAGTGTTGTATAATTTTAACCATCTGGGGGGTTTTTTAATTAAAAAGTTTTGTGTTGTAACCCACTCTGGGTTCAGTAGTAGGATAGTGAGAAACAAACAAACAATCTCCATGGAACGGCCATGTTCTCCATCTGTTTAAAAGGCGGATGAGAAGCAGGAGAGTGGCCTCCTTCCTTGTCCTTCACTCTTCAACCAAGTAGCACCTGTGGTGGTAGTTCCATGCAGCAGCGAAAGTAGGTTTCCCTTATTATCTTGAAGCAAAAAAATGTGATTTTGCTCTGTTCCTTTTTAATTCAGAGATTTTTTTTTCTTATTCATTCTCAAGGGATGGCATTCTTTCAGGGGTTATAAAGCTTGAGAAAATGCAACTTTTGGATTTCATAAATGCACCGTTAACATATGAAAGTTGTGTGCTCAGAAATGAAACACAAAACTGCTGGACTGAAAGCCAGTACTGGAAAAAAATGAGATGGCAGAGTTAATCTGAACAAAGGTGGACAGCCCGAGAGAGATGTTCTGTAGGTTTATGTCACAGATGAGATTAGCGCAGATATGAAAAAGTTACTCAATGTGTTTATAACATATTTCTTACCAGAAGAGGTCTCTCTTGAGCTACAAACATTGACCTGAGAGCCTTAAAAAGCATTTTCTTCAAAATATACGGTAGTTACAGTGGTACCTCTGGTTAAGAACTTAATTTGTTCCGGAGGTCCGTTCGTAACCTGAAACTGTTCTTAACCTGAGGTACCACTGTGGCTAATGGGGCCTCCCACTGCCGCCACACGATTTCTGTTCTCATCCTGAGGTAAAGTTCTTAACCTGAGGTACTACTTCTGGGTTAGTGGAGTCTGTAACCTGAAGTGTCTGTAACCCGAGGTGTCTGTAACCCGAGGTACCACTGTATTTCAGGGAGAGTTAACTGACACCCCATAAGCAGCATTATGTCTGCAGGGTGTTTTCTTTTCTTTTCTTTTCTTTTCTTTTTGCCTTGGGTCCTGTGATTCACACATCATACCTTGACTGCCTCATCCTGTGAAGGATGTACTCAGTGGTGCACTTAGAAAACTTTCGACTCTAGATCTAATTTTCTTGTGGAGGGACCATTTTTAGATGGTAATGTGTATTACGCTGCTTGCTTCAAAATCTGATAAGGCAGCTCTAGTGTGTTTGGAAGCCCTGGAAATCCCACAGGGTGTGCTTCAAATGTTTCTCCCTTGTGTATTGCCCTTCCCCATTTTCCAGAATTGCCTCAGCTTCCACTTCTGACAGTTACCAAAGATGGATGAGTGTCTGGGTTCCTTATTTTGTTTTTTTGACCACTTGCCAGCGAGCTTCCAGGTTCAAAGAGGGACAAGCTAGGATGCCAAACGGGGGGAAGTGAGGCACTTCTGATCGTGCTGAACTGTCTCACAACAGTAAGAGTTCCTAGCCACCGAATGTTAACATCTAACTTTTGCCTTTTAGCAACTATTCTCCAGGCCTGTGCAGAGCTTGTCTGAGGCCTGGGGTGGGAGTCTTGTTCTTGGCGTGACAGTGTAAATCCAGCAGGCCATGGATGAGGCCTCCCCGGCATGCTTATAGCCCTCTGAGGCTTGGGGGCAAGTATATCTGGCTGCCCCACTCTGCACAGGCCTAACAATCTAAGTGATTAGCACTTTTAGTGGCCTAACCTTATAGTGTTAAATGTCTGACTTTGAGGCTGACAAACATGGCCTTTTTGGGGTTTAAGTGTGCCTTGACACAATAATTAATGCTGGTTGCTAAGGGAAATGCTCGAGCTTTTTCCTTTTTCCCATAGCAGAGAAGATCTGGCTATGCTGCAACATGACTGTACAGCAGAGCTTCCGCCGTGTCCTGGATGCTGTCGGTGAAGCTATGCTTAGGCTCAGGTGGCTTTTCCCTCTAGGAAATGACTGTCAAACCAATTCTGGCTCCCACTGGTAGATTATAGTCTAGTCCGACAGGCCTACAAGGCAAAGCAACCTCTGAAAAGGATGCTGTTGTGCCTCCTGACTGGAGGACTGAACAAGACATGAAAGCTATAATCAGAGCATGGGGGGGGGGGATCAGCTAGGAAAGAAGTAACATTGCTGCTTGCCCCCCAACCCAGATTATTTTGGCATGTTGCCCTCTCCCCTTCACTATATATACCGGTACAATGTATTACATGTGAAGGAGAGAAAATTTGGGGGTATTTTAGTTAAGAAAAAAGGTAAGCGGGGAGTATGAAAGAGTTGCATTATATTATGCACACAGTGTGTGGAGAAAGTAGACACAGATAATTTTTTCTCCCTGTCATCATACTGAGCCCTGGGGTTGTCCAGTGAAATTGAGTATTGAGAGATTCAGGGCAGAAGTATTTCATACAGGACACATAGTTAAACAGTGGTTTTTGCTTCCATAAGATGTAGTCATGGGCACCAACTCAGCCTTTTGAGGGGATTAGACAAATTCATGGAGGATAAGGTTATCCATGGCTATGAGTCTGGATGGCTATATATTACTTCCAGGGGCAAGATCAAACTCCAATGCTCTTCTAAACTCTTTAAAAAGGCAGATTTGGTTCATAAAAGGGATTTATGGCATGAACCCATCACTGGTGATTTTTAGAAGAACTCTTTAGATTGTTTTAAATTTGCACCCACTTCCTTTTTGTTATTTGGTGTGTCTTCATTATGTTGTGTCCTGAGGATTTGCTGCTCATCAAAGGGTGTAATGTGGACTTTAACTTTATTCTTTTTATATTGCTATGCTTATTGTGTAAATTTTGTGTGCCTCCTTGCTTGGGCAATTGCCCTAAAAGGCATTTATGAATACTTTATTATGAACAAAGAAACAAACAAACACAAATACATACATACATACATACATACATACATACATACCAGTAATCCTTTTCAACACAATTTAATCTATGCATACCAGGAAGTAAACTGCACTGTGTTCAGTGGAACTTACCCTCATGTAAGCATGCATAGGATTGTTACCCTAGTTTTGCAGAAATTGAACGAATTGGCTCAATTTGGACATTGAAAAGCATATAATAAGTAACTATGGTTTTGCTTTGACTTTTAGGTTGGTACAAAGGATACATTGTAAGACATAAAGGGGTAGAGGTAAGATTATTCTTATTGACTTTATTCTTTTTTTGTTGTTGATTATCTGTTTGATTTTTTTTTTTTGTAATAGACTATTATTTTATTCTTTCTTTTTAAGTGTGTGGAGTTTAATCCTGAGAAGAGTCACTGAATCTATGTCAGTGGCCAATATTTCAATAAGGAAATGAATGTTTTTGTACTATGAGAAAAGTAGATTAAATAACAAATAATGGACTGACCAGCGTCCAACTAGTCGTATACACTGAAGGGATCATGTGTATCACAAATTGTAGTGCCCTTTAGCTAATTGAAACTGATGTAGCTGTTAAAAGCAAATTATGATATGGCACAAGATAAAAGTTGAAGATTCTAATAGGTTGGCTGAAGCCTAGGGACATACCTGAAATCTTTGAGCCAAATCATTTATTATTTATTTATTTATTTATTTGCACCAGGTTTTTTTAACCACACTTTCATTTAAGCACCCATGAGGCATCTCACAACACCAGAGTATAAATCACAAAAGTAAAAATACAACCATGACAATAAAAACATAGGCATAAGAGCAATATTAATATTGTTTGAAATATGAATTTGGAGAACAGGTGATATAATGAAATTCAGTTAGAGGGGTTTCAAGGAAGTCAGTTATCAATGTTATGAGAATGAGATATTTGAAGAAATAATTTTTCTTTGCGTTTTTGTAATGCATTTTTCTTTGTTGTGTGTTTTGTATGTCATTTTTGTTATAATTGTGGAAAATCAATAAAAACAATTTTTTGGGGGAAAAGAGCAACAGCAGTGCGATAAGACATCTTAGTGCACAGGTAGAACACCACAGCTTCTAAGGAAAAAAATGCCTGCGTAAAATGGAGTACATTAGAACCAGTACCTTGGATTGGATCAAGTCATGCCCTTCTGCAAATGGAAGGTCTTCCTGTTTTCATAAGGGACTCTGATCTAGCAGTGCCTCTTTCAGAGCTATTTTGCAGCTCTATAGCTGTGTATCTACCCTATTACCCACCGGCATCCCTTTATTCCTGCAGTGCCTAAGTTCCAGCTGACATCTGACTGTGTGCCTTTGTTTTTTACATTTAACAACCACTTCTTAAGTTGCTTTGTTCCCTTTGGTTTTTTCCCATTGACTCTGCCCATTAGGCTTATCCCCACATGACATTGAACGTAGCTATAAGTACAAATGATTGTGTGAAAGAGTGTAGACTTGATTTGTACAGCTCAGTTATTGTGTCCACAGACACTACATTTGTTGAATTTAACACATGAGCACCCCTTTTCATTTCCCATTTCCTTCTTCTCTTATGTGCCAATTTAAATATTTCCCTTTCCCCTCCCTTCACTGACTAGCATTGGCATGAACATCCTGGTTTGTTTAAACTTGAATTTCCCTCAGTTTAGATGAAACAGTGAGCTCAGGTTTAATGTCAGGATAATCCAGGATCTGAGTGACATTTCAGTTTTTCAGCTTCACTGCTGATCATAAGAGGATATGTGTATCATGTGTTGTATTAAAGAGAAGATTCACAAATGGATCTTAGGCTACATGTTCCATCAACATGATTAGCAATCACATGGTTAGCAAAAAAATTAAATATGGAGCGGGATATGATGGTCACTGCAACACTCTGGGAGAGAAGGTTTAAGACTCCTCTCTCCAGCTGCAATCTCAGCAAAAGTACCCCACTACATGGTAATAATCATTAGGAAAAAATGCTCAGTGGCACCAAGGCTTCAGCTTCCTATCCTCTCAGGCTGTGGTGCTGATCAGAATTGTGGTCTCCTGCACTGGACTGGTATTTAATTTTTAAGAACCTAGAGTGTGACTGCTAATCCTCCTGTGTAACCAAATGTGTTGTTAGGCCACCAGACCCACAGCTTGTAGACAGAACCATGACAAAGATACTTTAATACATAAACTCCTCTTGAGCTTCGTAGGTATTATAAAATATTGTATGAATGGAGATGCTACCTTGAATGTTTGTACTTTGGTGAAGTCAATGGTTCCTTTATATGGAGACTACTTCTCCATTTTCTCCAGTATTATCTCTTCCATCTAGCAGTGGCTTTGAGGCCTCAGGCAGAGCTCTTTCAAATAACTGGCTTTTTGAAACATTTAGCAAGAGATGCCCCTGGCTGAATCTGCATAGCTGTAAACTTTTCCCTTTTCTTGCGAGGAATCCTATTGGGAATAAGGGAATTCCCCTTAAAAAAAGGGAAACATTGACAGCTATGTGAATCTGGGACCTTCTGCTTGCAAAGCTTGTGCTCTACCACTCAGTCAAAGAAAAAGCTGGTGTATGGAACCCACACTTGAGTCAGGCGTCAAGAAATAGTCGAGGATGAAGAAAATAGGTGGACGTTCGTTACCAGTGTACAAGTTCAGTGGAAAGGACTCTATGAGCAACCCTGGTAATGTGTGAACTTGATCTGATGCCCTTCAGATGTTTTGGCTGGCTGGAGCTGCTGGGAGTTGTAGTCTAAAACATCTTGAAGGCACCAGGCTGGGAAAAGTGGCAAATGGTTAATAATTTAACTCCGTACATAGTAGTTGCAGCTACATGAGAATAAAACTTGCCAGAGTTTTATTCCAGAACCTCTATATATCAATCTACTTTTGGTCCTTTTAATTTGTCATAGAAGAAATGTTCGGTACAATATAACAAATGTGCTTTCCCCCTTCTTCTTCCATTAGGGAATATTTCCAAAATCTTTTATCCACATCAAAGAACTTTCTGTTGAGAAAAAAAGGTATTTCATTGAGATAATTCTTTTGAGGTATATGTCAGCGGATGGGAGTATTATAGCTAAAACCCCCCATGTGATTGATGCTGAACAGCTTGGCGAAATAATTTCTGTAACTAATGCTTGAAAGGGTCTTTCACTAAGAGTGATCCTTATCGTCTGATGGGAAAAGCTAGAATGTGCACACCCAGTAGCTGATAGGCAAAAGATTTGTAAGGTGCCCTTTCCTAACGACAAGGAGGGTGAGGGGCGCTTGTGGGTGGTGTTGTCAGTCAGGTAACAGTCTGGCATAGTAGGACCCTGGACGGTTCCAAGTTAGCAACTTGATTCAGTGTTATCTGCAACCAGTGCTGGCCCACCTATGAGGCAAGGTGAAGTAACTGCCTCAAGTGGCAGGATCCACAGGGGCAGCAGATCCAACCACCAAGAAATGCCCGCTGTTGCTGCCACTACACTACCCCCTTGATCCCAATGTGGAACTTTACCCCCTCCCCCCATTCCCCCCTTCTTCTTTGAAAGGTTGGGGACGCCATTTTGTTGTTCATTTCAGGTGCCAAAATTATTATTATTTATTAAATGTGTATACCACCATTCATTTGTAGATCTCAGGGTGGATCACAGCATAAAAATACAAGAAAATGTCTCTGAGACTTGTGGTCTCTTAGCCAGACTAACCCCCTTTGCTTCTGCCTCCTTCCTGATGAATGGAGAGCCTTAAAGGGGTAGTCTTTTGGTCTGGAGCCTAATACTCCACCTCCTTCCTGTCAGTTCCCTCTGGTGTGCTCTTCTGGCAAGTGTGAGGTCCTTGGTGCAGAGGGGCTTTCTCACAGAGGAAATCAGCCTGGCCAGAGTTTGCGTGTGGTTGTTTTCGGGGGCTTCTACTTCAGGAATGTGAGGTTTAAGAGGCTCCAAGCTGATTGGCTCAGCCTTGGTGTTAGGCCTGGGTCCATCTGTGTCCATCTAGCACCCCCTGTGTATTTTACCATTGATCCTTCTGATCTGGCTGACCGTTCCTCCTCTGGGCTGGATTCTGGGCTGCTGATCAGGGTGGGAATCATGCCATTAAACCACTGTTTATCCTTTTGTTCAGAAATGCAGAAAATGTAATACCTGCTGAGATTCCTTTGGTGCAAGAGGTTACTTGCACACTTTGGGAATGGGGCAATATCTGGAAACAGCTCTATGTGGTAAGCAATCCCTCCCATAGGTCTATTACTTCAAGTATTTTAAACAAAAAGTACCTCAGATGAATAAAATTATTGATTGCAGGCAAAGAAGACGTTAACAGGGTTAGGTGCTATGTTAGCCATATTTTGTAGGCTTAATTATGGATATGCCAAGTGTTTAAGACAGTGTTTTGTCTTTCATTTCATGAAAAGAACACTCCTTTGAAAGAGACTATAAAGAATCAATCCCTTCATTGAAGAGTTTGCTCTTTTGTTAAAAGCCTGCCAGTATAATTCCACTTTGAGTTTTATGCTCTTTAAGTCTCTGACTGACCTTTAATACGCAATGCAGGAATGTGCTCACAGTAGGAGGTTGAAGGCACCTGTAATTCAGAACCTACTACTTTTTGCTTATAGGGAAAAGCTGCTATTATATATTTCTAAACAACTTGTCTATTTTTAATGTGTTCCGACAGCCTACCTAATTCAAAGAAAGGGAATTTTGCGTGCCAAAGGACAGCACTACTGCACAGTGTATTTAAAGCTTAACTGGAAGTGCCATTATTATAAATAGCCTCTCTATACTGCGTGTTTTAGTTGCCACAATCAGTACATCTGGTGAAAGCAGTGTGACTCAGTGGCTATAGCACTCTGTCAAAGGCACAAATAAGAAACCTAAAAGCTTTTTTTTCTCTTCTAGCTGAATTTCACCAAATAAAAGATCCCTCACACACACAAAACCAAATTAGAAAGAAAAAATAAGAATCATTGCAGTGGGTGTGGTACTGCAGGGGATCCCAGGTTCCTCTTAGGCCATGCAATAATATTTCTTCCCTTGGTGTGGTGAGGTGTGACCTAGCCCACCTTTTTCTGATTGGCAAGCTTGGCATGATGCGGTTTAAGTTGTGCTGAGAGTAAGGGTAGGAATAGGAACATAGGAAGTGGCCTTACAGTGAGTCAGGCCAAGAGCCCATCTAGCTTAGCATTGTCAGCACTGACCTGTAGTGACCATTCAGGGCTTCGGACATTGAGTCCTTCCGAACCCCAGCTGGGGAAGCCAGGGATTTGGTTGGAGACCTGTGTATGCAAATCAGATGCTCTATCACTGAGCTATGACCCTTCCCTGTGGGCTACACCCACAATCCTGGGGAAACAGGTCTGCCCTTGCTACCTCCAATTTTCGCTGTTGTATCCCATCTCTCTGTCACCCTGTAGCATGAATAATATGCACCAAGCCTTTGTTAATATGATAACATTGGTTTTACATACACTGATTTGTTTGTAGCTTTCGAAAGTAGGATAGTTTTGCTTTAATACCAGAGGAAAGATCCTTATTTTTCCTGCAATCCAATAATTGTTTAATCCCTGGAATAAAAGCAAATAGTATTTGAAATTTCAGATAAATTGACATCTGAAATGTGTTACATGTTTCAGGCAAACAAGAAGGACCGGTTTCGACAAGTACAATCTATGATGTGCGAATTAATGGAGTGGAGGTCTCAGCTTCTCTCAGGGACACTGCCCAAAGATGAGCTCAAAGAACTGAAGCAAAAAGTCACTTCCAAAATTGACTATGGCAACAAGTAAGTTCTCTAGTTCTGGCTTACTGATAACAGTTCAAGTCAGTGTATGCTGCAAGCTGGGATATTTCAGAAATGTTAACAGTGATTGAGTTGGGTTTACTATTGCTTTCAAAAATGAACTCATAAAATCATAGTGATGTCATATTGTTCTAAGCAGGCATTTTTTATTTAGATGTGTTTGTGTTTAATTTTAAAGTGTTTTTGTTTTAATTCTTAAGATTTTTCACAAGGCCCGTCAACCAGTATATATAAAAATCTGAACACCTGATGTGCTGTATTGTTTCATGGGGATGTAGACATTTTAAAAGTGATTCCTAAATACATATTAAAGGATAACATATTTAAATATCTAAAGACAAGTATGAGCTTCAGATTATTTACATGCTAAGTGACTTGGAAATGTATGCTTCTATAAGGTGGTTGATATGAGCTCTAAAAAACAAATAACGTTTCTGATGTTATTTCCTCTTTATGCTTACAGGATACTAGAGCTAGATCTGATAGTTAGAGATGAAGATGGAAATATATTGGATCCAGAGAAGACCAGTGTCATCAGCCTCTTTCATGCTCATGCTGAAGCTACTAACAAAATCACAGAACGGATTAAAGAGGAGATGGTATGAAGTTTACACACCCATTTCTGTGCTTTCAAATAGAAGTTTCCTTTCTCATAGTAGGAAGGTTATTACATGAGAACCCTATCGTTTTCTGGTTTTAGCCAGTGAAAGCTTTTTCATCACCAGATTGTGTACATTGAGAATGTTTTGTACCATAAAGTGTCTTTACTATGTACTGTAATGTTAATCTTTTATTTAAGTTTTCAGCTGCAAAGGATACCCCAATTAGCACAGATCACTGCTATAGAGACAAAAGAGAATTCAAAGTCTGATATGGTGACAAATAAGATTTCAAAAAGTTAGGTGCTCATCTCTCACTTTCTGCTCCCCAAGACCATTCCTTTTAGCCAGCCAAGTAGCCTTATTTTACATTTGGAACTTACTTGATCATCTGTTGGTGTGTTAAAAAGCTTCAGACCTCTTGAAGTAATAGCTTTCCAGGCTCATTATTATGGAAGCAGCAATTCTAAATCTAAACTTTGACACCTGGATAAGTAAGCGGTATATAAATAGCAGAAATAAAATAAACAATGACAATGTCAGGTCTATTTCTGCAGCCTAGTTCCACAGTGACATGCTGTGCTACTTCTGTTCTTTATAACCCAGGATTAAGCTGCCAGTGCATCTCACCCTCCTTGAGAAGGCAAACTTGGTGAGCTTAGTTGTAGCTGGGTGGATAGAAGTCATTATCTACTGTAAGGCTTGAGCCCACCCTTTGAATTAGTGCTTAACTTGTGTGGAAATACCCTTAATACTCTCAGATAGTTATTTAATGTCACTAATAAGTAACAAAGACCGAGCATCATTTTAAAAATCAAGCGCACAATAAATGCCACATTGATAAACTGATAGCGTGTCATAAATTATTGTATAACCAGCACATACAATACAAAATATCTGTTCTATTGAAAATGCACTGCTGGTTATATCTGTAAATATGTTGGACTTGGAAAATGATATGGTGCCTGGTGACCTGCTTCCACTGATGAAGACCTCTGTCAGAGGAACAGAAAGGGAGACCATCTCCAGTTTTTCATCACGCCCCCCCCCCCCGGCAACCTCTCCAAATCTATTATGGAGGATTGATGGGACCTTCTGGAGCAGGGAATTGCCACCTTCCTTGTTCCACTAATGAATGTTTTGCACTGGAGGAGGAACACCCATTGGGTGCCATCTACTGGATTCTCAAAATATTCACAAAATCAGTGCATCAATTGTTGAATTTGAAAGCAAAGGTTAAATCTGCACCTAATAAATATAGTGGTTCAAGTTGTGTACTGTGGCCAAAATGATGCTTGATTGTGAAACCTTACACAGAGGAGGAAGCAGGTTCTAGGTGTAGTTTGGATAACATTATCTTCTTATGATTTGTTCATACACAGTCAAAGGATGAATCTGATTATGGAACCTACTCCAGAAGCTCTACATCCCCCACTCACAGTCTTTATGTCTTTGTGAGGAATTTTGTCTGCAGAATAGGAGAAGATGCAGAACTTTTCATGTCACTCTATGATCCCCAGAAGCAGACAGTTATAAGGTATGCTGCTGTTTTGCTGGTGTGAGGTGTCAATCTTCCTTGCCAAGCTGACAAGTGTTTTTAGGATAAATGTGTGAGGTCTAAGAATGATCCCTTGAAAATGAAAACACACACACATTTCACAGCTTAAAGAGATTGCAAATTGTCAGGTACTTTAAATAGACTTTCACACTATCAATGAGAATCTTTGCAATTGTAATTTCAGTGTTCATTAGGTGTTTTGGAACCCTAAGGGAGAGAACAGTCAACTAATCGAAGACAGAATGAATATTCATACTATAAAAGAGAAGGGAAAAAGATAGAACAGAAAAGGAAAAAACCAAAACGTCTACAATTAACCATTTTAAGTAGCTCTGGGAGGAAGAACAATATAAAATAAGCAATAAATAAATTATATTAATATGGAATTCAATTGCATGATAAGCATGTTCCAAAATATTAAGGAACGAGGTAATATTGGGCCTAGTTATTTATTACATATCTTTAAATGTGCAAAAATAAACTGAACAATGGAGCTTAGGTGAATGTACACTGAGTACACAGAGTACGTTGGGAAGCTTCAAATGACTCTGGTGGCTTGCAGCATTTGAACTTATCCATGCTAGTGAATTCTTTGACAGAAGATTTTGAAGGTTTAGTATAAGTAGTATACCAAGCGAAAATAGTAACATATAGAGCCAGTAAGACAGCATGATCTCTTGGAAACCACCATTCTTTATTGCTTAGATCCAGACTTTGCTCCTGCTGAGTGGAGCATCTCCTGAGTGGAGCTGTGCTTGGGGGAAACCAGGCTATGAATCCAGGAACTGACCAGGATTGTTTCCTCTGAACCCATCCACAGGATCCAGTTATAAAATTTCACAACAATACTGAAGAAAGCTATAGTCTTAAATATATACAGTATTTGCTTTTATGCTATTGTAGAACTAAACACATTTGAGTGCTTTTTTTTCTTCTAGTCTGAGCTGCCTTGTGCATTCTTCTTTGAATTTGATCTCATTTTTGCACCCTTACTACTTTGGAAGTATTTCCAGGAAAGCGGCCTTTGAACCCCTTCTTAGTCCAAAATCCTGTGAATACTTAGCTAGAAATAAACTCCACTGAAGTTAACGGTATTTATGTCTCAGCGGCCATGTGTAGGATAAGACTAGAAGGAAGATACTTTTATGTCTCAAAACCATTAATGGGGCCTTAGCTGCTTATCCATTATAGCATTTTTTAAAGTGCAGACACAATGTATTTTCCAACCTTATTTCTTGCTTAATTATCTAGACACCAGCCTTCATGGCATGCCATTATTTTGTCTTTAGAATGTGCTTGTCAAAAGCAAAGAATGGGGTATATATCTGAATAAGAGTCAATTTGTAGAAGTGGCATTGTCAGGTGTTCAGATTTGTGCAGAGCAATGTGTATTATATAATGTTATTCGCCAGTTATGCTTTGTGAAGCTATTAGATGACCCAGTCATACAGAGTATAACACGATGTGTTCTTTTTAAACAGTGAAAATTACTTGGTGAGATGGGGGAGCAAAGGTTTTGTGAAAGAAATTGACAATTTCAACAATCTGAAGGTGGTTTTCACTGTGAGTAGCTTGTATCTTTACTATAGTACTTAACTGCCAGTGGCATTTTTCTGGAAAGCTTATCGAATCAAGCATTTTTCAAATTTTGTCACATCTCCAGGATGTTCTGTTCTACATTTTAAAAATTGTTAGATTTTCAGGAGACAGGATAGAATGTCTAGTTTAGTTCTGATATGTGGTCTGACTTAATATACCTAATACATGCAGAACTGTATGTGGCCCAGGTTGAGAGATGTCTTAGACTGCAGCCCTATACAAATCTACCTGGAAGAAAATGGAAAATGTATAGGATCATACTGTCCGTATGCTCATCAGCACAATGATAGACACATGACTATGTTTCTGAAAAAAATATTCAGTGTATTATCAGAAAACTAATGCTAAAATAATAAACAGTAACATTTCTTAGCCAGGATACATAGAGGAAACATTTCCACGCATCTGGAACATTAGTTCCAAGTCTAAATCCTTGGGGGTCTATGCTGTATTAAACTGCTTTGAATTCAACTTTGCTTTCAGCTCCATTTGCACTCTTCATCTCTTTCAGGATGAATAATATGCCATTGTATTTTGCTTACATTAGATACATGACCTAGTAGAATAGATGCTGGTCAGGACTCAGCAGTAATTGACCCGTATGATATTAGCTTGTTCGTAGCTATATTTGGCAGAAGTTAATACTGTAGTACAGGGAAAATACCTCTATTAATCTTGTAGACAGATGTTACACTAAACAGAAGAGGTGATTGAAATCACTGAGACATACAATTCCTATTCTGATTACTCAAGGACATCAGTAAATTATTGCTTATGCATATCACCCAGGGAAGAAGAAAAAAACCTTATTTGTCACCAAGGGACCAATAATATTTCCCCCCCTCCAATACAAGCTTAATGAACTTGTGGCTGTTCAGTTTAATCATGTTTAATTTTAGAAAAAGCAGAATGCATAGAAAACTCAAGGCCAGTCAGCAAAACCTGTGAACACTCTTGTTCCAGGAAGCTTCTCTCATAGAACCAGATACTCTGCAAGATTTCAAGATTACTTCTTGAATTCCCCACACCACCCTGCCCAGTTTAAAAAGCAGCTGGGGGATTGGGCTTGTGCATTTTTGAAAGGGACATTTCTATTTATCTCCTTAGTTTTCTTATCAAACTCTTGAAACAAATCCTCAACTACAGTTTAACTTTGGATGAGTTTAAAAATCGGGGGGGGGGGGGGTTGCAGGGGGCGGGGGTTGAGGGTGGCATGTAAAACCTCCAGCTCAGAGCAAATGAAAAGTTGAGTATGAGGATTGCATCTGCAGTCTTTTAGGTTGTGACCCTAATAAATAGTGTGTGAAGGAATTGTATATAAAGACTTCTGAAAATTCACCTTCTTTTTCAGAACTCTGAGAGATCAATACATTTGGTTCCTCTCTCTCACACACCCCACATGCCCTGTTAGAAAGGTCAAACTGATTCTGATGTAGCTCGTCATTTGCTTCAGTGAACTTGAAAGTATTTTGAAAGTGTTGGATCAAATTGGGTGAAGGTCTGCTGATTGATTGATCATGCAGCGACTTATTTCTCAAGGTGCTTCACTGACTTCACTTAGCTTCTTGCTTTGAAGTTGATGCATACTTTGAATCCAGATTTCATGTCAGTCAAATCCAGTTTTCTGAACTGATGTTTTCCTTTAAATGAAAACATGTCCTTTCCATTACTGAAACGTTATTGCACCACTGTTAGTACCTATATATTATGAATCTCTACATGGTATGGAATTTCATTGTGACTCTTGTAATTGGTCTTTGATTTCACAAATATCAGGATCTTGGAAACAAGGATCTCGGAAGAGAAAAAATTTATTTGATTTGCCAGATTGTACGGGTTGGAAGAATGGATCTTAAAGACAGTAATACAAGAAAATATACCCAGGGCATAAGACGACCTTTTGGAGTGGCAGGTAAGAAAATACGTGGACAGGATCCAAGGAGGGTTGCATGGTCTTCCTCGGGTACACTGCGGCTTTTAAACTACTTTTTGTCTTTTAAAGCCCCGACCCCTAAAAAGCTGCCACTGAAAGTTGCGGATCCTCTAAAGAGGCATTGTATTATGCATAAAGGGCTGCCAATGGATGTGAAAATTGGCAACATCGTTCCTCCCCACCCTGTATGTGGAAAGATACGTGGGGCTGTAACTGGCTGTCATATTCAGCATACACCCATTGAAATGTTTCAGTGGGTCTACTCTAAGTTTGTCATAGTTTGTCATAGGCATACAGCCACTGGTGTAAGGTGTATTTGGATCATGACTCTGCCCCCCTCCTTTAATGATGGTAGGTCAACATGAGTCAGTGTCATGCAGCAGCAAAAAAACCTAATGCTATTCTAGACTGCATCAACAGAAGTCTAGTCTCCAGATCAAGGGAAGTAATAGTACCATTCTATTCTGCCTTGGTGATACCACACCTGGAATACTGTGTCTAGTTCTGGGCACCACAATTTAACAAGCTGGAACTTGTGCAGAGGGGGGCAACCAAGATGATCAGGGGTCTAGAAACTAAACCTTATAAGGAGCGCTTGAAGGAACTGGGTATGTTTAGCCTGGAAAAGAGAAGAATGAGAGGCGATATGATAGCCATCTTCAAATATCTTAAGGGCTGTCACATGGAGAAGGGAGCATGCTTGTTTTCTCCTGCTCTGGAGGGCAGGATTAGAACCAGTGGCTTCAAGTTGCAAGAAAGGAGATTCCGACTGAACATCCGGAGGAACTTTCTGACAGTGAGAACCCTTTGACAGTAGAACAGACTCCCTTGGGAGGTTTTGCACTCTTCTTCCTTCCTAAATTTGATCAGGGTGTTGTTGTTAGGTGAAGGTATTCTTTGAAGCTCTTTAGTGAACATTCACTTCAAAAAAGTCCATGAGACTGCAGTAGTATGGGCAGGATTGTGGCAGAGAAATGGAAATTTGTACATGGCCTTTTGTTGGAGATTTGTACGTGGCATGAGATCTCCCTGGTGTGGAAAGGGTGTACAGGATGAAATGCTTTAAACAATTTTTGGGGGGAATACCTCAGCATAGGATGCCACATTGGAGTTTTATAGGGTAACAAAAAGAAACTGTAGGGATGTAATGCGCATAAGCAAAAGCTGAATGCTAATGTATTATTTAAGAATGCACAATGAATTAGCTGTCTCAGCTTCCTTGAAGTCAAGTTAATTACCATCTACCTAGGGCTCTGGTATTTATTGGCTGTTCTTCATTGCTACATGATTAAATTAATTGATGAGGCAGGAATCGGAGGCAAATAATTTAATTATTTTTGTAAGTTCTGAATAATTGAGAACACACAAAATGTTTTCCCTGGTTATAGATCAGCATCACAGTAGGAGGAACTTCCTTGGCAGCAAACTGGCCATACTTAAGACTATGTGTTTTGTTAGATTTGGACAACATTGCAGAGTTTGATATTGTTAGAACGATTAGACTTGGACTACACTAGAAAATGAAACTTGCATTTTTTTAAAAAATATGTGGAAAAGTAATTACATTTGAAGCTATTTGGAATGAATTTGCATAATAAGCTTGAGAGTATAATCTGCAGTATAATACTTGTCTACAGTCCAACTCTATGAAATTGATGAGGTATTTGATCCTAACAAGAAGAGGAATTACTTGTTTGTCCATTTCTTTCATGCACATTTGGACGGATTATTTCTTCACCACCCCCAGTTATGGATATTACAGACATCGTAAAGGGAAAAGCAGAAAGCGACGAAGAGAAGCAACATTTCATTCCTTTTCACCCGTAAGAATTTTTTATTAATTAATTTTATTTTTTTATCGCATGTGTATTCCACCCTTCTTCCAAGGCCCTCAAGGTGGCATGCATGCTTCTTCCTCTACATTTTTATCTGCACTACAACACTGTGAGGGAGGTTAGGTTAGGTTCTACAGGTGTATCGGGCTGGAGTCGCACCACAGAAGCCCTGTGCAAAGCCTTCCTTGAGCATGCCCCCTAAGCCCTCAGCCCCAAATTGGCTAGAGAGAGAATTCCCAGAACAGTGCAGAGGGAGGGAGGGAGACCAGGGATCGCTCCTTCTGGCATAGCACAATTTTGAATTCCTCCCATTGTTGCAAATTCAAGCATTGGGTGGAGGAAATGGAACAAGCATTTGTGCATACATCCTCCAATTGCCCTTCCTGTTCAGCTTACTGCATGCTTGTATTGATGGTTTATTTATATAGATATATTTTCCTTCTTCTTTTTCCTCTAGAGTGTCAGAGAATGAGTTTTTGCATAACCTCTTAAGCAAGGTCACAACACTCAAAGGTGATGGACAAGGTAAAGCATATTAGTGTCTGCTCTTAACCCCCACTCACTTTAACCTAAAGGCATTATTGACAGACCTTAGGACCAGTTTGCATTTCACCTGGTGCCAAGTTGAATGCCTTAAGAGCAGGCAAGAATTCTGTGACAGGCACTCCTATGTGGGTAGGTATATGTACTTAGATTATGATTTGCTTAACCAAGGCAGCTCACATAGAAGTGCTGATTCTTACAAATAGCAGCAAGCTTAAGCTTCTAAGACAGATGTGCTGTCACCTGATGTAAGAGGTGGGGAACTAGATGGCTAGTGGGCCCCCCTTCCCAGTGGACCAAGTTTCACAGGTGGGCAAGGTCACCCATCTGTCAGTCACCTGATGGCACAATGACAGCAGGTCAGCCTTTTTTTGCACAGCGTTAGGGAAGCCCTGATGTCTAGTTTTCTGTGTACAGTGCTGTGCTAGCTTTGATGATCATCTGATTGGTACCTGCCACCCCACTATCACCAAGCCACATCTTTACCTGTACATCTTTACCTGTTCCACACCTAACATCTTGTGTGGGGCAGATAGACATGGCTTAGCCAAAATGCCCTCATTGGTCAAATGGGGAGGCCTATGCGTTCCTTGCTGGAAAGATGTGGTTAATGTAACTATGCCCGTAGATTTGTGGCTTGTGAACTAAGGTGTCATGATCTCATTTCTGAGGAACAATGTGCAGAGCTCACTGGAGTGGGAGATCAGCCAAGTAGAACAATCTCTGACATGTACTTCCCTGGAGGCAGAGGCAGCATCCAATCCTAGGGGTGGATGAACAGCAATCCACATGGTCCAGGGGTCAGGGAATCCGATGATCATGGGGTGAAGGGTCAAGGAATCAGCAAGGTAGGGCCAGAAACTACAAGCATTGTTACCAGCATCTGAATGCTGCTGGAAGCTCTGCTTAAGAAGGCTGAAGCCAGCTGATTCTCATCAGTGCCTTCTCCTCTGTGTCCTTGAAGGCTGATCAGCAGCAGGTGGAGTCACTCCGCCTTCTGATTAGCAGGTTAAGCTGAGTCCTGGCTCAAGGCACAAAGTACCTCAGCAGGCTTTTCTTGAAATGATAGTCTGCATTGGACTATAAATATTGTCTTCCTTTCTTCTACAGGGCTATGGGTAACTATGAAAATGCTTGTTGGAGACACTACTCAGATTAGGAAGGACTACCCTCATCTTGTTGACAGGACAACAGTTGTTGCTAGGAAGCTTGGTTTTCCGGAAATAATCATGCCAGGTATGAGGTTGTTTTCTTCTGCTTAGAAGCTGGCTATTTTCTTTTTACAAATGAAACCACCTAAAGAAAGTCTGTTCTGAGGTGCTGAAAGCAACAGTAATGTTTTTACTGGGACTTTTATTTCTCAATTTTCCTATAAATTAGTGGTAATGCCTTAATGGGACTTTATGGAACTTCATGCCCTGACTTCCTCTTCTGTTGCAATACTTTGAGACCAGCTCCACCACCCATATTTTTCATGCTGTGACGTTGCCTGGGGTGGTTCTGCAATTTGGGGTGGGTGATAAAGTGTGCTGTGAAGTTGTGACTTGCACCATCATGCTTCTAAGAGTCTCACTGGCTGGTGGTTCCAATCCCCCGCTACAAAAGGCCTCCGAGTGAGATCAAAAGGCAATTGGCTTCATGATGACATAGTGACATCAGAGTGAAGGCAAAGCTTTGTGTCCTCATTCTGGATCCAGCTGGTAGTGGGGAGGGGGAGAGAGGGAAATGGTGCCTCACAATCACTGCAGCCACTGTATGAATACTGTTGCACCCAGGACCATGAAGCAGGCAGTGGTGGTGAAAAGGGTGAGTCAGGGTGCTGGTTCATGAAACCTTTTGCCTGTGTGTATTTCCTTCATTTCAAGCCAAAAGAGTTTTGACAACTTTTCAATCAACCCTATTTTTGATTCCTTAAAAAAAATATACAACAGTCATCCTGTATCAAAAGCTGCCTTGTGCTTCTCTTCTGTTTCAAAATTAGTTTGGTGGTGAAATGGTACCATTTGCAGTCGGTGACTTTTCCCCATCCCAACTTTCGCCCCCTCCCCTAAAATTTGAAGGGGAGTTTTGCTTTGTACTATTTCTTTTAGGTCTCTGCCTTGCAGAGTTGTGTTGTTTTTAAACCTATATTTTGTCATTTTTACTGTTTGATTATAGACCACCTTGAAACTTACACAAAAAGTGATTCACAAATTAAATTTACAGCAACATGTTACTAATTGCATAGTTCTTTCAAATCTGCATGACACTCTTGCCTCTTTCTGGTGTGCCTTTGCTGTTCTTCACCAGGAGGTGTCATTGTAGGATGAGAATTACATATCGCTGTAGAAGCAATGTCAAGCTCTTTCCTGACAAGACTATAAAAGTTTGATAATGGACATCAAAGCCGAATTTCATTTTCTTCCTTGAACATTCACACTTCAGGATATCACTGAGTAGGGCAAGGCGTGGATCTTATGCATTCTGTCACCTAAGCTGCTTTCAGTCCTTTCTGTCCCGGTATCTACCCCTTTTGAATTTCTTTCATAGGCGATATAAGAAATGACATCTACATTACCTTGCTAAATGGAGACCTGGATAAGTCTAATAAAACTTCACAGAGAAACATAGAAGTCAACATGTGTGTCTGTGATGAAGATGGGAAAGTGATACCAGTAAGTGTTGCTCTCTTGTGTGCATATTGAAGATGAACAAGCACAACCTTTCTGTAACCTCATTTCCTAAAGCTTGTGCTGCAGTTCAGATCTGTTGGTTTTGCTCTGTTAGCATTTATATGCTGATGAAGAGAGCTTGATTCAGAAACTCAGCACACAGAATTCTTCAACCATAGGTGTATATTGGCAAGCCATCTTATCCCAGCCATGACATATTCTGAGAGATATGTTTGCACTTGATATATGATGGGGTAAAAAAAGAAGTCGTATAGATGCAAGTTGGCCTAAATAGATTGCCATATGTTTTTAACTGTTGGACTTTTAGTAAGATGAATTCTAAGAACCCCGGTATAATATATTGATAGCATTGGCACATTGGTTTTTTATATATATAATTGTGCATTTTTAGTATAAGAAAGATTCCCCCCCCCACACACATTCTGCCCTTGAATTTTACAGGTGAAGCAGCTAGCTAATACATCAAGGGCAACAAGAATAGGTTTACTTCAGCAACTATTGTTTGTTGACCTCCATAACTCTCCTTAAGAGCAAAACATGTTTTTTAGAGTCCACAAATAATAGAATCATAGATGCCACTTTAAATCCATTTTGGGCCCAAGCCCATTCGCTGGTATATTCCATAGCTTTTGCTCCACACTCCAACATGCAAAAGTCATGAAAGGTTGCTTGTTCCTGCAAGTTCTATGTGTACTCACAACAATGCAAATTGAGCAAATTGAAATGCCAGCTGCCAATGAAGCAGTAGTGAACAACAAAGAATTTCCCTTTGGTGTTTGCCTCTGCGAGGCTTTTCTGGATGTTCCAAAATAATGTGAAAAATCTGAGATAGGTCTGCAGAAAGATTATTGACAGTCTGTGGCACAGAGTCTCAAGTCTTCCTCCTGGTCTGATCTAAGGCTGAAATTGCCTGTAAAACAAAAGCAAAAACACCTTGATATTTAAATGACACACACACACACACACACACACACACACACACATATGTGTGTTGTGTATGTGTGTGTGTGTATATATATGGTGTTTGTTTTTGTGTTATATATTTTGTGTTATAATATATATAATATACAGTGGTTCCTCTGGTTAAGAACTTACTTTGTTCTGGAGGTCCGTTCTTAACCTGAAACTGTTCTTAACCTGAGGTATCACTTTAGCTAATGGGGTCTCCCCTGCCGCACCCATTTCTGTTCTCATCCTGGGGCAAAGTTCTTAACCCGAGGTACTACTTCTGGGTTAGCGGAGTCTGTAACCTGTGCCACTGTATATTATAATATATGTTGTTGTTGTTGTTTAGTCGTGTCATGACTCCATGGACCAGAGCACGCCAGGCACTCCTGTCTTCCACTACCTTATAATATATAATATATATATGAAATATCTCTTCTCATGCTCCTTGTGACTAATAATTCAGATAAAAGCTCTATATACATTTTTGTCTGCTGTGTAGGTGTGCTTAAGTAGATGTGACCCACCTGTTCGACATCTTAGCTTTAAAAATAAATGATACAGAGTGAAAAGAAGGAAGAATTTATTGGAACAGCAAGCTATCCTTGGCTGAGAAAATAATTGCACTGTTAAATTTCCTGGGAGTTACTTAGGGATCAGAGTATTGGTTGAATATTGGTTGGAAAGGAAGAAAAAATTGGCAGGGCATTTGCATGAAAGACTAAACATGCAAATAAGTAGCATAAAACAGTTACATAACTATAAATTCTGGAAAACTGCTGAGAGAAGAAGTAGCCAGAAAACCTTCAATGACTAATCTCCTCTCCCATGCACCATATAGCTTTGTTGGATGCTGAGAACATTATTTCCAATATTGGAAAATTTATGAAGTAGCTGAATAATTTTAGGAGCTAGGTAGTGGAAATGCAGTTAAATTTGCTAATGAGTTACAGTTGGTAGGACAGATGTTACCATCCTTTACAAGTGGGAGAAGTACAGCATTTCTTGTTCAGAAAGAAGAGACAGGTACAGACATGGCCACATTCCCAGATAATGTGGTCCTTAAAAGTGCTTCTGTGAGAATTTCTGTGCACCAGCATTTGAGTTGTTAAGCTAAATTTCTGCTTAACTGCAATCATTGCCTCTGCAAGTATGTCTGTTAATATCATGCTGGATCTGGGTCCATTGGAATCCTCAGCAAAGTGTGGCCTAGTGGGCCCCCAATGCTTTGTAGCCTTCTCTGGGGGCTCACCAATGGTGGTGGAGAGCACTGGTGGCAACAGGTGGCTGCAGGCTGGCCACTGTTTTACATTTTCCACAAAGCCTTGATGGCAGTATCAGGGGTACTGAGGGACACAGACAGTTCACAAATACAATTTAGGCTAAAGTAACATGGTGGGCCCTTCCAAAGTGCATCAGAGTTGCCAGTGGTCCATAATGCTAAGTGCTGATGCTGGCCTTAATTACTTACGTTCTTGCTGTGAGGTACTTCACCCTTTCCTGCCTGTTCAGGTAATTTACAGGGCTCCACCATATTTTCCGTGGTTTTCCTTTGGTTTCTGCCCCACTTTGGGACGGTACACTTACCCTCTCTGGAGAGTCAAGACATAAGAGTCCTAGGGGTTAGCATAGACTGTATGGATGGCAGTATTAAAACTATAGTGCTTATATAGTTCTGAATTGAAAATATATACGTAAGAACTAAGAAGCTGCACCTCTTTCCTCTTCTCCCCTGTTTTGTGTAAGAATGCAATTTGTTTAGGAGCTGGAGACAAGCCTACAAGTGAATACAAATCAGTGGTCTACTACCAAGTTAAGCAGCCCCGCTGGGCAGAGACATTAAAGGTACGACAGGGGAGGAGATGCCTCACCTCCCCATTTAAAATCTTTGCTTAAGAGGAACCTAGGACTCTGCTACTTATGCTAAACTGGAAGCTCTGGAAGTTAAAAGAATGCAAGCCACCAAGGAATTGCTTGCATTATTTTGCTGTCTAGAAGCAAGAAGCGTGATTTTTCCATTTGTAAAAGTATACAGTTAACTTAGTTGCCCATAATCTCCAAGATGAATTTGATAGAAATTTTGTCCCATTCCATTTTCTTCTAGTATTATAATAATGCATTTTTTTAAAAAACTTAGACCAAACGTAGGAGTGTATGGTCCAGTAAGCTGAGAAAAATTAGAAAATACGGGAACTTCTGTCACCTCATGAAAAAAGACCTTTTACAATTTATATCCTTGTTAGAGAAGAATTAATTGACATCTCTATGGTTTGCATGTAACTTGTAATAAGCAAATTCTTGGAAGGTTGTGATGGAAATAATTACAAAATGGCTGTAGGCTACTAGAAAAGCTTATTGTAAATCTGCTCCTTTTAAAGAGAGAGCACTATAGAAAATTGCTGTCATAATGTGGCTCTTAGGTAGATAATGAGTTTAATTCTATTAAGGTGCTTTGGCAAGAAGAGACAGAGGGCAGCAGGGAGAGAAAAAATGGCATAATAAAGGTATTATTGGGTACAAAATGTATTTATTTCCATGTACTTTCAAATATTTATGTGTCAAGCAGTGTCTCTTCTGAAAATGGCGCACTAATGGAAATCCAAGTTAAGCTTATAATAAAATATTTGGAGCTTTTTAAAACTAGCCTTTGGAGTCTTCTAATTCCAAGTTAATTCTGATTTTGATCAGTAGTGTCCAAATGTACGTGAGGTGATGCTGCTATAATGAATTAGAATAATGGGTTGGATCTAGAAGAGAGTGAAAGTTCATGGTCTCTCCTCCCCACTTTTGTGTCCCCTAAAAAGCGCTCAAAACTGGGTAGCTCTCTGAAACAGATGTAGCACAGGGAGCTGTGGTGCAAAAGGGGAATTGGCAGATATTAGAAAGGCGACCTTTGTATACAAGCTTAAGATACCTGGTGTAGTATAAAGATGGGTTCAGACCATAGGTTCCAGAGTGTAGCTCCACTGAGGATGAAACATCTGACTTGTTACTTTCCCAAATACTGGCACTCCAGGATTTGCATGAGACATGATGTCAACACTCCCCAAGTAGTGGCAGTTGCACCAGCTCAGGTCAAAACAAACAAACAAACAAAAAAATTCCTTCCAGTAGCACCTTAGAGACCAACTAAGTTTGTTATTGGTATGAGCTTTCGTGTGCATGCACACTTCTTCAGACCAACACGGCCATCTACCTGTAACTAGCACCAGATCAGGTGTTATCTCTTAAAATAGCAAGGCTCTTATTTGTGGAGGAATTTACATCTGAATTGCCCCCATTTCTACATTGGTGGATCCTTTTATTATACAACTTTTCACCACTGTGAATCTTATCCATACACAATTTAAAGATCAAATAATAAAGGAGGCACATTAGAATTTACTTTTTGCAGTGTAGGGACTTCAAAGCAAGCCCTTTAATGTATCTATGACTAAGCAATACTATCTTATTCAGCAAGAAAGTTCATTCAACAGTAGCATTAGTCATGATATGAATTTGCATTAAAATGGAAAGTTTCTTTCAAAGGCATATAATCTGGCATTTGGTGGTGGTATAGCTTCATTTGGCAAATAATGAAATACAAGTCCTGAAAAAGTGCAGCAGAGCATAATTTTAGGTCATTATGCACAAATAGCTGCCACAGCAGGTCTTTAGCCATAGATGGATATTTGGGCAGCACTAATTTAGAACTGCTGGTGGAGCTTCCCTCCATGTATTCATCATATCATTTTTACTTTAATAACTGTTTATGTATTTAAATGTTTATGTATTTAAATAGGTAGCATTGCCCATTGAGGATATGCAAAGAATTCACTTGCGCTTTACGTTTAGACATCGGTCATCTCAGGAGTGTAAGTAACCCGCTTGATTACTTGCTTTCAATATGCAACATTAGATAAGTGGACATGTTATAGGCGGGGGGAAATAATCATACAAAATTATTTCTTGCACAGCTAAAGACAAAGGAGAAAAGAACTTTGCAATGGCCTATGTGAAGTTAATGAAGGAGGATGGGACAACTCTGCTTGATGGCTTTCATGATCTCGCCGTTCTAAAGGTATTGTTGGTTTTGCTGCATAGACTTCCACACAGCTTTGCACAATCCACTAACAATCTCCTGTTGGTCTACTCAAAATGTTATGCTCCAAGCCTGGTGTGTGTGGGGTGTTAGGGGAGGGGTAGTACCTCTGGTAGGGAACACACCATGCTCCTTTTGGTGTAGTATGTCCACATTTGGTGCCCACCCTACACTCAGCTCTCACCTGAGGTTCCTAGAAGCTGTCCGCATGTGACAGTGGCCACACCCCAGGAACAACTTTTGACTGGCTGGCTAAACTAGGTGAAGGTAGCCAATAGGTCTCAAGCCCTTGGTGAATAAGGGACTTCCCATGCATGTGAAGACAGGCTGGGGCAGATTGAGTCCCAGGGGGATCACTTTGGTGCTGCTAACACTGTGGTTTTACTTTCCCATCAGAGGCACACTCCATTGTCTCTTGAGACAGACAGATACCAACAACACCTAGCCTGAAAGGACTAGGGGGAGGGCATTCTGTAACTGGCATGCAAATACTGGGGGGAAAAAAACCCTTCTCCCCAGCCCAGATTCATATGCCTAAACTTTGAAAGAGGGGTCCTGAAGGACAGCATATTCATATAGGAACATCCATCAGTGCTAGAACTGAACTCAGTGATTTCTTTGTGTAGTGTGAGTTATGCCAGGAATAGCTAATGTGGTACCTTCCAGTTGTTGTGGACTACAATTCCTATCAGTCGCAGCCAGCATACCCAATAGCTAGGGATGGTGGGAGTTGCACTTTGGAGGCCAGCACGTTGACTATTCTTGACTTACACTGTTCTAGCACATACAGCAAGCGAAAATGCTGTAGCTGGCTTTTCCTTAAAAAATTCAGGTGTACTCAACACATCTGGCAACTAGCCCGTTTCTGGCTTTTACACAAAATCCTTGCAAATGGCCTAGTGGGAAACAGAAAGAAAGGGACGAAAAGACTGAGCTGACTATATTTCAGGTTGTTTGGAGCTTTTCCAAATATGTCCTTATAGGATGCTGGAGATCTGTCAGACAAAAAGCTGCAGTCTGGTGATAAAACCTTTAGTCAGTTTTAAATGCTAAACTGGGAATGGCTGCCTAAATACCCAGACTTAGCCCTTTGATTTCCATTTTTAAAAGCAGTTTATTACTAAACATCCGCAATGTTTCCTTGAAGATAAATAAGGAAAATCAGTTGTATGAAGCAGGTGTCCCTAGCACCAGAATTGTGTGGCTCCCCAAGTTTGAAAAACAGCCTGCACTACAATTTAGGAACCTACTCTTAGTACTTAAGAGTTAGAAGCCCTATGGGACATGGGCAATGCCCTGAGTGTTGCTAAAATGTGGAGTTTTAGGGCACAACTAGCAATGAGTTATAGGACTGTTGCTGAAAATGGAAGCCCCTCTTCAAGTTTTCCCAGCTGTTCCTGTCATGTTTAGTCCAGGGCTGGGGAATATGGCCTGTAGGCTTATCTTGACCTAGTTGCAATTTGGCCATCAAGGCCATTTTTCTGAAACCAGTCCTGCATGTAAATCAAGTTACCGTATTTTTCGCTCTATAACACGCACCTGACCATAACACGCACATCGTTTTTAGAGGAGGAAAACAAGGGAAAAAACATTCTGAATGAAACAGTGGATGTATCATTTTTGTGCTTCATGCTGTGGCCACAGACATGTGATCTGATGGTGAATTTGGGGTGACCCAATGCAAAAATCCTGAGAATTCCTGTGGATCCATGCTTTGTAACCACGTTTTTGCATCATTGCAGCCCCAGGCAACAGTGGGTGCGTGCTTTTTTTGGTGCAGGCTGTAGCCATGGACATGCTATGTGATCTGATGGTGAATTTGGGGTGACCCAATGCAAAGATCCTGAGAATCCCTGTGGATCCATGCTTTGTAACCACATTTTTGCACCATTGCAGCCCCAGGCAACAGTGGGTGCGTTATTTTTTGGGTGCAGGCTGTAGCCATGGACATGCTATGTGATCTGATGGTGAATTTGGGGTGACCCAATGCAAAGATCCTGAGAATCCCTGTGGATCCATGCTTTGTAACCACATTTTTGCACCATTGCAGCCCCAGGCAACAGTGGGTGCGTGCTTTTTTTGGTGCAGGCTGTAGCCATGGACATGCTATGTGATCTGATGGTGAATTTGGGGTGACCCAATGCAAAGATCCTGAGGATCCATGTGGATCCATGCTTTTTAACCATGTTTTTGCACCATTGCAGCCCCAGGCAACAGTGGGTGCGTGATTTTTTTGGTGCAGGCTGTAGCCATGGACATGCTATGTGATCTGATGGTGAATTTGGGGTGACCCAATGCAAAGATCCTGAGGATCCATGTGGATCCATGCTTTTTAACCACGTTTTTGCACCATTGCAGCCCCAGGCAACAGTGAGTGCGTGATTTTTTTGGTGCAGGCTGTAGCCATGGACATGCTATGTGATCTGATGGTGAATTTGGGGTGACCCAATGCAAAGATCCTGAGGATCCATGTTGATCTATGCTTTGTAACCACATTTTAAGTGGGGAGCGAAGGAAAAACAAAGAAGGGACATGAGAGGGGTGTGCAGAGAAGCAGCTGGCTAAGAATGATGGAGAGGGATTTAACGGGTGGGAGGAAAAAAAGGCAAAAGTTCCCCCCCAAGCCAGCCATCTCTCTCTCTCTCTCTCTCTCTCTCTCTCTCTCTCTCTCCCCCTCCCTCCCTCCCCCCTCTCTCTCCCTCCCCCCCTCTCCCTCTCCCTCCCACCCTCTCCCTCTCCCTCCCCCACTCTCTCTCCCTCTCCCCCAGCAGCACCGGAGCACAGAGAGGAATTAGAAAGAACGACACTCTGCTTGCCTGGAGGGGAGGGGCTTTCCCTGCTCTTTGTTCCGTTTCAGCAATCACAGCAACGAAACAGAGGAGGGTGGGCAGTAAGACCCTGAGGCAGAATGCAGGAAAGCAGTCACAGAGAAGGGAAACCTGAAACTCTTTTCAGGTTTCCCTTCTCCGTGACTCGCGATTTGACTTTTGCTTGATTTTTTGGCTCCAGGGACCACACATTCGCTCTATAACACGCACAGACATTTCCCCTTCCTTTTTAGGAGAAAAAATCTGCGTGTTATAGAGGGAAAAATACGGTACATCACCCTGATGGGCAGGTGATATCAGCTGGTGGGAGGTGGGGGTCAATTCTCCTTGGTTTGCCTGTAGATGCTAATTCCCTGCAGGGAACTCTCACATACAGCTGGTCCCTGCCAAAAGGATAATAAAATTTAGACGGACTTAATACTGTGATCTTTCCATACCCAGCCAGTGGTGTGGTGTGGGAACACGATAATACACAAAATTATTACACAGCAGCATAAGTCTGTCTGTACTAGGGTAACCAATGCGGTACAATCCTGATGTTTCTGGACTTCAGCTGCCATCAATTCTGGCAACAGCAATGCTGGCTTGGGCTAATGTGGAACAGAATCCAACATAACATGAAGAGCGCTCCCTGGCGTCAGCTGAGGGACAATTCAACCCAAAGCTGCTACTTTTTGAAGCTTTACTTTTCACCTTTACGCATCCCATAGTTTAATCCCATCCGGTTGCTATAAGAACTGTTGCTTTAAAAACTGGTGCTTGAGTTTGCTTTTTAGTTCCTGCCCCACCTGCTGCAATGGGGGAACTGTGGCAGAGATGGGGGAACTGTGCAGGTGTTGTTAGAGAACAGCCCCCCCCCCATCCTCAACCCTTGGCTATGCTGGCTGGGATTGATGAGATGGAGTCCAACCAAATCTGCAAGGTCACAGATTCCCCACCGGTGGTCTAAGGACCATAGTTTTGATCTATTTGTAAGCTGCTCAGGGGACCCTTTTGATTGAAGAGCAAGGTTAACATGATTTAAATAAAATTAATTTGTTTCCATTTCCATTGTTCACTGAGAAGATTTTTTTAATGGTTTCTGTGTGTCCAAGGACTTATGTGCATGTTGTGACCTCTTCTCTTTATAAACCAGCAGAAAATTCTTTGCCTACCTACGTATCCTTGCTTAGTTTCAAAAGTAGATTGTGAGTTGAGGAGTTTTGTTTGTGCAGAGAAATTGCATATACTTTTGCAGTCTTCACTGGGTCTCTCAATCCAATATTTTTTTTAAAAAGATTTATTTCTAAAAGGCTACTGGTGTGGAAGAGTGCAGCAAAGTTATCCTGGTTATATGTGAATTTAGCTCATTCCACTGAATCTCACCTTGTTTTCATGCCTTGCTTTCAAGGGTGATAGTAAGAAAATGGAGGATGCCAGTGCTTACCTGAGTCTCCCTTCCTCACGTCATAACATAGACTCTAAAGGCTCAACCTTAAGTCGGAGTTCAAGCAGTGTTGGAGGGCTCTCAGTAAGCTCAAGAGACACATTTACCATTTCAACGCTTGTTTGTTCAACCAAGCTAACTCAAAATGGTAAGAATATAAGCTTCTGACAAGGCTTTTTAAGTTGCACTTGAAAGCTAGACCCCCTTTCTCTGTGAATATATTTCTGCTCTTCTCTGCAGTTGGTTTACTGGGCCTTTTGAAGTGGCGTATGAAGCCAGAGCTCTTGAAGGAGAACTTAGAAAAACTGAAGATTGTGGATGGGGAAGAAATTGTGAAGGTATGTTTTTAAAATGTTTACAGCAGTGTAATTTTAGGTCAGGGACTTTCTGAAAAGCCAGAAACTATGGGGGAGGTAATCATCCCCCTTTCCCGGGAAATGATGTAGTGTGCAGTCCTTGGTTCCTCAATGGATAAATATTTCCTAGAGAGACAAATTAGGAATCCTGGTGCTATTCCTCAATTTATTTCCAAAATCCATGTAGGAAATCTTAGCCATTTCAACAACATGTTTTTCTATCTCAAGTGGTAACACATCTTTTGTGCTCATTGAAGCAAACTAATCCCTTGAGAATGGCTCAGGAAATTGTATTCACTCGTATCAGCCATCATAGGCTGAGAGCATAGTCCTCAAATAATACAGTTGTGTTTTCTTCTTACAAGGCATCAGTCTTTTTGGCTTCATTGGGGGAAAGGCCGTGGGTCAGTGGTAGAGCATATTATTTGCATGCAAAGGGTCACAGGTTCAACTCCCAGCATTTTCAGATGCGGCTGGGAATTTCCCCTACCTGAAACCCTGGAGAGCCACTTCTTTCTGGAAATAACTGCCCCAAAGTGACATCCGTTCAGGATAATACCAGTCTTGTTTACACAGAAAACAGATGGCAGCTGAACAATTGAACTGGATTTCAGGCATACCATACATGGCAGAATTTCCATTTTATTTTAATGTTTTCCTATTTTATTAACCGTGCTGTGCTAAATGCTGCCCTGGAATATGCTTCTCTTTGTTAGCTTTTTTGTTTTTTAAAAGCAAACATGATTTTTTTTTAAAGACAATGATGAAACAATTGTGTTCAGAATATTTTCAAACAAAAGAAAGCATGTTTTTCAAAGACTTGGTATTAGAGTTTTCCCCCCAAAATATGCCCTCTGCCCCAGTGACCCCTGATTAGGTGGGAGCAGGTTCTTTGCAAACTCCTGATTGATTGTATGTGATGAGGGGGCAGTCCTGGTTGTTCATATGTCTGCTCTGTTCATTTATCAAATAGAGGATGAGGTTTGATTTTTACATCAAAAGGGGCACCTGGGTGGAGGGTCGCACCTGCCTTCTGTTGCATTGTGCTGAGCAATTTTCTCCCATATTAGCTTCAATACTGAAAGTAAGTTAAGGTTGCATGTGTGCTAAATACAGCAGGTATAATTCATTTTCCCTTGACTTGAAGCTTCACACAAATATTCTTTGGGGACACTCGCACTGATTAAAGTAGAACCAGCAAGCTGCTTCTTTAGCACTCCCCAAACTTATCAAAATTCTGGGCATGGCAGTTTTGTAACAACCGTAGATCCTTTGATTCAAGTCTTTACTCTTTACGCACGATTAACTCAAAGTAAGCACAATATCAAGGCAAATCTAAAAGGCAATGTCTCTTTGCCTGTACAAATGAAATGAAATATATGCTTACAGGGTTGTGAGACTAAGAAAAGCTACCCATTATCTTTTCCTTTCCTATTAATATATATAAAAAGTAAATTGATCTCTGATCAAAAGGTGAGTGTTGCTCCTTTTTGGAAAATATTTGTGTTTATTGATGAAATGTGAACATATGATGGTTTATCTATGTGATGCAAGCTCCTTTTCTATGAAGAACTATACTTCAGACTATGACTATGGAAATATGTAGCAAGGATTACTTACCTACATACAAAATCCACAGTTTGGTAACATCATTATTAGGGCCAACCAAAATGTCACAAACTTTCATGTTTTCCATCAGGCAAGATGTTACACACAGCAGTCACACTAGAAGCACTGATGAAGAGGGCGAGATTATAAACCTTCATTCATTTGATGCAAACGGCTCTTTAATGGGGTTTAGAAAAGGAATTCAGTTGACCCAGGCTATTCTAGAAGATCTATTCAGATTGTTTCTAAACTTGAAAAGCCGCCTTCTGCACCATGTAAATAAGCAGTTCATTAATCTTTCTTTGCATTGAACTGATGTTTCTTTTTCTGCTGTAAGAACTGATTTTTTTGAAATGTGGGTCAAGTTCAGAGTTGTCCCTGTGCTAGCTTGTAGCTTCTTTTTGTAAAAGATCAGTTCATCTCCTGATCAATGTCATATATTTCGCATATTGGAGCTTTAATGTTGTTCTTATGATGTCTATATCATAAGCAACATGTGGTAGAAAAGCCAAATAAAAGTTTTCATCACCCTCTCTAGTGGTATTCTGTAGAATATTCCAGCTGGGGTTCACGGGCACCAAGTTTCTGAGGCTGGAATTGTGGTTGGCAACTGGCAGCACAATGGCTGATCCTGGCCTGCTGCAAACCTCTTCACCCTCCTTTCCTTTTCTCATCTGAGCTTTCTGACAAAGCACAAAGGGTGGGAGAGACCTGAGCTGGTATGAATGGAAGGAGGAATCCTCTTCCAGTTGGCACGCACCATGTTTTCATTCCCACTTGGCAATTATTTGAGTGATACCGAAGACTTGAGACCAGGCATGCTAATGGGAGGAGAGATACTAGCTTTATCCCCTTCCCCTGCATTTGTGCTTTAAGTATCTTGATGGTCTGGGCCTACTATCAAGCCATTTTAGGCTGAGGGATATTACTTAACACCAGCTGCAGCTAAATTCACAGTGACACACTGCTGAAAACAATTACTTACCACATTTTAAGGGACTGTGCAACTTACAAACCTCGTGCAGTACACCTGTGAACATTTACAGATAAAGCAATCAACTTTCCACTTGTGGGGAATAGGAAATGCTCTGTTCATTCCAGTATAAACTGTAGGCCATCCTTAGCATTACATTGGGGGGGAAGTGACTGCTTTGCTTGTTTGAGTCAAATGCATGCTATGATAAGAAAATAAGTCTTCAAAGATGTGGTGATGCTCCAGGTGACAAGGCTAGAAAGATGGATCCTTTGAGGCATGAAATGCTTTCCCTGGGGCTAGGTGGAATTTTTCTTTTAAAGACATGAAAATGTTTCTCAAAGAATCTTTATCCTGTCATGATATCAAAGCTTGTAAAATATTTGTTCATCTTCTCTCTCTCTCTCTCTCTCTCTCTCTCTCTCTCTCTCTCTTCTTTAGTTCCTCCAAGATACTTTAGATGCCTTGTTTAATATCATGATGGAACATTCTCATAGTGATGAATATGACATTCTCGTCTTTGATGCACTGGTAAGGATTGCCCTCTGCTGTTCAAGTTCAAACTATGGGCTCCATTTTTTGAAACAATTTACTATAGGAGCAAGGCACTGCTTGTAACTGAAATGGCTTCAGGATCACCAACATAGATATGTTGCATCCCTCGATAATAAACTTTTGGCTTTAGCTAATACACAAAATACCTAATTGAAATTTTTTAGGAGTCATTTGTAACTTTTCAAATGACTTTTGTTGTGCAAAATAAAAACAAAAAAACCACTAATCCTATTACCTGTTACAGATCTACATAATAGGACTCATTGCAGACAGAAAATTCCAGCATTTCAATACCGTACTGGAGGCTTATATACAGCAGCACTTCAGCGCAACTTTAGCCTACAAGTAAGTTGACGATATTTCAATCATTACAGAGAAAAGTGATATATAGAACAAATAATTTGCATTCACACCATCCATAGCATCCCTGGTATCTCCATGTAAAACTTGGTGGCAGAGCTGGAAGTGACATCTTCTCTGGACTTTAGGGGAGGAGGGGGGGCTCATTTAATTTCACTGCACATAGGTGGTGTAGGGACAATAAAGGTTATTATTATTATTATTATTTATTATTATTATTTATTATTATTATTTTTCTGTCAGTCTTCAGGAAAGATAATGCTCCCTTCTCCAGATCAATATGGAAAATTAAATAAATATTGTCATCAAATTAACATACAAACACCAACAGATACTCATCTTGGGAAATGTCATATTTCTGAAGAGAGGTGCACAAATTTTCCATAGACAGATGGTACGACAAGCTGTGTCATCTTGCCTTGTTGGAAAAACTTGCCCACAACATAAGACTCACTAAAGGTCACACAAAATCAGGCTCACTCACAGCAATTTGGCATTCTTTTTATTGATTACACATCAAAGCCAAGTGCACTAAAGCAACCCCTAACCCTGCCCCCTATTTATTAGTATGGTGGGGACTTTATGGGTCTTCAGATCTACCATACGCTCAGGAAGGAAAAAGGGAATAAAAGTACCAATGAGTTTGTTGGCACCAAACTCCATCTATTACTGCCGTATGTTGGTTTTTGTTCACTGTATTTTCAAGAAAATGATTCCTCATCGATCTCTGAGTGCTGGTCTACATGCTTTGTATACAAGGCTTGTCTGTGCAAAGTTTAACTTGCCAAATAGATTTCCTGCATTATGTGTAGCAGAACTCCATGCCACTGATGGAAGATCTTGTCTGGTGGTGATGATGGTATGGAGATTCTGCACTGTGTGGACAAGGCATATGATGAACTACACTACAGATCCACAAGCTGCAAAATTAGTTATGTTGTTCCATGTGTAGATGAGAACTTAGTCCCTTGAGATGTGAATGTGTTAGATCTTATGGTTGGAACTTCCCCTAAACTGCATGTGTTGGGGCATCAAGCTGGGTGCAGTCTTTTATGCACAGCTTCTGTCTGTTCTCTAATGGTTGCCCTCAGTGGATTCTGGAGCTTTGAATCTCTTTTTTAAAATGGGCAATGTCTAAGGCTTTCCCATAAGGTAGAATGAGTTAATCGATCTCTTTAGGTCAGTGTTTCCCAACCTTTTTTGGGCAACGGCACACCTGTTTACTGAAAAAAAATCTCGCGGCACACCACCATTAAAGCCCCGCCCCGTGACGTCAGCGCGCAGCGTCACGCCGGGAGGGACGCACGAAAGTGAAAGTTTTCATTTTTTTCCCCTCCCCCTTGCCGGGGAACCTCCAAGCTTTGGGGTGGGGGGGGGAGGAGGCAGCAAAGCGAGGCAGGAAGGAGAGCACGGCTTGGCTGAGTGAGCTTTGGCAGGGGCAGGGAATGAGAGCCGCGAGGCGGGCGCTGCGGACGGAGGCGCTGCCCGCCGAGCTCGCAGCTCGCCCGTCGAAGCCTGCACGATCACCCGCCGCGGGGAGCCGGGGGCGGCGGCGCGGTTGCCGGGCAGCGGCGGGGGTGGTGGTGGCGGTGGCTGCTTGCCGCCCTCCTGGGCGGAGGCGGGCACGGTGGGCACCGGCACGGCCAAGGGCCCCTGCTTGGTGCCGTCGGATGTGGGAGCTCGCTCGCTCGCCGCCCCGCGTGTGCTCGCCGAGCATGCGCAGGCCCAGTAGCGAGCGGCGATAGGCGGCGGCGTGGGCTGCGGAGGGGCAGCCCCTCCTCCGGCCTAAAAGGGCAAGCACGCCCCTCAGCACGATGGCGCAGGAGGCGTGCGGATGGGATTCCGCCTCGGGGGGCGAGATGGATTCCCCGTCACTGGGAAGGCGTGAGCCAGTAGCGGCGATGCGCAGCCGTAGCGAGCGGGAGGGATGGGGAGCTCGCTCGCTCGCCCCGGTGTGCTCGCGCCGCCCCCGCTCTCACGCCGACCGCCGCCTCACGAACACAGGCAGACGGACACTAGTGTGCCGGACCCGGTTGCACTCTTAGGTAGCACATGGAGACAATGCACCCTCTGCTGCCCTCAGGTGCTGTGGAATATGTACCCTATTGCCAATGTTGCACTTAAGTTCAACGGCCAGCGCAGTCAACATCTGTTCATGGAGGGTGGAATCTTGTCCTTTGCCTTGGGCAGAAAAATATCTTGGGCTGGCTCTGCTAAGGAGTCTGCCATGGTGCTTGGGGTGTGATTTCATGGGCCCTTCCAGGGAGGCTGTGGAAGAGTCAGAATCTGGTTAGCGCTAAAGTTTCATAAGCTGTGAGTTGGAATGAGGTCACCTGCTCAAATGTTCAAGGGATTGCTGGTACCATTCTACAGTCTTCTTAAGATCACTGATACATAGAGAATTTTTACTATCCACATGTGTGTATGGTATGTAATACGGTTCAGAATGTGTCCTTAGATTTGTTTCTAGTCATTATATAAAATAGTTTTGCTTCATACTAAGAGCAGGATTCACCTAACGAGGGCTTCCACTTGTACAATGAGACTGTGCACCCTGATGCTCCCTGAAATTGGCTCTGAGGCAGGGAAGTCGGAAGAACCCCCAGAACAGCACATGGGGAGGGGAGGATCAGTCTGCTATTGAAACCAGTCATGACTTAAGGCTCATAGTTTACAAAAGGGGAGCTCACCTAGTCTAGATTCAATCCATTTTTGAAAAGGGAGGTGTTTTGTGTGTGCGATTGTACACACACTTTCTTCTAAGAGCGTATTAGACTATGGAGCATACAGAATATATTGTATGATTTACAATATATATTTCCCCACCAATATATTTTCCACTCATAGCTATGAGTCGGTGGCTTTCAGGTACAGTCCTTTGTCATCTTCATCATCATTCCAGTCCTTGCCAAAATACTTTGCATGCTGCAAAAACGTTTAAATACTGCAACCCAAAGTACTGCTTTGCTGCAGATTGTTTGGCGCCAAGAATTCCCAGCCCTACACTGTACTAGCAATATTATTCAGTGCAATGACCGTGGCCACTGTCCAAAGCCATCCTGTGTGATAGATAGAAATAATAATGGGAAATAAAAGGTCATGCTACTGTGCTTTCCCCCCATTGAATTGTGTAATATTTTTATTTGAATTATAAAGTAATAAAACCAAGTCTGCCATGTTACATCATGCACTATGTAGATATTTGCCACTTTACACTCTATACAAAGGAAATGTGATAAAGTTTAACCCTATTCCCCCTTTGTAACACATTTTTCCAATTTCAGGAAACTAATGACAGTTTTGAAGACTTACTTGGACATTTCCTGCAGAGGGGAACAGTGTGAACCTATACTAAGAACTCTGAAATCTCTGGAATATGTGTTCAAGTTCATAGTTCGGTCAAGGACTTTGTTTTCACAGTAAGTATTAGAGTCTGATTACTTTTGAAATAGCACTGAGGGTAAGGGTGAGGGGCTTCTGGTCTGACCACCAGATGCAGCCCCTGCTTAATTTCATCAGGCTCTTGGGAGCTTCAGGGAATTTTTCACCTACTCTATTAAATAATGTTGGAAATCTTTTTTTTTTTTAAAATGTATATTCTTGATAGATCGGACATGTGTTCACCTGCCTATTATTCAAATAGATTAATTGGGTGGGTGTTGCAGTTACTGTGACAGTGAGCTCACATTTTGCCATAATAAAAATAGAACTGGAAATGCTCTGGGCCGGAGAAGATTACAGATGAAATTTTGTTTGCAAGGTCAATGAAAGCAGATATTGCACACAGATATTATACATGGCACCTGATGCAGTGGCACAATTTACAGTATTGGCAGAGGTTGTCAACCTTGTTTGTGCTGTCCTTAGAGGTAGTAATGGCACTTGTAAAATAGCATCTTGTGTTTCAGGATACAAAATCAGCACAACAATGTAAACTTTCATAGCAGTCTCCAGTAGCTTTAATTGTATTCTTCAGGATCAACACATTACAGTTGCCAAATAGGCCCAGAGAGAAGAAGGGAGTCTGAGAAACCAATAAGTGTGTAATAAGCTTGTACATTTAATTTCAAGGAGCAATCTTGAATTTGGAATAGTGTTTTCCTTAAAATCTACGATTTTTAAGAGCAAAAGTTCTCCATTTGCTCCAAAAGAAGCACAGGCTTGCCATTTAAGCAAGGACTTTGCTTTCTTCTGTAAATAATTCGGTTGACTTTTACTATATACAAAAACAGTCCCCCCTACCCCCGCTCTTTATATGATAGATCTGAGAGCACAGGAGGGAATACCCCCCCCATAAGGAGTATAAAGCTACATTATGCAAGGAAACTGCCCTTACGTTTTTAATTCAGAACCACAAAATAGAAACAACTCCTTAACCAAATTGTTACCTTCCATGCATTAGGAGGAATAGCACAGAAACAAAACTGGTAATTGGACAAGAGGGATTGTTTTCAGTGCAAAATGCCACAATAAGAATAACATTTAAGAACCTGAAGAAAGAAACAGCCATGATCCCAGCGAGTCATTAAACCTGGTCTATAATTTAATACTTTGCGGAATGCTTAGCATAAACTCTCAAAAAATGAGTTCCCCATCTTATCAAAAGTATTTAGTATGTTTAAAAGAAGAAGAAATAAATACATTTGTATTCCATACTCAGCAGTTTCTTCTACTCAAGCTGTGGAATATTGGAGGATCCCTAGCTTTCCTTGCTAAATACCTAGCTATTAAAGCAGCAAATCATAGCCAGGCTTGCTGTGACTTTGATAACGGGAAAGGCAGGATTTCTTTGTTAGGGGTCGGTCCATCAGAGCTTCACTGGAAGGATTTCATACATTTTAAAATGTTAAAAATAAAATTAACTTTAAAACAAAGTTAGCTTCAGATTACAAAGCACACCAAAGGAAGGTGCTAACTACATGTTTGTAGCAACTACATTTTTACTTCAAGGCTAAAAAGCTAAAGCTAAAGCTAAAAAACCACACCTGTTGATTTATACTGTATACTCCAAGAATTATTTTGACTTCTGCAGCAGTTCACATTATTAAACCTTGTGTATCATATCAGATTACAATTTCAAAACAATTGGAAATGTTCTTTGTACAGAGGTCATGTTTGTGCTTTCAACTTTGGCAAAAAGTAAAAACAAACAATTTTAGGGACATCTATCCCCTCTTTTTTAATGTAATCTCGAAAAATGAGATTTACTATCACATTCTTGCCCTGTCCTGTTGAAGTTCCAGTATCTCTCTCTTTTTCTTTTTCTTTTTTGACACATTGGAAACATAAATCCCAGACTGTTCAAAAACTTCAGCTCAAACTCCTCAATTTTAGTTTAGCGTGGAGACCAACATTTTACCACAATTTAATTTAATGCTTAGGTTGAAATTCCTTCTTCTCCCCACTGCAACAATTTTATCTAGTGCACTTGTTATAATTAGACTAGGCTTTGTATTGCCTGTCATTGTCTTCGTCGTCATCATGATCATCATCATAGACATTTATTGCGCTAGCCATAGGCCATGGCATTATTCAGAAAAATAACAAAAGGAAAAACAGCAATAACCATAAAAATCATCGGCCACCACACATACAATATAAACCACAGTCACAGCTACTAAGATTGTTTGTTGCATAAAATAGAATAGCAGAAGATTTGCTAGTAAAATGTGCCAAATTAAATATCCGAATCCCCTTTGCAGTTGACCGCTATTTTATCTAGTTCTTTCCTCCTGATCTTCTTAGCTGCTAACGCATATAGTGCTACCTTATAAGTTACAAAGTCATCAGTATCGCTCAGCAGCCATTTCACCCTTTCCATCCTATTTGAGTGAGTTCCATTTGGAAACAGGGGTTTTATGAATCGGTCTCTTGGGTCTATATACAACGGGCACTACAATAAATAGTGGCACAGGTCCTCCACACAGGGTTGCCCACACAGACAAAGTCTTTCTTCATAATGTACTTTGCCGTAGCGTCCATTCAACACCGCCGAGGGCATCGATTGGAATCATAATTTTGTGAAAGCAATTCTAAGCACGGCAAGTGGGAGCTTTGATAGGTAACTGGCCCCGGTATGCTCAGTTTTAATAAGTGGGAACCATGGCGAACTCTTGGTAGAAGCCATCATGGTTAGATCCCTTTCTGCATGGGACCTAAAGAGACAATCTCTTAAGTGCCTCTTGTCCATCTTCATAGTCACCTGAAAATCTTGTAATTGGTATTGGGCGTTGGATACCGTCCTTCCAACATTTGGTCTGTTTCTGTTCTGTGTATGACATAGCGGGGAATCTCTCCTCCAAAAGAAATTGAAGTCATTTCACGTAATTTAAGCACAGGTAATCACTTCTGGCCTGTATTGTTGTCACAACACAATTGTTGTCAGTATACATCCAAATGAAACCCTGGAGAGGGAAATCAGAGTAAACCTATGGCTTATACATATGTTGATAGTCTGATTTATTTGTAGAACTACTGGTCTAAAATGAAACCAAAGATACATCCCATTAGCTGAAGTTACCTCTACTTCTCTAGGTTTTCATGTATCCATTAGATCAACTAAAAGCTACAACCTTGCAGCAACCGTCAGACATAATAACAGTATCTTTTTAGATGATTGCTTTATTTTTTCTCAAGTGTTGTTGACAAAAGCTTTAAGCTTTTTTTCATTACTGCAAGTTTGCCATCTGTCAAAAGACAATCACTTTTGACCTTCACTCAGTATTTTAGTCTTTTGAAATATTCATTCCCCAACACATTCTAGATATTATTTTCCTACCCTCTTGCAAACACAGGAAAAATCACTTCCCAGCACTTTGAGCAAGCTTCATTCAAAGCTGGTCTATAGTTACATGTCAGGACCCCTCCAGGCATTATTTTTATTGAAGATTCATCATGATGTACATACCTGGTGTTGATGGAGAGGCTATATGTTATTGCACTTTCAGCACAACTTGTGCCTGTGACAGTTGCAGGGTGGTTAAATGGCTTCAGTTGCCCACTTCAGCTCTTCTCCACATGTACGCAAAATGTGAGAGGGAGAGGGAGACTGCAGCACTGGCCCTGACCCCCTTGTGTGTAAGTTTTGCCCACATTAAAAATCCTGCAAAGGAGTGCCTATCCACAAACAGGCAATGCTTTGCAGGTACCTAAACAGGCAGGGTCAGCAGTGCATGTGAGATTGGAGTTGGGTTCAGCAGCGCAGTCCCACTTCACCTCCTTAGTGTGCTTAACAAAAGTATGCTCAAGGTTTGCAGGGGTCTTGCATCTCCGTGGCAATAGTTGAGCTTTTCTTAAAAAATGAATACTGTATTTGGAGTAAAATTTCTATATATATATTTTAGGCTATTATTTGTTTTACAAGTCCCAGGTTACCTCTTCTGCAAGTATGCTTCTTTTCTTTTAGACTTTTAGAGCTATGAGTTCTGAAGGAGCAATACTGACTTGAAATTAAAGGTAAAGGTAAAGGTACCCCTGCCCGTATGAGCCAGTCTTGACAGACTCTGGGGTTGTGCGCTCATCTCACTCAAGAGGCCGGGGGCCAGCGCTGTCCGGAGACACTTCTGGGTCACGTGGCCAGCGTGACAAAACTGCATCTGGCGAGCCAGCGCAGCACACGGAAACGCCGTTTACCTTCCCGCTATAAAGCGGTCCCTATTTATCTACTTGCACCCGGGGGTGCTTTCGAACTGCTAGGTTGGCAGGCGCTGGGACCGAGCAACGGGAGCGCACCCCGCCGCGGGGATTCGAACCGCCGACCTTTCGATCGGCAAGCCCTAGGCGCTGAGGCTTTTACCCACAGTGCCACCCGCGTCCCACTGACTTGAAATTAGTTCCATTTAATTGTTTTGGGTGGTACCAATAGATCTCTGGATCACTAGTACTACCGTATAATATAAACTAAACATAAACATTGTCAAATCAGGAACTTGAGATGCTGTGTAGCAGATATGGGGGTTGGGGGTGGGAAACCAACAGCAACCCAGCACTTATGCTCATTATTAAATAAATGCATCAACAGCAATGGGCTCTTTGTATGACGAAGGAAAAATATGCTACATCAAAGCAGTGATATTTAATAAAGGTAAGCAATGTTTCACCAACATAGATGCTGGTTGTCGTAACCAAGTTGTATGGTGTATCAGAATATAGTTGAAATAACTGGCAAAAAAATGTGAGTAGAAACAATCATAAAATGGCTTTTCCCAGCTGAGAAAATACGTTGTAAAAAGTGATGTTTACAAATCCTGTTTCCATGTTGTGCTGCTATAATGTATGAGAGAGTCTTACACGTCCAATGTGCTTGACTACATCGCATCTTCATGCAAGGGTAAGCTTTGACTTTTAGTTGGAAGTAAATGGTGCCAGAGGAAGCAACTGCAACTTGCAGATTGGATTGCTGTTAGCTTTTGTATATAAGCTTCAGGCAAGTATTAGCCTTCCCTTGTCATAATAAAACATGCATTTCTATTCTTGTTTCAACCTCATGTAGCGGGTTAGATTAATTTGCTAATAAAGAAGATTAAATCAGCTTTAACGACCACTGATAAACCTGATAGAATGAAGGCTGCAGTGCTGTTATTAACTAATGTGAATTGGGAAAAGTCCTTAATTTTGTTGTTAATTAGCAAGCTTTGAGCTTTACCTTTTTCGGAAAAAGGCAATATGTATTAACTGATATTTGATTTAATAAAGGTATAATACAACCAGATGATGAATGGCTAAATCCTGCTTTTGCCTTTTATAAATACTGCTGGGATATGATATTAATTCATGCTGGCTGGTAATCTAATTCACATTTGCTGTCTGGTTTTCTTAATATCTCGATTTGACACAGAATTGGATAGTGATGGAGTTACTCAGGAAACAATTATGAATAGCATTGGGTGCTTTAATTGTGCTACAAGAAACTGATGAGAAGGAATTTGAAGGTTTCGTGCTACAGACTTGTATAGTACAGGCTACAGCATTATTCATCTGAACAGAATAAGTGGCATCCAAATGCTGGGGCAGTTAGAAGTTTAGTAATCTAAGTAGCAGTGATGTGTTTGTGTTTTAAAAATATAGGGCTACCATTGTCTGGGATTTACTAAAACTATCGTCCTGAATTAATCTAGATTGCTCCTGCTAATAGTGCTAGGAGTAGATTTTTATCACGTCTTAGTTCTTAGTAGTTGCATGGGTCCGGATGATGTCTGTATATGTTTTCCGAGTTCTCAAGTGCAGGACATGGGGAGACAGCCTGTTCTGAACTGGGTTGTACTCCCCTGGAAGGAACAGCTCCATAGCTTGGGGGTACTCCTGGATCCAACATTGTCATTTGAGGCCCAGGTAGCTAGGTGTGCCTGTTTCCAGCTATGTCTGGTTCACTAGCTACAGGCCATTTTGGATGGAGATGACTCAACCATGTTACTCCATGCTCTAGCAATTTCCAGACTGGATTACTGCAATGCATACTACATGAAATGTCCAAGTTGTCTTCCAAAGACAGCCTCAAGTATTTTTTCTGTAAAGGCTATTAACTTGGGGTGGGAGTAGGGAAATAAATAAGTACGTTTTTATGTTCTGTGTCCATGAATTAGAACAATAACATTAGGTTAGTCATTTTAGGTACATACCGATGTATCTGTCTGATAATAACAGTCCAGTGATTTCATTTTTTTATTTGTTAGGGAGTTACATTTCTTAATGAGAATATGTTTTCTCTCAGGCTGTATGAAGGCAAAGAAGTGACAGAATTTGAAGAAGCAATGAGGAGGCTTTTTGAATCAATCAACAACCTGATGAGAAGTCAAGAAAAAACAGCCCTTATACCACAGGTTTGCCTACTTTACCTGTCTTGCCCTGGATTAGAACATGTGGAAGTACATAAGTAGATAGGCAGCTTTGGGGAGCTCAATCAATATTTCCCTCCCTCCCTTTAATGGAAGTATAGAATTTCTCAAGAGCTCTCAGAAACTTGTGTGTGTGTGTGTGTGTGTGTGTGTGTGTTGTTTGTATGCTTATTTTAACACTGAAAGTTCTTTAGGACCAAATAATCTACTCTAAGCAGGTGCTTGACGCGGGTGGCACTGTGGGTAAAAGCCTCAGCACCTAGGACTTGCCGATCGAAAGGTCGGCAGTTCGAATCCCCGCGGCGGGGTGCGCTCCCGTCGCTCGGTCCCAGCGCCTGCCAACCTAGCAGTTCAAAAGCACCCCCGGGTGCAAGTAGATAAATAGGGACCGCTTACTAGCGGGAAGGTAAATGGCATTCCATGTGCTGCGCTGGCTCGCCAGATGCAGCTTGTCACGCTGGCCACGTGACCCGGAAGTGTCTGCGGACAGCGCTGGCTCCCGGCCTATAGAGTGAGATGAGCGCACAACCCTAGAGTCTGGCAAGACTGGCCCGTACGGGCAGGGGTATCTTTACCTTAAGCAGGTGCTTAGAAGTAGAATACATTGTTATTGGTCTGCCCAGAGTGCCCTTTCACTGTTACAGTAACCATGTGGGTAGCACTCTGTGGGACTCCTGCAATCATATGAAATCATTCCAAATGTTTAGGGCTTTCTGACAGAATTTGTGCCTATGTGACTAGCTTTGCCCACATGAAAAATGCTGAGAAATAGATTTTTTAAATAAATAAATAAATACTGAAATATTGAATATTGAGTCAATATTTGAATAATAGAATTGTAGAGTTGGAAGAAATCCTGAGGGCCATCTAGTCCAACCCCCTCCAATGCAGGAATCTCAACTATCCAAGGAGAGTCAGTCACCTCTCATGGGGGTCTGTTCCACTGTCAAACAGCTCTTACTGTCAGAAAGTTCTTTATTATTCCTCCCTGCCAACAACATGACTACCTCTGCCCCCCGCCCTCATTCTTTTAGAAAGTGAATGTAGCTGTATAGCTTCCTTTGACAACTTGGTGTTGTAGCGAATGGGGTGGGGAGGGATAAAGAAGACTCAGAGGAAACCTGAGCTTAATCAGGCAGCGTATGATATGCCTTAGACTTAGGTAGGTTGTTTTCTGAGGCACCAAAAAGGAATCGTAGAGTTGGAAGGAACCACAAAGGTCATCTAGTCCAACCCCCTGCAATGCAGGAATCTTTTGCCCAAAGGGGGGGGGCTCGAACCCATAACCCTGAGATGAAGAGTCTTGTGTCCCAGCTGATCTGAATCCTGTGCATTGGTGAATAGCACTAATAAATATCGAGGCGCCAAGTAGGCTAGCACAAGATCTAAATTCTATTTTGGTATTTGCAGAAGCCTTTCTTGGAGATATATTCAAATTTATTTATTATTTTGAGGCTGGGGTGTTATTTAGATTTGTGATAGCACTGTGAAATCTTATAGCTAATGTAATCCCACTACTAAGGGCTGGACGATCAATCTTCCTGCGAAGTGGCACAGCTGAGTATTAGAGCAAAAAATAATCAATTGCACTTTGAATCCCTCTATTTAGTTTCAATGCTAAAGATCTGCAGGTTGGAATAGGTAGTGATAAACTGTGAAAGTGAGACCAAATATGGATGAAGAGGCTTACATTCTGTGGACTTGAGGCTGCTAAAAGTAATTTAAGCATGGCATTTTACTGTTGTTGTTGTTGTTGTTGTTTAAAAAATATGAGCCAGGAAACTAAGGACTATTGTTGATAGTTGAAGGTCAGCATATGAAAATGTGTCATACATATATATATATATAGAATTATCCTCTTAATCCTCTGCTCAGAAGAATAAAAGTTGGGTTTTGTTTGTTTGGTTGGTTTTGCTTTGTGGTGTGGTTGTTAAGGAAGCAATATGTTTTCCTCAAGCACCTGATTTCATTTGGGCTTTGTAGTCTAGGGCAATGACTGAGTGCTCACACAGAGATGATTTTCAAACACGTAGCTGTCCAGGAGGCAGAAGTGCCCTAAACATGTCCAAATATCATAAATTATGGTCAGCAAATGAATATTTCAGTAACAACATGAGAGAAGTTGAAACCACAAGGAAAGGAAATGTCATGTTTTAAGTCCGACTTCAGCAGCAAGGAAAGATAAGGTGCCAAGTATGTTGGAAAAGATAGGCACTAAAATGGAAATGCCACAGCAGTGTGTACATGGACTGAGTATAAATGAGAGCAGCTGAGCACTTTGATCATAAAACTAAGCTTACGATCCTGAGCGAAACTGCAGGAATATTTTTAGTTGTATCACTTGAATTTGGGTGGAGAAGTCTCCCCCTCAAACTTCCTAAGTATTTCCCCCCCCACCTTTGCTTGGAATACTTTTCTTATAGAAACCAGACAATGTAATGATTTTTTAAAAAATAACCCTCTCTTACTATTCTTCCCCACCTCCAAATTTCTGTATTATCTTGCTCTGAAGAAACTGCCTTACAAATAGGCACTTTAAAAACAATCAATCTTGGAGAATCAAGTAAGGCTACAAGAAATGCCTTTCAAATTAATTTTTGTTTGAGGAGAGTGGGAAGGGATTTTACTGAAGGAACAGTCATATTTAGGTGGCCTGCTTTTTAAGTTTCTTAAGCCTCCCTGCTTGCAATTGAAGGGGCTATTCACCTCTAGAGACAAATGATTTAAAAAAAATTGTTTTTGTTTAAATAACCCCAGTGAATATCTGTGAACATTTCGTTCCTTTTAAGCAAGCACATGATGAAAATGTCCATGTACATGTCTGTTAACTTCAGATATGTCACTTTTTTGTGGGCATTTTCTGGCTGATTAGATTTACTTTGCTATCATAAGAAATCTATATTTTAATATAGCAGCACCTACACTTTGGAACTCATTGCTTCTTGATATCAGGCAGGCTCCTTCACTGTACTTTTTGGTGACTGCCAAAAACATGTTTGTTTAGACAAGCCTACTCAGATATGTGGAATTTTGATTTGGATTTGTTTTTAGTTTATTGCTGATTTGTTTTTGAGATATTTTAAATAGCTGTTTTTACTGATACTTTTATTCTTTTACTGATATATTTTATTATTTTGGTAAACCAGTTTCAGGTTTGTTTTTACAATCAAGCAGTATATAAATTTTATAGAATAGAATAAATAAATAACTAGATAGATAGAAATGTTTTGGCCTTTTAGTAGAACCAGTACAGCGTAATGGCTAGAGTGCTGGTCAGCCAAATTCAAATTCCTTCTCATTCATAAGATTCCCTGGGTATCCTTGGCTGAATTTCTCACAGCCTAACCTATGTCACATGAACCTAGTGTGAAAGAGAGTTCTGAGGATAATTACCACATGGAGGAAGGAACATGCAGGGCCACATTAACACTTGTAGACGTCATAAGCACTTAAAAGATTTTGGTGCTACACTCACACACTAATAAACCATAAAATATTTTTTTATTTTGCAGAACCGATAGTAAGATGGAAAATAATGTTTATTTTTGTATCCTTCCACTTTATTTATACTTTTAAAAAAATTCTCCTACTTTTTCTAATTGCAAAGTCTTTGATCACATCCTCAAAACTAATCTTACGCAACACATCTACTTCTATACTTAGTAGAGATAAGGTAACCAGCCTGCCTTGTTACATAATTGTTCTGTTGGGATTTTTAACATACTTCAAGTGAGAAAATGAACACTCAGTGGAGCAATTTGTGACCATTAATGTTAAAAATCTGGCAATGGAAAATTTCTGTGGTGCTCCTGTTCCCTTGATGCCCTAAGCACTTGCTTATTTTGCTTCATGGTTAATCCAGCCCTGGGAATGTGTCTAATCTGTGTGGACTTTATTCGGTATTTTTTTCACAGTACAGAATCTGTGGACAGAGCTTATGTTTGTGCAAGTTGTACATAAACAGGCTATGTGCAGAAGAGTCAATCCATGTATTGCGATTGTTGGTGGGGTTAGCAGGCACAGTGCTATCCACTGCCAGTGTGCTTTGATTATTCCCAGAATGGCTGCTTACCCAGTCCTGTGGTGGGCGGCAGTTGCAGCCTGTTGCGACTGTTCCTGACCCCCCAGAAACAATGCTGGACAGGGTGGCCGGAAGTTGGAAAATCCCTATGCTGGCCATGAAGAGGGTAGGGTTTCCCACCCATCTCAATTTTGAGTTCTGGCCAATCAGGCCAGTCCATGGGGGTGGGACTTGGGAGCAGAGAAGAGTGGAGCAGGCTTCGCTCCAGTCTGCCCCCAGAATTACTGCCTGTTCAAACCTAGAATTGTCACAAAGACAAAGTGGTGGTTGGGATACACTACGCACACAGCCCTAAGTTACTTGAAAGAAGGATGAGATAAAATATGTAATAAAATGAATAATTCTGTTCCCTTTTACCCTCCCCCCTCAAAAACAGTACACAATAGTACAGTACATGCAAAGCTTTATGTTGCAAGTAGCATTTTGTGGTGACTGTTACCCAAAAGGAATGGAATAAGTTGGCACGTTGCTTTTAAAAGACAATTGAAATAACTGTGAAATAATTAAAAGTGACACTTTTGTTATCTCTGTTTGTTGGAGTATGGTGAACCTGAATGGCAAGCTTTGTACCAGACATTGTAAACAGCAACATTGTCTTTGCCAGAGTGTGCCATACTTCAGTGTTTCCCAACCGGTGTTCCGCGGCACACGAGTGTGCCGTGAGACGTTGCCTCGTGTGCCGCGAGATGCCTGGAGGGAGGCGGGCGAGTCGGGCGGCGAGAGGCGGGGCGGCGGCGGCGAGGAGAGGCCGCGCCTCCTGCTGCTGCCTGGCGCTCCTCCTCGCAGCCGGCAGCGCTGCCTGGGCGCCTCCGCGCGACTCTGCCTCGCTGGGTTTGGTCTCCAGCAGAGACGGGTCACACGCGCCCCTCCCTCCCTCCCTCAGCCTGCGCGGAGGGAGAGCCAGAGAGAGGCATCGCTCCTGCGCGGCGGGAGAGGGAGCAGCCGGAGCGATGCCCCAAACGAACGCATGGGACCGGAGGGGAAATCCTCTCCGAGGCGGATTGAGCGCAGCTGAGAGAAGCCTTTCGAGGAGCTGCCGTGTCCCCTGGAAACCCCCTTCCCAGCTCTGCCTCAGCCGCCGCCGCCTCAGTTGCCGCCGTCCCTCAGTCCCTCGCTCTGCTGCCTCCTCCCACCCCCAAAGCTTGGAGGTTCCCCAGCAAGGGGGAGGGAAAAAACTTTCACTTTTGTGCGTCCCTCCCGGCGTGACGCTGCGCGCTGACGTCACGGGGCGGGGCTTTAATGGTGGTGTGCCGCGAGATTTTTTTTCAGTAAACAGGTGTGCCATTGCCCAAAAACGTTTGGGAAACACTGCCATACTTAATGGGTTTGCCCTTGAGAAACATAGAAGTGTGGTGTTCTTTAGGACATGTGACGTACCATTTATGTGTGTGTTTGTGTGTGGCAGCACGTGGAAACAACAAGCAGCACTTTGCACATGCGTCTCTGTTTGAAGTTTTGTTTAATAAAGACCTGAATAAAAATTGAACTGAGCTTTTATTGCCATTTCTTTGGGGCCATCTTTTTGAGCCTCGATGTGTCTGCTACTCCCCTGAGAGTAAGGATAGCGCAGGGACTTGCTTTTTTATTAACAAACCGGAATGTATCTGCCATAATTATCATCATGTATCTTTCATTCACAAATTTGTTGTGATGGAATCAGCTAAAATATTAATACTGTGGTGGGAATAGTGTGTGTGTATCTCATCTCATAAATATGCAGCATCCATGTGCATGGGTAATGTGTCCAGAAGCCTAACTTACCATAATGCCCTTTCTACTCTAAAATATAAGCCTAGGTATTACTGAGCGAAAGCAAATGCAATTGGTTTACTTCAGGTTGGTTCTGTGGGAGTGTATGGTTGTGTAATGTGTGTAATTCTTTTGTAGTGGAGAGTCAGGAGAAAACAAGTTTATTATTTTATTTCCATTTGTTTTTTTCCATCAATCTAAATGCTTCTTACCAGGAGCTCAGGGTCCCATTTATTATTAAGCTATCCTCATGTATCCTTAAGTTGTGATGATACTCATCCAGACTTCCCTTTGTGCTGCATTTCTAGGCACAGATTCTTGCTTTAAAACTGCATGTTTGAGCAGTGATTTTTTGGGGGGTGGTGGGGTGGTCCTGGCACTCTTCTCGGGAATACCAGTGTTTTCCAGCTGAATCAGAGCAAGCAGCAATTAGGTTTTCCAAGGATTGCCATTTGTTCTCATTTAGCGATAAAACGTGGGTTTTCCTGGGTATGATGGCCTTTAGTTTACAGGTGTTTATGAAACATGCATCAAAATGATCAAGTATTTTATATTTCTTTCTTTCAGGTGGCTGCCTTGAAGTATATTCCTTCTGTTCTCCAAGATGTAGAAACAGTGTTTGATGTCAGGTTACTTAGGTGAGCTAACATTCAGAATTCAGTGTCATCTAGCTGACACTATATCTTTGGCAGGACTATGCTGGTATTGGGTTAGTTAGTTAAGTAAATTCACACTTGATGCATTGCTGCTGCAAACTCTTATTCTGGAACTGAAGTCATATCTGACATAAGCAATGTGTCTAAAAAGCATAGGCTTCTCATTACCAGATATAGAATAAGCAGGAAAATAACAATTGCTCTGTTGTGACAGTTAAAATATCTATGGCAAACACTAGCGAGTTTAACTGTTTGGAAGACCCCCATATGTTTCATCAGATTCTTTTTTTAAATATACCATATTAATCTAATCTAATCATTTCATTTTTCTATCTTTTGCAGCCAGCTCTTGTATGAATTTTATACTTGCATTCCACCAAAATCTCTACAGAATCATAAAGTGCGCTCCATGAAGAATATAGTATGCAGCAATCTCTTTAAAAAACAAGGTAAATTCAGAATGACTTGGGAATAATGATTAAAAAAACAACAACCCTGCTATCCCATGTTGGTTTAGGTCTCTCTCCAAATATCTTAGGCACATGCTCTTTCTTCTGCACTGCTTTGGCCCCTCTGCACTTTTGTTTGGACATGTTCACCCTCATCCCTTACGTATGATTTACCATGAACTGAGATGCTTCTGAGCTCCTGTAGACTCTACCTCAAGATCAGGTTAAAAGCTGCTCTGCCTTTTTGAGTTTAAGCACCAACAATCTGGCTCCATTCTGGTTCAAGTGGAGCCCATCCCTTTCGTACAGGCCTGGCTTGTTCCATAATGTTGCCCTAAACATATTCAAACTTCTCCTTCTGATACAACTGTCTCATCTGCCCATTAAGACTCCCAAGCTGTGCTTGTCTAGCTGGCTCTGCCTTTTCATCAGGTAGCATTTCAGAGAAAGCTTACATTGAAGGTCTTGGTTTTCAACCTCCTACCTAGCAACCTTCATTTTGCTTCCAGGACTGCATGACTGCATTCCACCACATCAGTGGTACCACATGTAACAAGATGTAACAAGACCACTGATTTCTTCCCTTCTACCAGGGGATATCCAGACGTTGCATGACATCTGCAGACAGGCTGCATATCCATCACAAACTTAATGACTGAATTGTTCACTGAGCCATTTCAATATGCTCTGCTATTTAAAAACAAAGGGCTTACTGATTCTTTAATTGTTGTATCCTTGAAAGCATTTGAGAAATGCTAGTGATATGCTATGGCACACATCAATTATTTGGTGGCTAACAGTTTGCATTAGGTGTTTGGGAGATTTTTTGAATTCCAGATGTTTCTGTGCTTCTTGGGTGTTTGCAAAAAATGCTGCAGAGTATGCCTCAAAAACACTTTATCATCTCCTGCTTCCTCAGTTCTGCTGATGCTTATAAGTTAATTATCGTAACAGTGTCTTAAGTACCCGTTTGCAGGATAAAGCATGCGTTATAAGATATAGGAGCAACAATGCCTAATAATTTGTGCTGGTGCAAAACACACCTCAGCAAAACGTACCCACCACCAGTATAATTCAGCTGTTATCCATTCATTTTCACCACCTCACTTACAGATTAAACTGCCTTTCTTTATTTTTTAAAAATAAAGTTTTAATAAAACTTTTCAACATACAATAAAAAAAGAAACAAAACAAGAAATAAGAAAGAGAACAAAGAGAAAAGCAAGCAGACACAGAGATAATAACAGAAAAGAGAAAGAGATAAGTAAAAGTGACTTCCAACTATCTATTTGTCAGTTGTGCCTGCAAAAGTTCCTTATAATAATCCAGTGTTCAGTCCAGAGTAATGTCCAGTTATTCTTCCCTCTGCTAGCTGATGTTAAATCCAGGCATCTCAGTTTCCTTCCTTTTCCTTCCCATCCATGAAGTTCATAAGTAAGAATCAACCTTTAATCTTTCTCTAGTCTAACACCACAACTTTACCTCCTGATTTAAAAAGACATTTGGTCCTTATTCTTTATTCCTCACGAGTTTCTTCGCTGTGTTTATATAATAAGACAATATCCATAATTGATTACAAATTATGTAGACATTAATTCACAGCCCAAACAATAGTATTGCAGGAGGCATGGCCACTTTTTCTTCTGAGATGATTCCAAGTTGTACACAGAGTCCTCTTTCCATGAATTCCATCTCCTCCTCCAACGTCATAGCTCCAGCACAACATTGTTCCACTGCTTCCAGCACTGATACTACTGCAGGAGGCTTAGTCACTTTTCAGATTGTACTTCCAGCATCAACACTAAACTATCCTTTAGGGCTGGCAAATCATCCTTGGTATTTCCCCCCAGGAGCTGTGACTCTTCGGGAATCTGTGTGCAACCTTCCTTATTTTCTAAGATGATTATGTTCTGAAACACTTTGTATCAGAATAAAAGATAATACATGGTGCATCTGCTTAAATGAGTTTCAAGTGCCTTATGGCATCTTCAAGTTTCTGTGACTTAAGCTTTTGTGCACCAAAGCCCACTGTGCCATTCCGCGAAAGCTTACGCCACAATCAGTTTGTGGGTCTTTAAGGTGCCACAAGACTGTTTGTTCTAATGCTGCAAGAGACTTTACATTCGCTGGAATCAATAAATGTTACTTCAAAAGGGAGTATAAAATAGTATGGTTACATGCCTCCTCTAACTAGGGAGCTCCTTACTATGAAGCAGACCATTCAATAAACACAGCATGCTAGTGGTAAAAGCAGCACCACCTTGAAAATGTGCAAGTTATTTGTTTTCTGGAAAAGCAAAGAAACCAATTTACTAGCTTTTCCTTTCATGAGATTTTTCTTCGTATTGTAATTTGGATTGCCCTATCTTGAAGAGAGATAAAGTGGACAGCCTGAGCCACTGCTAGCCTGAGCTGGGGAAAGAGACATGCTGGTGCGTGGGGCCGCTGTGCCTGTGCACCTCTTTTCCTGGCTCAGGCTGGCAGCAGCCATGATATGCAGAGTGCCTAGAAGTCTCTATAAACATTCCACAGACCTTCAGCTCTTCACAAATGGACCCTGTGAAAACTCTTTTGACTTTCCTTGGAGACTTAACTTCTCTAATAGCTTAATATGAGGTTGCCAGTTGGTCAGTACTCATCCATATGGATCCATTCTATTACCCCAAATTTATTTGGCAACTGTTGGTGAGAAACTTTGGCAAAAGCTTTTTGGAGGTCCAAGTATATGATGTTAACCAATCTAACCCCAATCCACATAGGGTAATTTTTTTTCAGGGTGAGGCAGAATTCCCTTTGCAGAAGCTACATTTATGCTTTCTCACAAAGGCTTATTCTTCTACATGCATAACAAATCTAGCTTTAATTGTGTTTTCCACATCCTGCTGGAATAGCTCAGTCAGCAGGGTTGTGGGTCTAAGTCCCAGCGCGGGGCAAAATATTTCATTTTTTGCAGGAGGCTGGACTAGATGACCCTCATTGTCCCTTCCAACAATTATGATTCTTTGAAATAACACAGGACAGTTGTTAAACCAAGTGACCTGCAATTTTCTAGCTCTCCCTTGAGAGCTGTCTCTTTAAATAAATTTTAGAGGAAGAAAATCTGGATAGCTTTCCCCCTGAATCTTTGATATCTGGAAGACAGAAGTCCTTGCCAAAAGGAAATCCCTTGTCTAGTAGCAATAGAGAAGTGTTATTCAGAGTGTTTCTAACTCTGGTTGAGAAGTTATTTGCAAAACTGTCAGGTCCCTTTCTCCATTGTTGGTAAGAAAGGCAATCCATTTTTAATTGTGCCTAGAGGCTTTCACAATGGGCTCAAGAGCTCTTACAAAATTTAATGAGAGTAAATAAATGAACATACTCCCTTCAGATTGTCAGACTCTGTTTCCCACTTCAAACAACACATCCACAGAAGTCGAAATAAATAGGTTAAAACAATATTTTGCTGCCTTTGTACGTAAGAGAATGCTAATTACTTCACAGAAATGTTAGGTGAGAATAACATTGTAGTTTGAGATTAATTTTGATTTTGTCTAACTATGATTAAGATGAGGACATGTGCCTTTTTCTCTCCCCTGTATTTGGTGTTCATAGCTAAAAAGCAACACAATTGCTAAGCACAGGTGCCCACAGTGAAGTCTTTTAGGAATTTCAGTCACTAAGAGCATTGGGAGTTTTTCAATTTGGATAATAATGCTTTACACTGAAGAACTGCAGAATAAAATAACTAAAATTAATGTATTTTGATCTTTTGGAAGTCAGATCCCAAATTCTGCGGGATAGCCTTCTTTATCTTAATGGATAGTTTGTTCCAAATGACTGTGCAACTCCTTGAGAGATTTGCCAAGTGAACCTCGTTTTAGAAGACCACAGGGCTTTCCCATATGCCAAATATTTTATGAAGCTCATCATTTCCGCATCTTAAAATTGTAGTTGGGGAACTATTAAAAAATAAGCAAGTGTTGTTAATTTTAACATTTATAATTCAAGTCATGAGACCAAGCAATACCAGAACCAGCACACATTGCCTCAAAAATAGCTCAAAAGGAAGGTGACCTGGTAGGTGCAAAAGAAGAAGAAACCAAAGATTCCAACTGCATTCAGCAATTACGTTTTATTTCTATAAAATGCTAGGCCTTCACTGATGTGTTGTAGAATAATCAGCCTGCATCTAACACAGGTCTGGATAAATGTGAGTTTTGATAAGAGCAACAGCTTAGGGTGAAGGATGTGTAGCCTTTCCCTCACATTTCGCCTTTCCCTTCCATTCTGCTTTCTTCATTTAAATCTCACCGCATTTTAAAGCTTTGGTAAGGCTAAGCAACACTTCCATTGATAAAACTATATAGATTGCCTTCTGTACTACTTTCACTTAGGGCCACACTAGATTTGCTGTCTTGGCATTTAAAATATAAATAGCATCGACTGAGGGTGAGGGCTGATAATTATTTGGATCACAGCAAGCAGGAAGGTAGAAATTAACCCCTTCTACCTCTGTGTTTTTTTAAAAAAAAATTATTGAAAGATTTTCATGGATAACCAAGATATATATAGTGTCTCTGTTTTCAGTTCATAGAGTCTTTTCTACAGATCAGTTACATTTGGCCTGAGATACCATTCTACTTTCAGTTTGTTGGTTAGCTTTTCTAGCTTTTCTAGTAGCTGTTTCCCATACAGTTTGGTACCAGAGGTCCATGTTCACTCCTGACAGGTCCCTCCAGGATCTAGTTATGATGCTCCTAGGTGCTGAGAGTAGGTGAGGTAAATCTCTCCTCTGGAGCTGGTAATCACATTGGGAGAAAATCCCCCATTGGCACAAATGGGGAATTTCCTATCAATTCAAATTCTGGCTGCAAAAAAGGGATTTTCCTCAGGACTACATCTGCAAATGAAAGAGTCAGCTTCACTTTCTCTGCTTTACAACAATCCTGATCATTATCACCTCCTCCAATGATGCCACCTCAGTTTTATAAAACCTGTGAATTAAATTCAAAGCATTTAAC